CCCTGCATATTCGATTAGCAAATCAGCAACTTATTTTGAAATTATAAACGGGCATTCCGTCAACCTTGCCAAACTCCACGATGACAGTCACATCATGATCATTTGCCATCACACTTTCATGTGGAAGTATCGTGGTATTTTTGAGTCCTATAAAGCTCTCAAACCCACACGACACCAGTTTGCAGGGACTAGATGAATAGTGTTTTTAAATATATATTTAACTTAAATACCCACATGTGTAAAAAAGTAGTGGGTAACAGAAATTTGAATACGCAGATAGAATTACTGATACCCAATGATTTTAAAATGCATGGGTAAAATACCCACAACACCAAAAGCTTATCTGGAGCTCTGATAGATGTGTTTATTTTAGGGGATAGGCCCTCGAATAGATCATTTATCATTATATTGAAGAGTGTGGGGCTGAGGATACTGCCCTGGAGAGTGCCATTTTCTAGGGGACATTGGTCCGATAGCGTTTGGTGACATCCATAAATTCTCTTCCTTATGTGTATCACTTCTAAATGCCTTTCAAAGACAAACACGGTTTATTGAGCAGCAGTTGTAACAAGTATATAACAATGTCATTCAAAGAATAGGAATTACACAATGGGCATCCAGTGAGTTATCACTTCTGGGGACAAGAGTTCTACCCACTCATGTCAAGCTTGTTGACACTTTCTCCTCATACCAGTCAGTGAACTGTTGTTGGTTCAATTATTTTATTGCCTTTGAACTTAATGCCAGTCAACAGAGTAAACATATAAACTGTGTGTTGTTTTTAGGAAAACACTGTTAATTGTTTTTAGGGAAGTTCTCTATTTGCTGTCTGATTGGATTACGGTAAGAATATGTATCATTCCACTGGGAATAGGGTGGGGGGAATCACATTGATATTGAGTCGCATATTTGGCTAGGGATCAGCAGTCGTATTAATTTAGAGACACATTAATTTCCAGGTATATAGTATTAGAATGTATTTTCCTAGCTATTGATAGTTGCTGTGAACCATGGAAATCAGATGATGCAATACATCTTTATTTGTGTACTTTATCCTGTAGTCTACAATGGATTTGCAAAGCTTTGATTAGGATTGGTCATTGAGAGGTTTTATATTATAATAACAACCTCTGGTTGAAATAGCTGGTTTGACGGGCACATCAAATATTAGAAAAGTACTTCTTTCGCAGTCATTTTGAAATCATGACATGTTTACTTATAGGTTACAAGATGAAGAGTCGCAGTCACTAAAATATTCATAATAGGTGTGACAATACATTGTGCATGAAAACATGGCTATATATGTTTTCTTGAGATAACTCCAAACATTTGCCAAAACATGATCAGACAGTCTAATGGACGTCAAATAGTGAGGCTAAATAATGATGACTCCCGGAATACAATACGATCTTAGCAATGTTCGACAAGTCCATTTTATGAATAGGGGGGTTTGGTAGGTCCTGAATATTTTCCCAATTCTCATGGCCATTATCTGCACTATTCCTCCCATTACAGATTATCATGTATCAACAACCACTTTTGGATGCGATTTTTCGGCCATTGTGTTTATCTGTTCCCCCAGCTACATGATTTGTTTGTTTGGTTGTTTGTTGTTTAACGCCACACACAGCAATATTCCAGCTATATGACGGCGGTCTGTAAATAATTGAGTCTGGACCACTCGTCTCGATCCACGCTATTGGGATCAATGACATGCATCAACCAAGTCAGCGAGCCTGACCACCCGTTCCTGTTAGTCGCCTCTTACGACAAGCATAGTCGCCTTTTACGGCAAGCATGGGTTGCTGAAGACCAATTCTACCCAAGATCTTCACGGGCCCCCAGCTACATGAAAGGGGAACAACTCACTACCCCCTGAAAAATAGTGCTGTCCAAATTACGATGTCATCAAGTTAAGAACATATGTTTGAATCTCCAGAAATGACATCAAGATAGAACAATGTTTTATTGTGAAATAAACAATGCCTCGTTCTTCATTGTTCTTTGCGATTTATCACATAGCTATCTTATCCCCACTACCACATCTAGACCACTACCACTGCAATAACAAGGCCCAACAACTACCAGTGAGGTTGTGTAAGTTACAAAGAGCTTTAATGATGCTGGTGTGTTCAGTGTGTTAGTCGAAGAACATTATCATGATGCAAGTTCATGGGTGGCCCCTGTGTTTGGCTGGCCCCTGTGTATGGTGGCCCCAGTGTATGGTGGCCCCAGTGTATGGTGGCCCCTGTATTGATGGGGCACATCTATGTATGGGTGGCTGCTGTATGGATGGGGTACATCTATGTATGGGTGGCCCCTGTATGGATGGGGCACATCTATGTATGGGTGGCACCTGTATGGATGGGGCACATCTATGTATGGGTGGCCCCTGTATGTATGGGTGGCACCTGTGTATGGGTGGCCCCTGTATGGATGGGGCACATCTATGTATGGGTGGCACCTGTGTATATGTGGCCCCAGTGTATGGGTGGCCCCTGTATGGATGGGGCATATTTATGTATGGGTGGCCCCTGTATGGATGGGGCACATCTATGTATGGGTGGCCCCAGTGTATGGGTGGCCCCTGTATGGATGGGGCACATCTATGTATGGGTGGCCCCAGTGTATGGGTGGCCCCTGTATGGATGGGGCACATCTACGTATTGGTCGCCCCAGTGTATGGGTGGCCCCTGTATGGATGGGGCACATCTATGTATTGGTGGCCCCTGTATGGATGGGGCACATCTATGTATGGGTGGCACCTGTGTATGGGTGGCCCCTGTATGGATGGGGCACATCTATGTATGGGTGGCACCTGTGTATGGGTGGCCCCTGTAAGGATGGGGCACAACTATGTATGGGTGGCCCCGGTGTATGAGTGGCCCCTGTATTGATGGGGCACATCTATGTATTGGTGGCCCCTGTATGGATGGGGCACATCTATGTGTGGGTGGCACCTGTGTATGGGTGGCCCCTGTATGGATGGGGCACATCTATGTATGGGTGGCACCTGTGTATGGGTGGCCCCTGTAAGGATGGGGCACATCTATGTATGGGTGGCACCTGTGTATGGGTGGCCCCTGTAAGGATGGGGCACATCTATGTATGGGTGGCACCTGTGTATGAGTGGCCCCTGTATTGATGGGGCACATCTATGTATTGGTGGCCCCTGTATGGATGGGGCAGATCTATGTATGGGTGGCCCTGTGTATGGGTGGCCCCTGTATGGATGGGGCACATCTATGTATGGGTGGCACCTGTGTATGGGTGGCCCCTGTAAGGATGGGGCACATCTATGTATGGGTGGCACCCGGTATGGGTGGCCCCAGTAAGGATGGGGCACATCTATGTATGGGTGGCACCTGTGTATGGGTGGCCCCAGTATGGATGGGGCACATCTATGTATGGGTGGCCCCAGTGTATGAGTGGCCCCAGTGTATGGGTGGCCCCTGTATGGATGGGGCACATCTATGTATGGGTGGTAACTGTGTATAGATGGCCCCTGTATGGATGGGGCACATCTATGTATGGGTGGCCCCAGTGTATGAGTGGCCCCTGTAAGGATGGAGCACATCTATGTATGGGTGACCCTGGTGTATGAGTGGCCCCTGTATGGATGGGGCACATCTATGTTTGGGTGGCATCTGTGTATGGTAGGCCCCTGTATGGATGGGGCACATCTATGTATGGGTGGCCCCGGTGTATGAGTGGCCCCTGTAAGGATGGAGCACATCTATGTATGGGTGACCCTGGTGTATGAGTGGCCCCTGTATGGATGGGGCACATCTATGTTTGGGTGGCCCCGGTGTATGAGTGGCCCCTGTATGGATGGGGCACATCTATGTATGGGTGGCCCCGGTGTATGAGTGGCCCCTGTAGGGATGGGGCACATCTATGTATGAGTGGCCCCTGTATGGATGGGGCACATCTATGAATGGGTGGCACCTGTGTATGGGTGGCCCCTGTATGGATGGGGCACATCTATGTATGGGTGGTAACTGTGTATGGGTGGCACCTGTGTATTGGTGGCCCCTGTAAGGATGGGGCACATCTTATGTATGGGTGGCAACTGTGTATTGGTGGCCCCTGTATGGATGGGGCACATCTTATGTATGGGTGGCAACTGTGTATGGGTGGCCCCTGTATGGATGGGGCACATCTTATGTATGGGTGGCAACTGTGTATGGGTGGCCCCTGTATGGATGGGGCACATCTATGTATGGGTGGCACCTGTGTATTGGTGGCCCCTGTATGGATGGGGCACATCTATGTGTGGGTGGCACCTGTGTATTGGTGGCCCCTGTAAGGATGGGGCACATCTTATGTATGGGTGGCAACTGTGTATGGGTGGCCCCTGTATGGATGGGGCACATCTTATGTATGGGTGGCACCTGTGTATTGGTGGCCCCTGTATTGATGGAGCACATCTTATGTATGGGTGGTAACTGTGTATGGGTGGCCCCTGTATGGATGGAGCACATCTTATGTATGGGTGGCACCTGTGTATTGGTGGCCCCTGTAAGGATGGGGCACATCTTTGTATGGGTGGTAACTGTGTATGGGTGGCACCTGTGTATTGGTGGCCCCTGTATGGATGGGGCACATCTTATGTATGGGTGGCAACTGTGTATTGGTGGCCCCTGTATGGATGGGGCACATCTTTGTATGCATGGCCGCTTTTTTGCTATAGGATATATCTATGTATGGGTGGCCCCTATGATATGAAGACAAGTTAGCCCCCCACATGTGTCTTTCTGGTTTCCTAGACCTTTTCTCTCCTTTTTCTTGAGTTTCACCATTACTTTTATGACATTTGTTCCACTATCTTGTGGTAGTGGAAAGTGACATTGGCATGAACTATTTACTTTATGCACAGATGTGGATTTCATGGAACTCAAGTATTTGGCTGTTCTCTAAGACAAATTGAGAACTCATGACAGTATCTTGATATCATACATTGTCTCAAGTCTACACAAGTGTCTCAAGCTGTAACTCACCCTCCTCAGTTTCTGGGCTCGACTCTGATCTGTCCGACCCCACCGATGGCCGCCGCAGATCCCCACTGCTGTGATGTAAAGTCCGGGTCTCACTGCGTACATGCCTTGACTCATGTCGACCTGACGGGGGCCTTGGTGAAGGGGAGGAGTGCGTTCCTGAGGGTTTGTTATGCCCATTAACAGACTTATCTCCCTTGGAGGAATGTTTCCTGACAGAGTTGTCTGTCCCTGAGTTACTGAGGTCAACGACCTTGCTGTAGTCAAAGGCTTGGTTACCACAGCCCTTATCAATGTCCCCATCAAACACTAGTTCTCCCCCCACGAAGATCCGGGTATGTCGAGCACCAATATTCAAATCCTGGAAGGAACAAATACAATAATTAATCTCAAAGTGTCAAGGAAATAAACTGCTTTATCATACCTCCATGTCAGAATGATGAGATCTGATTGGTCCACGTGATCTTGATAAAATACTATGCTTTATCGACCTTCATATTCCAGTTGAGGTAATTTTGTTACAGAAACTGACAGTTGTTTTTTGTTTGTTTGTTGTTTAACAGCCTGTAAAAAAAATCTGAACCCAACCAACCAGAGATTGTTACTGTAATATTTCACATCGTGGTACAATGACACACTTCAAGTCACTGAGCCTGACCGCCTGATCCATTAAATGGCCTCTTACTTTGCTTACAACAAGCATTGGTTACTGGGGAAAACTTCTAAATATGATTCTCCACAAAGTGACAGGGGTGTTAAGATATTTATTGTTGACGTTCCACAGCTTGATGGCTGAGAAAGAGAGGCTTGTAGGATAGTGGAGTGACTTACATTAAGACTCTTGTTGAAGTTCCACAGCTTTATGGCAGAGAGACAGAAAGGCTTGTTGGGTGAGGGGTTGTGAAGAGTGATGACAAATTCCACAGACAGCCCGTCCTCATATTCACAGCTCCACATGTACCTCTCCTTCGTTGTCTGGGAAACAGATAATATACAACCTAGATAGAACCTCTTACATATCAGTGTGAGAGAGTTTGGGTTGAACTCTGCTTTGAACAGTATCTCATTTAGATCACAGCGTGTAGGTTGATGTGGGTGGAAACCTGAAGGGAAGTAAGTGTCTAGACATTTACCACTTTGACATGGTGCATCTTGCTGGCCAATTCATGGTGAATCAGATTTGAGTGAGTGAGTGAGTAGGGTTTTACGCCGCTTTTCGCAATATTTCAGCAATATCACGGCAGGGGACACCAGAAATGGACTTCACACATTGTACCCATGTCGGGAATTGAACCCGGGTCTTCGGCATGACGAGTGAACACATTTACCACTAGGCTACCCAACCACCCCTCAGTTCGTATTTGAATCCAATATGAAAGGTTTCTAACATATCTTAAACACACAACTCTGCATAGCTAACTGTGGCTCTGTAGATGACTGGACCACCTGTGCCCTTCCAATTTTCTAAATCAACACAGAGCAACTCTCACTACATGATGACCTAATGTTGACACCACAAAAAGGACAGAGTGATAGAATCTGACATTTCTAGCTTGGATATGAAAAACTCAGTCTAACACACTTGTTCTACTACTGTTGTTGCATCACTTCATGAGCTCTGCCTCTATGGTGACGACACTTTGAATGGTTGTAAATATGCAGTAGTGGTACCTTGGGTTTTCCATTAAACAGCACATCGAGCGAGGTCCGGCAGCCAGTAGCCCCATGTACACTGACATCAGACATGCGGACTGGAATGAGCTGCTTGTCCGAGTTGAAGAACTGTATTTCTGTGAGTCCCACCCGATCTGGGTGTCCCCAGTTAGATAGGATCTCCATGTTCACCTCCAACACTTCAAGATGGCCACCAGAGGACTTCTGAAGCAGTAGACAATTTTAGTTTTAGACGACATAAACACAGCTTTTGTTCCATTAGTATATCACCTACCACAGGAAGGGCATCTGTGTTTATCACCTACCACAGGAAGGGTATCAGGGTATATCACCCACCACAGGTAGGGTATCAGGGTATATCACCTACCACAGGAAGGGTATCAGGGTGTATCACCCACCACAGGTAGGGTATTAGGGTATATCACCTACCACAGGAAGGGTATCAGGGTATATCACCCACCACAAGTAGGGTATCAGGGTATATCACCTACCACAGGAAGGGTATCAGGGTATATCACCTACCACAGGAAGGGCATCAGTGTATATCACCTACCACAGGAAGGGCATCAGTGTTTATCATCTACTTTCGAACTCTGCGAAGTTAACACTTAAAAACTCCGATCACTCACCTGTTTGTTAGACGTGTGTGAGCGAGAGGCACTCAACTTGGCAGATTTACTGGGTGACGTGGGGGAATGCACAGATGAAGAGCCTTCATCCAACTTGCCCAGTATTTTTATGAGTCGTCTCTGCTGCCTGTGAAGAGCAAGGACACATGGTCAGCACACCCACAGCTGATGGTGGGCAGAGAAGGTGCTGGTGGTGGGGGGCAGGGAAGGTGCTGATGGTGGGGCAGGGAAGGTGCTGATGGTGGGGCAGGGAAGGTGCTGGTGGTAGGGCAGGGAAGGTGCTGATTGGGCAGGGAAGGTGCTGATGGTAGGGCAGGGAAGGTGCTGATGAGGCAGGGAAGGTGCTGGAGGGGTGGGCAGGGAAGGTGCTGGTGGTTGGGGGCAGGGAAGGTGCTGATGGGGCAGGGAAGGTGCTGGGGGGCAGGGATGGTGCTGGTGGTTGGTGGCAGGGAAGGTGCTGATTTGGCAGGGAAGGTGCTGATGGTAGGGCAGGGAAGGTGCTGATGGTAGGGCAGGGAAGGTGCTGATGAGGCAGGGAAGGTGCTGGAGGGGTGGGCAGGGAAGGTGCTGGTGGTTGGGGGCAGGGAAGGTGCTGATGGGGCAGGGAAGGTGCTGGGGGGCAGGGATGGTGCTGGTGGTTGGTGGCAGGGAAGGTGCTGGATGGGTGGGCAGGGAAGGTGCTGGAGATGCAGGGCAGGGAAGGTGCTGGAGGTGGGGGGCAGGGAAGGTGCTTGATAGGTGGGCAGGGATGGTGTTGGAGCGGTGGGCAGGAAAGGTGCTGTGGTGGAAGGCAAGGAAGGTGCTGGTGGGGTGAGCAGGGAAGGTGCTGGTGGTGGAAGGCAAGGAAGGTGCTGGTGGTTGGGGGCAGGGAAGGTGCTGATGGGGCAGGGAAGGTGCTGGGGGGCAGGGATGGTGCTGGTGGTTGGTGGCAGGGAAGGTGCTGGATGGGTGGGCAGGGAAGGTGCTGGAGGGGTTGGCAGGGAAGGTGCTTGATAGGTGGGCAGGGATGGTGTTGGAGCTGTGGGCAGGGAAGGTGCTGTGGTGGAAGGCAAGGAAGGTGCTGGTGGGGTGAGCAGGGAAGGTGCTGGTGGTTGGGGGCAGGGAAGGTGCTGGATGGGTGGGAAGGGAAGGTGCTGGAGGGGTAGGGAGGGAAGGTGCTGGAGGGATGGACAGGGGAAGGTGCTGGAGGGGTGGGAAGGGAAGGTCCTGGAGGGGTGGGAAGGGAAGGTGCTGGAGGGGAGGGGAGGGAAGGTGCTGGAGGGGTGGGCAGGGAAGGTGCTGGATGGGTGGGCAGGGAAGGTGCTAGATGGGTAGGGAGGGAAGGTGCTGGAGGGGTGGACAGGGAAGGTGCTGGATGGGTGGGAAGGGAAGGTGCTGGAGGGGTGGGGAGGGAAGGTGCTGGAGGGGTGGGCAGGGAAGGTGCTAGATGGGTAGGGAGGGAAGGTGCTGGAGGGGTGGGCAGGGAAGGTGCTGGATGGGTGGGCAGGGAAGGTGCTAGATGGGTAGGGAGGGAAGGTGCTGGAGGGGTGGGCAGGGAAGGTGCTGGAGGGGTGGGCAGGGATGGTGTTGGAGCGGTGGGCAGGAAAGGTGCTGTGGTGGAAGGCAAGGAAGGTGCTGGTGGGGTGAGCAGGGAAGGTGCTGGTGGTTGGGGGCAGGGAAGGTGCTGATGGGGCAGGGAAGGTGCTGGGGGGCAGGGATGGTGCTGGTGGTTGGTGGCAGGGAAGGTGCTGGATGGGTGGGCAGGGGAGGTGCTGGAGGGGTTGGCAAGGAAGGTGCTGGAGGTGGGGGGGCAGGGAAGGTGCTTGATAGGTGGGCAGGGATGGTGTTGGAGCTGTGGGCAGGGAAGGTGCTGTGGTGGAAGGCAAGGAAGGTGCTGGTGGGGTGAGCAGGGAAGGTGCTGGTGGTTGGGGGCAGGGAAGGGAAGGTGCTGGAGGGGTAGGGAGGGAAGGTGCTGGAGGGGTGGACAGGGAAGGTGCTGGAGGGGTGGGAAGGGAAGGTCCTGGAGGGGTGGGAAGGGAAGGTGCTGGAGGGGAGGGGAGGGAAGGTGCTGGAGGGGTGGGCAGGGAAGGTGCTGGATGGGTGGGCAGGGAAGGTGCTAGATGGGTAGGGAGGGAAGGTGCTGGAGGGGTGGAAAGGGAAGGTGCTGGATGGGTGGGAAGGGAAGGTGCTGGAGGGGTGGGGAGGGAAGGTGCTGGAGGGGTGGGCAGGGAAGGTGCTAGATGGGTAGGGAGGGAAGGTGCTGGAGGGGTGGGCAGGGAAGGTGCTGGATGGGTGGGCAGGGAAGGTGCTAGATGGGTAGGGAGGGAAGGTGCTGGAGGGGTGGGCAGGGAAGGTGCTGGAGGGGTGGGCAGGGAAGGTGCTGGAGGGGTGGGGAGGGAAGGTGCTGGAGGGGTGGGCAGGGAAGGTGCTAGATGGGTAGGGAGGGAAGGTGCTGGAGGGGTGGGCAGGGAAGGTCCTGGATGGGTGGGAAGGGAAGGTGCTGGAGGGGTGGGAAGGGAAGGTGCTGGAGGGGTTGGCAAGGAAGGTGCTGGAGGTGGGGGGGCAGGGAAGGTGCTGGATGGGCGGGCAGGGAAGGTGCTGGATGGGTGGGCAGGGAAGGTGCTAGATGGGTAGGGAGGGAAGGTGCTGGAGGGATGGGGAGGGAAGGTGCTGGATAGGTGGGAAGGGAAGGTGCTGGAGGGGTGGGAAGGGAAGGTGCTGGAGGGGTGGGCAGGGAAGGTGCTGGAGGGGTGGGCAGGGAAGGTGCTGGAGGGGTGGGAGAGAAGGTGCTGGAGGGGTGGGCAGGGAAGGTGCTGGAGGGGTGGGGAGGGAAGGTGCTGGAGGGGTGGGCAGGGAAGGTGCTGGATGGGTGGGAAGGGAAGGTGCTGGAGGGGTGGGGAGGGAAGGTGCTGGAGGGGTGGGCAGGGAAGGTGCTGGGGGGGTGGGGAGAGATTGGGAGGGAAGGTGCTGGAGGGGTGGGCAGGGAAGGTGCTGCCTGTGAGGTGCTAGAAGTTAAACAACAGTCACATTACCTACTATCCTACTTTGTACCAATTCACTGTCACTTGCTAAGGAGACCACATGTGATATATGTGCTCCAGTGTGGGACAGGAACCAAAGCCCTAGAAACTCTCAGGATGCAAGCTGCCTAACAGTCACCAACCCAACTATCCTCTGTGATCAGCTGGCTTAGCTTTACCTGATGCATGACCTGCATGGTGTACACAGGACCACATGCCCCCCACATGTATGAGGGAGTGAGCAAGTAAGTATGGTTTTACGCCCCTTTTAGAAATAGTTCAGCAAGATCATGGCGGGGTACACCAGAAATGGGCATCACACATTGCACCCATGTGGGGAATCGAACCCAGGTCCTCGGCATGACGAGCGAATGCTTAAAACACTAGGCTAACCCACTGTACAGAAAACATAAGTGTTTACCTGTACTTTACGACCTGTGAAGATCCGGGGTAGAATAGGTCTTCAGCAACCCATGCTTGCCGTAAAAGGCGACTATGCTTGTCGTAAGAAGCAACTAACGGGATTTGGTGGTCAGGCTTGCTGACTTGGTTGATGCATGGCATCGTGTCCCAATTGCGTGGATCGATGCTTGAATATTGCTACCAAACAACAAACAACAACAACAACCTATACTTTACTCGGTTACTTACTTTGGTGGCATGACCATGACCTTGGTGACTATTTCTGACACTCGCTCGTCAGTGAGGGCCTGAGGGTCCGCTGACCCAGTGGTGTGGGTTTTGGTGGGTGACAACTTGTCCGCTGACCCGTGAGATGACAGTCGGGATTTGGAGCGCTGAGGGTCACCGGAACTAGGCCGCAGCTGCAATAAAAGCACAGGCAGAGACTCAGACACATTCATAGCTTGGCAAACACTTCACTTGTAGTTCTTCTTAATCATGAAATGTCATCTTAATGTTGAAAGAATGCTGAAAGTGTTACCCTGGTCAATCAGACCAAAATCAGATCATTGGTAAGGGAGGTAACTCTACTAAGCAAGTTGCAGCAACTCAGACAACTGAAACAGCTGTGCCCAATTGGCGAGAGGAATCTGCTTGATCTAAGGACTTCCTTGATGAAACACACAGCTGGTATGTTACTTACAAGCGAATCCTGGCATGGCTAAGGAAGCCAACTGCACATCAGCTGAGCCTGTAAAAGACTAAGGGAACATGCTTACTCCAAGGATTTATCAGAAGACTCACCTCTGGCCGAGGACTTTTACTGACATCTTTGTTGAAGCGGGCAGCTCTCGAGTTCTCCTCCTGCAGGGCTCGCAACACGGCCGAGGCTTCCTCCCGCGAGTCTAGGTGGTTGTCATCACTCTTCCTGTTGGCCGACAGAGGCTGTAGTGACTTCTTCTTGGATGGTGGCACTGTCGGGAGATGTTATTCATCAGTGTAGTCATACAGAATCGTAACACACTGTCACTGTCGAACACTGATTTGTAGATACACATGATACAAACTCTGTTTTAAGAAAACCATAAATGTGACCAGAAATGTCTCAAGCATGAACAGGGTCTTAGGGGGATGGTGGCATGTCTCGCAGCATAAATAGGGTCTAAGTGAGCTTGCAGCATGTCTCGCAGCATAAATAGGGTCTAAGGGAGCTGGTAGCATGTCTCACGGCATAAACAGGGTCTAAGGGAGCTGGCAGCATGTCTCACGGCATAAACGGAGCTAAGGGAGCTGGTAGCATGTCTCACGGCATAAACAGGGTCTAAGGGAGCTGGTAGCATGTCTCACACCATAAACAGGGTCTAAGGGAGCTGGTAGCATGTCTCACACCACAAACAGGCTCTTAGGGAGCTGGCAGCATGTCTCACGGCATAAACAGGGTCTAAGGGAGCTGGTAGCATGTCTCACACCATAAACAGGCTCTTAGGGACCTGGTAGCATGTCTCACGGCATAAACAAGGTCTAAGGGAGCTGGTAGCATGTCTCACACCATAAACAGGCTCTTAGGGAGCTGGTAGCATGTCTCACGGCATAAACAGAGTCTAAGGGAGCTGGTAGCATGTCTCACGGCATAAACAGGGTCTTGGCATACTGAGTGAAGGGATCCAACTGTTGAACACTGTAAGACAACATACACCATGTCCTACACTTACCTGACCGAAGCTGCAAATCCCTGGGGGTTGAGGATGGGGTGCCTTTGGGGCTCGGGAGAGGGCGTGACTTTTGCCGAGCAGTGAGGGAGCTGTCAGTATCTGTATTTTTCTTTCGTGCAGCAGACAAATTTCTTTCAAGATTTCCTGGAACACAAGTTACATGTGTCCATTTGACCTTATTTTACTTCGAACTTGAACAGCAACCCTTGTTACAGACTTTTTCTCTGAGGGGGTGACTTGCCCGTTTCAATAATAATCCAGCAGAATCTCAACTGACACCACACATTGGTTGGACACTTTGAACCCATGTGGGGACTGAACCAGGGTGGTTGACATGATGAGCAAGTGCTTTAACCACTGGGCTACAGAGTCTCCACCTAACAGTTCAAATCATTCAAATGTATATGGGGTTTTGTTTGTTTGTTTGTTGTTTAACGCCGCACTCAGCAATATTCCAGCTATATGACGGCGTTCTGTAAATAATCAAGTCTGGATCAGACAATCCATTGATTGACATCATGAGCATCAATCCACGCAGTAGGGATACGATGACACGCATCAACCAAGTCAGCGAGCCTGACCACCCGATCCCGTTAGTCGCCTCTTACGACAAGCATAGTCGCCTTTTACGGCAAGCATATATGAGATATTGACCTACTCTTCTTGTTACTATAACTATGAATAGGGACAGTTACTTATCATAATCACTGTATGGGAAACACCACCAAACATTGCACAAGGTGCTGATATACTCTCTCATTTCCATGTTCCAAATTGCCACACAAAACTGCCTGTCTACCTTTACTTGGCAGTGCAGCAAATTCCAGTACGATTGTCTCATTAGGTTTCATGATATTGTTGATGGGGCTGGTCGGGCTGTCTGGGCCGGTGCTGCCCCCTGGCGACAAGTCCTCCTCAATCTCCTCGTCTTCTTCATCGATGGTGGATGCATGGTCCATGTCCTCCTCCTCCTACAAGACAAGACTCTATAGACATGTTGCAACAAACCAATGCGCTGGCAGATGTCCATATGGGTAAAACTCAATAGCTCAACAACGATGCTAAGGAAACATTTACTTTTGACTCTGATCTGATGGCATGAAAATTATTATACAACAAATGGATGGCATAAATCTAAAACATGAACAAAATATTCGACATTCTTGGCAGCAAGTTATTAATTAATTCAAATTCTTTCAATTCAATTTTTGAGAAAAAATAAGAAACCTATTCCGGTAATATGGCGTACTGACGAACATTTCTGCACATTGAACATACAGTTTGTTTTGGCCATAATCGAGAGCGTGATGAACACAGGCAACTGGGTGATGATGCAATATAGCACAAAGTCCTTCTTCCAACCAATGTCAAGCACCACAACCATGATTGGGCCACCGGAGGAACTTATGACAATAAAGGCATGGTAGGTAATTTCCCTTCCCAGTCTTGTTCGAACAGTGCTGCAATAAGCTATAAGCTGTGTGTGTACGAACATGACACCAAGTATCCATGGCAACAAACACAAACAAACCTGATCCCCAAATGTTCTCCCGTGCAGGACGTACGTGTGGCTCTGGTATATTTACAAAGTGAATGTTGTTATTTGCCACAGCAACATTCCAGCTATTTCATTATCACAGCTTGTGGGAAATGATTACTTCAGGCCAGGCAAACCTGTTGCTGATGTCATGAGCAATGGCCCTCATTGTTGGGGGCACAAGGATACACAATTAGCCAGGCCACACACTGACCGGCAGTCATTAGTCAGCTTTTTAAGCATGGGGACCGTTCAGGTTAGAAGAGGTCCCCAATAACCTATGCTGATAGGCTGTTTGCATCTCATTGAATCCCAATTGTCTGGATTGATGCTTATGATCAATCACTGGATTGTCTGACCCGGATTTGATTATGTACAGGGTGTCTTGATATAGCTGGAATATTCCTGAGTGCAGCATTAAACAACAAACAAAATATAGGGGAGGCAGACCAGTTCTACCTCGGAATCCCAGTTGGGGAGTCAGCAAATCTTCATTAACTCCTGAGTGCAAGAGTTATAACACACATCACGATTTGTAGCAACTGTGAATGACATGATTCCAACTGATCCTCAAAGCAAGGAGACTCTCATGCGTGTTTGTAACTCAATCTACAGCAACCCTAGGTTCTCACCACACATCTCAACATCACAGCTGACCACCCCATGTGCATCACCTGAGACTAATATAAGTTCATGCAAACTACAAGGGCTGTAACCATACACTTGAAGGGGAGAAGACACTCTCCTTACAAACTAATCGACTCAGCGATATGATTGAGGCACAAAGTCTGGCGTGCACCTCTCTGTGGATTGTTACAGCCCTGACACTAACCAATTCTAATTAAGCACAGGTTCCCCATTGTTAGTCAGTAGGTTAGTCTGATCTGTTAACTAGGAGGCAACAAGGAGGTTAGAACCGCATACATTTGAACGTCTTACACGCCTTGACCTCAATGCTCTCTGGATGACCAAAGCAAATCATACAGCTTAGAAGATCGCAACTCCTCTACTTGAACATCGACTTATGACAGCCGGTAAGCTTAGACGATCGTAACTCCCATACTTTAACAAAGACTTGAGACAGTCTTAGTGTTTAGATGATCGTAACACCCATACTTTAACAAAGACTTGAGACAGTCTTAGTGTTTACATGATCGTAACACCTATACCTTAACAAAAACTTATGAGAATCTCAATGTTAAGACAATCGTAACTCTCATACTTTAACATAGACTTACAACATTTGTACTGCTGAGGCGATCGTAACTCTAATACTTTAACACAGACTTGCGACAGTCGGAGTGCTTAGATTATTGTCATTCGCTTGTCATGCTGAAGACCAGGGTTCGTTTCCCCACATGGGTACATTGTATGAAGCCCATTTCTGGTGTCTCCCACTGTGATATTGCTGGAATATTGCTAAAAGCGGCGTAAAACCTTACTCACATACTCCAAGACCACAGGGCCCTGACAGTGATTGTAGATGTTAGCAACAGTGAATAGAATGTCAGAAATACATGTTTAAAGTAAATGATGTGTTAAATGGAGAAAGGGTTGTTTCATCTATCGCTATATCACTGTACCACTGTGGAGCACTAACATCAGGAACAAGTCATACATAATACAACATGCCGTAATCTAGGACAAGAATGTATGCACCAGTCCAAATAGCAATTGACGCATTACGTTTGGGTAATTTGTTTAGATTAGTAAGAGCTTTTCTTTAATCTTCTTCATAAACGTAAGTATGTCTTAGAACATTCTCATTTGAGTAATACAACTAGCAATGTCAGTAACAGCAGCAATGTCAGTAACACCAACAGCCCCAGCATGCCAACATCAACATCAAACCTTCAGCTGTATCAACTCCTGGCGTCGTGGAGGGGCCCTGTATGGGTTGGTGGACAATTGGGGGAGGCCCTGATAGGCAGACAGGTCATTAAATAGTACAGAGAAATAGAATGTCCTATAAAATGTAAGGTAGGAAAAAAGCTAAAAGTTTACATCATCAACACTTGTTATTTCTAAACAGATGTACATATCTTAATCAGGTTGATACAAATATATTCAAGTCGTTATGCTACATGAAAGGGTGAATTAGTTTGAAGAAAAATGTCTGACTGTGAAAAAAGTAAAATAATCCCAATGGTGCTGAGAAGAACACATCACACAGATTAGAGAATGAAATGAGAACTACACACTTCAGTATGACAGTGTGGTGGATGGTGTGAGTGGATTGAAGGAACTATGGGCACTTACCGAGCTCACCTCCTTGGCCAGACTCTGTCTGATGCTGGCGTTCATCTCCAGGCTCTGCCGCAACCGCTAAAATAAAGACAAGAATATGCGTCAGACATCACACGCAACACCATGGAAGGTGCATATATGAACAGGATGCAGGTTCTGCCCTGCTGCATTACTACAGTCATAATATCTATTGACCTCTTGTGTGAACAGTGTTGCCTAATTCCGATCACAGAGCTTGTAGCCAGAACCACATGGAGTACACACACGATCAGGAGCTGATGCAGCAAGTCACAGTGAGCCAGCTTATGTAGGAGGGGGGTAGAAAGTGTAGGCACACAACTCCTTACCCTAGATTCTGCCAGTGAGAGAGTCAGACACAACTCCTTACCCTAGATTCTGCCAGTGAGAGAGTCAGACACAGCACCTTACCCTAACGTCTGCCAGTGTGAGAGTCAGACATAGCTCCTTACCCTGATGTCTGCCAGTAAGAGAATCAGACACAGCTCCTTACCCTGAAGTCTGCCAGTAAGAGAATCAGACACAGCTCCTTATCCTGAAGTCTGCCAGTAAGAGAATCAGACACAGCTCCTTATCCTGAAGTCTGCCAGTAAGAGAATCAGACACAGCTCCTTATCCTGAAGTCTGCCAGTAAGAGAATCAGACACAGCTCCTTATCCTGAAGTCTGCCAGTAAGAGAATCAGACACAGCTCCTTATCCTGAAGTCTGCCAGTAAGAGAATCAGACACAGCTCCTTATCCTGAAGTCTGCCAGTAAGAGAATCAGACACAGCTCCTTATCCTGAAGTCTGCCAGTGTGAGCGTCAGACACAGCTCCTTACCCTAATGTCTGCTAGTGTTTGAGTCAGCTGTAACTCTTTACCCTAACGTCTGCCAGTGTGAGAATCAGACACAGCTCTTTATCCTAATGTCTGCCAGTGTGAGTCAGACACAGCTCCTTACCCTGACATCAGCCAGTGTGAGAATCAGACACAGCTCTTTACCCTAATGTCTGCCAGTGTGAGTCAGACACAGCTCCTTACCATGACGTCTGCCAGTGTTTGAGTCAGCTGTAACTCTTTACCCTAACGTCTGCCAGTGTGAGAATCAGACACAGCTCCTTATCCTGAAGTCTGCCAGTAAGAGAATCAGACACAGCTCCTTATCCTGAAGTCTGCCAGTGTGAGCGTCAGACACAGCTCCTTACCCTAATGTCTGCTAGTGTTTGAGTCAGCTGTAACTCTTTACCCTAACGTCTGCCAGTGTGAGAATCAGACACAGCTCTTTATCCTAATGTCTGCCAGTGTGAGTCAGACACAGCTCCTTACCCTGACATCAGCCAGTGTGAGAATCAGACACAGCTCTTTACCCTAATGTCTGCCAGTGTGAGTCAGACACAGCTCCTTACCATGACGTCTGCCAGTGTTTGAGTCAGCTGTAACTCTTTACCCTGACGTCTGCCAGTGTGAGTCAGACACAGCTCCTTACCCTGACGTCTGCCAGTGAGAGTCAGACACAGCTCCTTACCCTGATGTCTGCCAGTGTTTGAGTCAGCTGTAACTCCTTACCCTAATGCTAGTGTGAGAGTCCTACACAGCACCTTACCCTAACTTCTGCCAGTGTGAGAGTCAGACACAGTTCCTTACCCTAATGTCTACCAGTTTGAGAGTCAGACACAGCTCTTTATCCTAATGTCTGCCAGTGAGAGTCAGACACAGCTCCTTACCCTAACGTCTGCCAGTGTGAGCGTCAGACGGTCGTTGAGCTCCTCCTCCTGGCGTATCTGGGCCGCCTTCCGCTTGAGGTAGCTCGTCTTGCGGCTGCTGCCCGGCCTGCTGCTGCTGCTGGTGGGACGGCTGCCGTCATGGCCACGAGCGTCTATCTCCAGGTCACTGTCCGAGTCATACCTCTGCTCCACATAAAGCCACACCATGGAAACGTGTTATCCATTCTTTTGATAATGATTATTCAACTTTATACAAGAGTTTTCTGCATATTGGTTATCTAACATTTCAGAGAAGTAATGCGATTGTAATGGTTATGGAATCAAAAAACCTGAATGCCGACCTTGCAGTACCATCTTTACAATCTATATACAGAAGACAAAAAAAAGGGACCCACCTGGTCTCTCTCATCTCCGGAGCTGCGGTAGTCGCCACTGTCGTCCATCTCGAAGTCGTCCTCGTAGTTGCCCGTCATAATATCTGACATCGAATCACACCATGAGTAAACAACCATGGTACTGGGTGAGTATTCTCATTGCGGACATGTATCACCAAGTTAACAGAAGGGGCACAACTAACCAAAGATCATAACCGGGACAATTCAAACCTATAAGCTGTGGTTCCTGGTACTACCAAGGGAAGCAACTCTGCACAGGGAATCGTGGGGCCTTAGTAGACATGTGTCCCCTTTTCTAACTTGAAACAGGACAACTTTTTCATACTATTGGTATAACTTTTAATTACACAGTGAGTGAGGGGGGATCATCGCTGCTTCAAACAATATTTCAGTTCTATGACATAGTTTAAGCATAATGTTAGAGGTCATAGACATTACCATGGTTACCACTTTGGTGAAACCCACAAGCATGGTGGTAACAAAGCCTGGATCATAATTGGGGCAAAATAGGGAACGTGGGATGCTGAAGAATATGACATGACTTGATTGAAGGGCCAAGTCAAACCCATGATCAACATATCCTGATACAGCTAAGGGATGCAACTCTACTTATCGAATTGTGACACCACAACAGGGCCACCTATGACCATCCATACCAAAATGATATCAATACATACTAAAAGTGGTCACATGAAAGCACCCTTCTAATCATCTTATTTTCATCTATCATCAAGCCTCCATTAACAAAATTTGTAAGCTTAGAAAAAGTAAAAATGTGTCCCAGTCAAATGAAATATTTCAGTTCCTCATGCCAGTATAGATATGAGAAGTACGCACTTGGCGCCCTGACTTTTCTCTTGTCTCCCGAAGCAGTGGTGATGTCCACAGAGCCCACATTCCAGCCTTTCCTGCGAGTCTTGGAGGGAGCGGTGCGAGCTCGCTGCTTCTCCTCCTGAATACGGCGCTCCTCAGCTCCCAGCTCCACCAGGTCCTTCGCGTTCAGGTAGATGTTCCGCCGCATCTCTGTGGCAACAGCATCAGCAATCAACACTACACATACTTCCGGGCCTCTGTTTAACTGGGCCATTATTGGGTGATCTTTGACCCAGCTTACACTGAATCACGATCAGCTGATTACATGAGACGAAAGGATGTGGCTACATAACGTGAGAACAGAATATGACTACAGAAAGTGACTACAGAAAGTGACTACAGAATATGACTACAGAAAGTGACTACAGAAAGTGACTACAGAACGTGACTACAGAAAGTGACCACAGAACGTGACTACAGAAAGTGACTACAGAAAGTGACTACAGAACATGAATACAGAAAGTGACAACAGAAAGTGACTACAGAACGTGACTACAGAAAGTGACTACAGAAAGTGACTACAGAACGTGACTACAGAAAGTGACCACAGAACGTGACTACAGAAAGTGACTACAGAACATGAATACAGAAAGTGACAACAGAAAGTGACTACAGAAAGTGACTACAGAACATGACTACAGAAAGTGACTACAGAACGTGACTACAGAAAGTGACTACAGAACGTGACTACCTAAAGTGACTACAGAACATGACTACAGAAAGTGACTACAGAACATGTTTTATTTCATATCCTAAGCTTCATGTGGTGGACATCACCTTGTACCTGCACATTACACTGATACATTCTTGCTTAGCACCCTGTCATCTGACTCTCCTTAAATGGGTGCTTGTCTCGGGCCGTCGCAGTCTACTTGATTGAACTAATTCAAAACCCACATTGTTTGTCTGTAAACTTAATGGCACTGCGTACATCATTCTGGCATGCATTACACCCATACACTGTCTTAGATTCATACCTATGCTTCGAAATATTCAAAGTCAAGACGTTTCCACATAATTTGATGTAAATATGTGTACCGCGGTACATATCATATTGTGACCTTTATATCGTGATACGTATCGTATTGTGACCTTGCTGTATCATTTCACACCTACTGTCCTCTACATCCCTCTTCACGAGCTCATATTTAAAGGGGGCGGTCAGGTAGCCTAGTGGTTAAAGTGTTTGCTTGTCACGCCGAAGACCGGGTTCGATTCCCGACATGGGTACAATGTGTGAAGCCCATTTCTGATGTCCCCCGCCATGATACTGCTGGAATATTGCTAAAGCGGCGTAAAACCAAACTCACTCATACTTAAAGGTGACCCTGGGATCCTTGACATTTGCTGCTGTGACCTGCTAAAACCTTAACTGTTAACATCAGGGTTATGACAAGCATCCATTGATTTTCATGCTTAATTTCACACTCTGACGCAGTGGTGACTTAGCATAACACCACTGCCACGGGCTAATTTGCATATCACGTGACCGGACTTTTCTCTTGTTTGTAAACAAACGCGCTTTTTCAGAAATCAGAACAGACTAATGCAAGTATTTTGGGGCGCTTTATATATTGTTTTGCATACTTTATACTTGGTAATTATATAGATATGCTCCTACAACTGTGAGAGTGAGTTGCATGACGATACATATTTACACATCAAAGTGACCGTATCGCTAGTTCTCCGTTGGGCTTCGATGACAGCACGTGGAACCGTACAACCAATGTAAACATAGGATAATTACGCAAATGGAAAGAGTTTTTCACGATTTAGGATATTTTCTCAATGAAAGTTAACCATTCTATGACATATGTTTATCTAGATATGTAGACTTGTCAAAAAGTGAAACAGATGAAAAACATATGCAATATCTTGAATGGACTGTGCAAGATGTGACCAATCGTCACATGGCGCTAGCCTGTGGCAGAGGTACTATGCTGGTCGCATGGAACTCCTGGTTCTTCTGGAACTTAATTTCAACACCTGCATACCAAGAACTGAACTACCATGCACTGTCCAACACAACATCCTGACAGCCATTCAGACATGTAGCAGACCCACCTCCAGCTGTTTTGGGCAACTTGACCTTGCCGACACTTTTCCCTGTTGGTTGTGCGATGGGCAGGTCCCGCTCGGCGTTGGCGCCATTCACGTACAGAGCGAAGCCTTGTTCCTTCCGCTCTATCTGGATCTGGCGGGAGTTCTTCTCCCGGAGCTTCTTAATCAGCCTGTGTGCACAACATGCAGTTCTACTTGTGTGGGACATGATCAATGTATTTAGTTCCCATACTGAAACCTAACTTATGTATCTACATTGTTGTGTGGCAGTAGAAACTGTGTAAATGTATTTGTAGTACTTGTCAGTGGCAGCAATTGATTGACGTACTAGTTTAACCCTGCACTCGGCAATATTCCAGCTACATGACAGCTGTCTGTAAATAATCGAGTCTGAACCAGACAATCCAGCGATTTAAATCATGAGCATCGATCTACACAATTGGGATACGATGACACGCATCAACCAAGTTAGCGAGCCTGACCACCCGATCCTGTTAGTTGTCTCTTACGACAAGCATCGTCTCCTTGCACAGCAAGCATGGATCTGTGTAAATGGGAGAGACTAACACACTATCAGTCTGTATAGCCATTGTGTGTACCCGGTCCTCATTTTAGAGGGCTCTCAAGACGTAGGGTACTGGAGACTCATCCTGCCTCCAATCGCCTTGGGCTGCCTTACCATATAACCATATACTCTTCTCCAATTTATCTGTTACAACCATACACTCTCCAGTTTACCTGTTATAACCATACAATCTTCAGTCTACTTGTAATAATGACATATTCTCCAAATAACCTGTAATAATCAGACATTCTCCACTTGACCCATTATAACCATACATTCTCCAGTTTACCTGTCACAACCATACGTTCTCCATTTTACCTTCATTAACCATACATTTTCCAAATTACCTGTTATAATCATACATTCTTCAGTTTACCCGTTATAACCATGTATTATCAAGATTACCTGTTATAACCATAACCATAAACTCTCCGGCTTACCTGTTCTTTTCCTGGAGTAACATGAGGTACTCCTCATGGTGGGGAAAGATTTCTTCCCGAACTGCTGGTGCCTGAAACATCAAATATACAGCATGATACATGCCTAAGTTAAAACTAATCAAATAATATATATACAGTTAGTGGACACAGAACACTCAGCAAAATCTGTGACGAAACACTCCTTTGCCGTTGTGCCGCGAAGTGTGAAACACTAGTACATCCCAGCTTAATCATGTGCTATATTTAGAACATGCAAGTCACGTGACAGTCAGCTGATGTCGTCTGCTTGCCCTAGTTATTACACAGTCGGAGGCGGGAGTTAGGGGTTGCAAATCAGCAAGTATTGTGAGTGAATGGTCGGCGCAGTCTATGGATCTCAATATCATGGAGAACATTTGGTTAAAAATCAAAAGAAGTCCTCAAACACAGGGCGCAACTAACAGTAACTCTGCTGAACATTTAACAACTATCAAAGACGTTTGGATCAATACTGGTTTGGAGTATATTCACAGAGTTGCAAATAATAGCTTGTTCCACCGTCCGTGACGGGTTAATTTCGACATAACGACATATTCTGATATTCGACATATACGATACAAAAATACCTAAATTTAGTGGATTTTTCATCGAGATATCGCAGATAGAAAATTACAGTTACTTACGGAAGTATGGCTTATTGAAAATGGCTGCCGTTTTGGCATCAGTGCAACATGCACAGGTCATGTTAAAAAACATAATACTGGCCATATGTACAAACAGTGAACTTTTCATATAACTATGAGGACAGCTTGCAGATCGTTTCATGATTTTTAGAACTTCCAACTTGGTTGTTAAATGTAAACAAATTGTTGGGTCACGTGAATTTTGAAGATGTTCAAAGTAAACCCAAATGACGCCTAAATCGTAATCATGGTAATAGAAGTCTCAGATGTATTCAGTAAATAAACTGAACAAAATGTTTTAATGAATTTTAAACTAATAGGCTGGTAACAAAACTGGAAATAACTTCTTTGAATTTGGTACCCCATGGAACAGAAATCATGACCCCTCAACAGCTTGCTCAACAGGATTCCCGATACCCTTAACATCTGATTCCTCCAAAAATACTTTAAAATGTGTGTATATTATTGGATAATTAGTAATGTCAGTTGAAAGGTAATAACACTTCATTTAATATATATTTATTTCTTTACATTGTCAACTTTTGCAGGAATTATTTGTGATCAGCTGTTGATTTTGTTGGCATGCGGGAGACAACAGTGTGCGTTATCAGTTTTCTAGGTCTTCAAATTTTTACATGTTTTGATAGTAATTAAATATTCAAAGTGATAAGACATGAAATAGCAACTGTTGTATAGGGGATTACAGTTTGACTGGCAAAAAATATATTATATTCTTTCGAAGATATTTTATGGAACATCTAGAAATATTGTTCAATTAACATTTAATTAGTGGTGACAGTTCATCATATATCAATTAAATAATGAGTATTGGTCCTGGATCACTCTTTGTTAATTAGCAACAATTAAGTCTTTTATTTCCATCAGAAGGCAGTGTGCTTGCCATGTGCTGCAGCCAGAAGATGTGGATGAGTAACAGGAAGTTGAAAAGGCTAATGACGTTCACAATTTTTATGAATTACATTTGAATGAATAATTCACATTTTTCAAATTTTAGGGGAAAATCTGGAAAATAAAGTACTGTAGCATATTCTAAACTTTAAATCCAACTTACTGTTTGGCCACTAAAATTGTTCAGAATCTGTAATTCTTGCATAGTGGGGATTCTTGCAGATGGGTACATTTGTGAAAACTCTTCCAACAGTGGTGCCTTTTCTAAAGGCGATTATCATCTAAAATAGGGTCGTTTGTGGTGAGGTGAAATGGGGTTTAACGTTGCATTCAAGATTATGGCACTTATATATAGCGATGTGCACAGATATGTGTGTTTGGCTGCTTGTACTAGTCTGGACTCATGTTGATTTTATAGCCCACAGAGATACCATGCCACAGTTCAACATGAAAATACCCCACTCAGTCATAGTATACTGACTCTGAGTCGACCAATCCTTGTTTACCAGACAGGGTAACAACAAGTACCATCTCTTAACTTCTTTGGGTACGATTGTTTGTGATCTGAAATGTTCATGGTAAGCATGGTAAGAAGGAGAAAGTGTTGTGTGTATATCCATACAGTTTGTCTTTGGTATCTTTCCAAAATCCCTTCGATAATTGGATTTTTAGGACATTGTTGGTGTTTTGACCTTCAGGCCACGCCCTGCCAATGTCAAGTGTTTTGCATGCATTTTTAAATTTGACCCCTTATTGTATGTTTTCTTGATTTCTGAGGGGATTTAGGTGACAAAAATAATCTTTTAATAACTTTAATGTTGTTGAGCACAGTTTTAAATGGAATAAGCTTTTTGTGCATTATTAAAGTGTTTATGTTGTGATTACAAACACTCGTTTTGTGGACCAGGATGAACAGTGATGCGCACTCCACCATTGTCCACTGAAGCCAGTCTCTGCAAGGTTAGCTGATCAGGCAGAAATATTAATGAAGTAAAGTAACTTACTTTGATCTACTTACGTTTTTAGATACTATAATTTTCATTTGATGAAAATTTTGTTACTTGACACAATGTTTTTTTTCTGTTTTCTGGTATGTTTGATGAACTCATATCTAAGAGTTCAATGCAAGATAAACACAATTTTACTTATCATTTTTGGATGAAAAATTCAGTCATATTTATAGTTTTGTTTATTGAATAGATAATTCATGGACATTCTGTTCATAATCTTAAAAAGTTTTAAGATGATTGGATTGATAATTTTTAAGATAATTGATTCTTTATTTATATATATAAATGTAGATGTAATTGAAAGTTGTAAAATTCAGATAGTTTCAGAAAAAATTAAATTGTTTGTAAACAAATGGCTGCCATATTATCAGTGATGAATTCTTGTGACCACTGTATACATACATAACCTGTATACTATAACCAAAATAATATAAAGTTCTAGATCAGTTATGTAAAATTCACCTTCATTAAATACTACAGTCAAGTCTTGTTAATCCGACAATCGGTTTTATCTGACACTAATGACGGGAACCGATTAAATCAGTGCTATTTAGACCGTTAATCCGACAGTCTCACACTCTGACACATCTAATTTGCAACGAATTACGGAAATCACTCATTAATCAGTCTTGTTAATCCGACAGGACTAACAGGAAGTCAACGTTAGCCACTTAGAAAGCAGCTCTTGTAAGTAAGTTTCAAAGTTGCGACTTCCATTCCAGACTATGCTCTTTAAAGTATTTTGAATATGTCGTACAGTCCTTAACAGTTGTTTTGGGTCGAGCTTTAGAGGTTGCATGATAATAAACAAATTCGGCTAACAATGTAACATAACAATATGAATATTTCAATTTCATATTTTTATTACGTGTTTGTATCGTTATCTATCGTGTAGTTGTCCGATTTTTAATCACGAACGTTGATACTGCTTAATTTGTTTATCCAACATACTCGTTAATCCATCATAATCATATGCAACCAACCATGTCGGATTAATGGGACTTTTTTGTATTTTCTTAAACTACTCAAAACTTACATCAATAGGCACTTGGATGTCTGGATCACCCTTGCCCCATTTCTTCCTTGACTTGCTGGCTGCAATAAAACACAGAACTCTTAGTTAATGGCAGCTGTTCATATACATGGTATACTTCGTGCGTTCATACACATTACTGGCCTTATAGTCATGAAATACAAGATTATCATTTAATAACAAGGCAATCACAATAAAGGAAATGCATAATTAATTGACACAATGCTAAAACAGTGGAGTATCCACAAGTTACTGGAACTGAACATGCTCAACAGTTGTTGACATAAAGGGTACAACAGAGATCAGATGGATATGTACCCCATGCACCTTTCTGTATCTTAAACATGCACTCTAACCAAAAAGCAGAAATGTGCTTCAGTTTGGAATAACATGGCACTGGAACCACAGTCTATTGTACAATGCACATAACAGGTTCCTTTCCTGACTTGTGTCGTTTGCAAAACAACCAGAGACCACTGAGACACCAAACACTGGCCTCTACCATGCAATCATATGAACAGCAGAAATTATCAACTTGGAAAAAAACTCTTTATTTTTGTTCAATGCCATTGTAACCTGTGAATGATGTTAAATCATTCACCATCAAAAATTACGGACAAAATTATGCGATCGTGCTACACTAGCTTGTGGATAAGATAAACTAAACACCTTATTATTACACATATTGCCTTTTGCAATTACAGAGAGAAATTGGCTTATTGATAAAGAAATGAGAGTTAATTACAGCAAGCATTTACTTGTTAGTAGTGAACCGTTAAAACAATTGTACAGCTGAATAAACTTCAAGTGATCGAAAACAGAACAATCGGCTAAGAAAAAAGTTTATCTGTCTGAGCTATTGATATTGAGTAAAATAATAACTAAGGAACTTACTTTCCATAATTTTAGGTCAGGTCAACGTATGCATTACACGTATATTTCCATCACAGTCCTTATTATTGGTGTTTCTAACAGTAGCTTCGTGTGCATGTATGTTGTTGTTGTTGCTGTTATCGTCAGTTTACATTGACATTCCTCCATGAAAATGATGGTTTGCGCACATGCGCAATATCCGGGCATTTTCAACATGGCTGCGCCCATACACAGTGCGGACACTGAAATCGTCAACACAACTTGTCATGATGAAATCTGACTGAAAAACGTAACGACTACTATGTTGTCATGATAAATTAAAAAACACTAAAGATGTTCTGCAAGGAGAAGGCCTTATGGTGAGCAAATACGTTTGTCAATCATCAAATCGTAAATTTATTTAGTTTTTTAAAAATAAAATATGAGAGGGGGCAGGGGGGAGGTGTGTCACCGAGCTTTCAACTGAACGGCCAGTGCAGCTGTAAATAGTATGCGTGAGATGAACTTAATTTTCTATGTGGTTGGTAGTTTGTCCAAACCTATCTTGTGAAAGGGTGCAGGCTAAAACGGCACCTCAGCAAAACGTCACCGATTTCTCTGGCGAAAACGGCACCGCATTTGGCGAAAACGGCTACTATGTGTCGGGCGAAAACGGCACCTCTATTTTTAATAATGATAACAACGATTTTCGTCGTAATATATATGGTTTATTTACATGGTATTTGATGTATTTACATGTTATTGGATGTATGTGATGTATTTACACGGACAGGTAAGAAGTCCTCGGCAATCTGAAAATATGAATAAAAGTTAAAATACAATATTCGTTCTGTTACAAAATTGTGGTTATTATGAGAATTTATACAATAGCATTATGTAGTTTATTTTATTATTATTAGTACCTCGAAGTCCAAAGTCCCCGACTCTTTGGGGCGCAACAGTTCCCCGGGTTCAGTTTGCCATGCGAATGAGGGTTGATACTGGCGCCCGATTTGTAGATGTTTTCAACAGCTTGTTCCTTTACCTAAAACATAATAAGTTCAATTACTCTACTGTTACAATAAACTATTCAACATGTAATTGAGAGCTTATTGTAAATTACTGGGACAATTACACCAATCAGTTATAACAACAATATTAATACCTCAACTCGGACTTGAATTGCTGTCAACACTGTCCTGGTACCTGGTTTGGTACTCTCATTTCTTCTGCATCTTCTGATTGGAAACTGACATCAAAGTTACCGATCACCTTTTCAATGATGGGATCTACACATCTCAAACAGCGGAAAGGGAAGTCTTCTTCTGTCCGGCAAATTTCTTTTTTTACGGGCCACAGTTATCACATGATACAGCATGTTGATTTTTTCTGACATTCTTCTCGCATGCAACACATCGAAAGGCCATTATGAATAATTGTGATCTGACAGGACCATGTTTGGCCTCTTCAATACAGTTTCAGCTTAAATTGAGTAAAAGTACTTAAAACTTCAAAGCGTATAGTGTTTTCACAATAAGTTAACTGCGCCTACCAATCAGAGTCAGCAAGTAAATTGGAGAAGGGGTCTAATTTCTTACTTGTTTTATGTAAGTTTATTGTCATTTATTTGACCAAGGTGTAAAAAAATAAGGTGCCGTTTTCGCCAGGCAATAGTAGCTGTTTTCGCTTGAGTCAAGGTGCCGTTTTCGCCAATCGGTGCCGTTTTCGCCCGGTGACGTTTTGCTGAGGTGCCGTTTTCGCTATAACCCTTGTGAAACATGTCCAAGGGACACAGGTCCAATTGTTTGAGGCGCCTCAATTCGCTTTGCGGAGTTGCCTCCCTTTGGCATGCCAGGATCAAATGATTGTAGAATCATCGCGGTGGTGTCATTCTCCTCGCCACTTGCCTTGAATGTTCTATAAACTTTGTTAGACTCAGTTGATTGTCTAGCTATGTTCTTAAATTATACAATCACCTGATTCATGTCATGCCACTGTATGTATTCTTTCACCTAGAATGTTTATCAATATCATCCTATTTGTCTGTTCTGATTTATATAATTGTTTATAACTATTGTTGATAACACATGTTTTATTGTTGAAATTGAATAAGAGGATTGACAGTGTATTTTTATTCGGTTCATTGATGTATGCGCAAACTGTATGAATCTATATAGCGGATTCTTTCAAACGTTTGCACGTGAGTTTTTAGATGACTGTTTAACATAATGAGCTGTGCATCAGCGGGTGAGCCAAGTAGACAAATGGACTCCTCAGCTTGTTCACTGTATTAATCAAATTGTTTTGTTCGCAGTGCAGACGAGCTGTTCAAGTGTCGACGCCAACAAGACAAGTCTGTGCCTCAGAAAGGTGGAGCCAAAGACTATGCTCCAGATGGATCATGGCTCCAGGACAAGCGACTCGAAGCATTCCACCAGGAGAGAACAGCAGTATTGTCAGAGCCAAGGGTAGAACGCTTGTAAGTGTAGATTGGTAGAACACCTGTGAGTGTTTATGGGATGTGTAGGGTGTGGTGTAGTTGGTAGAACACCTGTGAGTGTTTATGGGATGTGTAGGGTGTGAAGTAGAGTGGTAGAACACCTGTGTGTGTTTATGGGATGTGTGGGGTGTGGTGTAGATTGGTAGAACACCTGTGTGTGTGTGTGTGTGTATGGGATGTGTAGGGTGTGGTATAGAGTGGTAGAACACCTGTGTGTGTTTATGGGATGTGTAGGGTGTGAAGTAGAGTGGTAGAACACCTGTGAGTGTGTATAGGATGTGTAGGGTGTGGTGTAGAGTGGTAGAACACCTGTGAGTGTGTATAGGATGTGTAGGTCGTGGTGTAGAGTGGTAGAACACCTGTGAGTGTGTATAGGATGTGTAGGGTGTGGTGTAGAGTGGTAGAACACCTGTGAGTGTGTATAGGATGTGAAGGGTGTGGTGTAGAGTGGTAGAACACCTGTGAGTGTGTATAGGATGTGTAGGGTGTGAAGTAGAGTGGTAGAACACCTGTGTGTGTTTATGGGATGTGTAGGGTGTGAAGTAGAGTGGTAGAACACCTGTGTGTGTTTATAGGATGTGTAGGGTGTGGTGTAAATTGGTAGAACACCTGTGAGTGTTTATGGGATGTGTAGGGTGTGGTGTAGAGTGGTAGAACACCTGTGTGTGTTTATGGGATGTGTAGGGTGTGGTGTAGAGTGGTAGAACACCTGTGAGTGTTTATGGGATGTGTAGGGTGTGAAGTAGAGTGGTAGAACACCTGTGAGTGTTTATGGGATGTGTAGGTTGTGAAGTAGATTGGTGGAACACTTGTGTGTGTTTATGGGATGTGTAGGGTGTGAAGTAGAGTGGCAGAACACCTGTGAGTGTTTATGGGATGTGTAGGGTGTGAAGTAGAGTGGCAGAAAACCTGTGAGTGTGTATAGGATGTGTAGGGTGTGAAGTAGAGTGGCAGAACACCTGTGAGTGTTTATGGGATGTGTAGGGTGTGAAGTAGAGCGGAAGAACACCTGTGAGTGTGTATAGGATGTGTAGGGTGTGAAGTAGAGTGGTAGAACAGCTGTGAGTGTGTATAGGATGTGTAGGGTGTGGTGTAGAGTGGTAGAACACCTGTGAGTGTGTATAGAATGTGTAGGGTGTGGTGTAGAGTGGTAGAACAGCTGTGAGTGTGTATAGGATGTGTAGGTCGTGGTGTAGAGTGGTAGAACACCTGTGAGTGTGTATAGAATGTGTAGGGTGTGGTGTAGAGTGGTAGAACAGCTGTGAGTGTGTATAGAATGTGTAGGGTGTGGTGTAGAGTGGTAGAACACCTGTGAGTGTGTATAGGATGTGTAGGGTGTGGTGTAGAGTGGTAGAACACCTGTGAGTGTGTATAGGATGTGAAGGGTGTGGTGTAGAGTGGTAGAACACCTGTGAGTGTGTATAGGATGTGTAGGGTGTGAAGTAGAGTGGTAGAACACCTGTGAGTGTTTATGGGATGTGTAGGGTGTGGTGTAGAGTGGTAGAACACCTGTGAGTGTGTATAGGATGTGTGGGGTGTGGTGTAGAGTGGTACCTGCAGGTAGATTAGACATTTGAGAGAGCTTACAATCTCATTTGTTTTGGTGGAGGCTGTATAAATCTTGTGTATATGACAACAGGGTGTGATTCTGTTGCAGGGGTGGCCTTGTGCAAGGGACATGGAACCCTAGCAAGAAACTGGTTGAGTTCAAGAAGGAAATGGTATGTTGAAGAAAGGTGGAGGAATTTACTGAGAACCTTGATTTGAACCTATCGAGGCAATATCAAAGTCATTATGTAAGCAACTCTCTTTCCCAAGCCTAGGATACAGAGGGTGTAAGATAGTTACATTTTGTATGTTTTGTGGTTTGTCAGCACCACACTGGTGGATTCCACTGCAGTGGTGAAACTCAAAGATTGTGTTTCTTGGAGACTGAAATCTTAGCAATTGCCAGGAGTCAAGCTTTTTGAGCTCTGTTACCAGCCACTGGCTTTATGGTGCTCAACTTCACCTGATTTGGGTTCTGTGCTGTCACGGCTGTTCAAAGGAGATTACTCACATGTTGCGGTTAAAGTTGAAAATACTTAGTCATAACCTTTGAAGGTGTTCACATGATGGTTTGAAATAGTTTTTACATGAAGACATGTTTTTGCAGGGCAAGTTCTGGAGTCACATGGGCTTTGTGGATGAGAGTAGAAAATGGTTGTTCCCTGAAGAAGCACTATTTCTCACGGAAACTGTAAGTGCACATGAACACATTGATGAGGAACATGATGGTATTGGTGGGGTACATGATGGCATTGATGGCGGTACATGGTGGTATTGATGGGGTACATGGTGGTATTGGTAGGGTACATGATGGCATTGATGGGGTACATGGTGGTATTGATGGGGTACATGGTGGTATTGGTGGGGTACATGGTGGTATTGATGGGGTACATGGTGGTATTGATGGGGTACATAATGGCATTGATGGGGTACATGATGGTATTGATGGGGTACATGATGGTATTGATAGGGTACATGGTGGTATTGATGGGTCACATGATGGTATTGATGGGGTACATGGTGGTATTGGTGGGGTACATGGTGGTATTGATAGGGTACATGGTGGTATTGATGGGGTACATGATGGTATTGATGGGGTACATGGTGGTATTGGTGGGGTACATGATGGCATTGATGGGGTACATGGTGGTATTGATAGGGTACATGGTGGTATTGATGGGGTACATGGTGGTATTGATGGGGTACATGGTGGTATTGGTGGGGTACATGATGGCATTGATGGGGTACATGGTGGTATTGATAGGGTACATGGTGGTATTGATGGGGTACATGGTGGTATTGATGGGTCACATGATGGTATTGATGGGGTACATGGTGGTATTGATAGGGTACATGATGGTATTGATGGGGTACATGGTGGTATTGATAGGGTACATGGTGGTATTGATAGGGAACATGGTGGTATTGATGGGGTACATGGTGGTATTGATGGGTCACATGATGGTATTGATGGGGTACATGGTGGTATTGATAGGGTACATGGTGGTATTGATAGGGTACATGGTGGTATTGAGAGGGTACATGATGGTATTGATAGGGTACATGGTGGTATTGATAGGGTACATGTTGGTATTGATAGGGTACATGGTGGTATTGATGGGGTACATGGTGGTATTGATGGGTCACATGATGGTATTGATGGGGTACATGGTGGTATTGATAGAGTACATGGTGGTATTGATAGGGTACATGGTGGTATTGATGGGGTACATGGTGGTATTGATGGGGTACATGGTGGTATTGATGGGGCACATGGTGGCATTGATGGTGGACATGGTGGTAGTGAGAGGGCACATGATGGTATTGATGGGGCACATGCTGGCATTGATGGGGTACATAGTGGTATTGATGGGGTACATGGTGGTATTGATGGAGTACATGGTGGTATTGATGGGGTACATGATGGTATTGATGGGGTACATGGTGGTATTGATGGGATACATAGTGGTATTGATGGGGTACATGGTGGTATTGATGGGGTACATGGTGGTATTGATGGGGTACATGATGGTATTGAGAGGGTACATGGTGGTAGTGAGAGGGCACATGGTGGTATTGATGGGGTACATGGTGGTATTGATAGGGTACATGATGGTATTGATAGGGTACATGGTGGTAGTGAGAGGGCACATGGTGGTATTGATAGGGTACATGGTGGTATTGATGGGGTACATGATGGTATTGATGGGGTACATGGTGGTATTGATGGGATACATAGTGGTATTGATGGGGTACATGGTGGTATTGATGGGGTACATGGTGGTATTGATGGGGTACATGATGGTATTGAGAGTGTACATGGTGGTAGTGAGAGGGCACATGGTGGTATTGATGGGGTACATGGTGGTATTGAGAGGGCACATGGTGGTAGTGAGAGGGCATATGGTGGCATTGATGGGGCACATGGTGGTATTGAGAGGGCACATGGTGGCATTGATGGGGCACATAGTGGTATTGATGGGGCACATGATGGTATTGATGGGGCACATGGTGGTATTGATGGGGTACATGGTGGGATTGAAGGGGCACATGGTGGTACTGATGGGGTACATGGTGGTATTGATGGGGCACATGATGGTATTGATGGGGCACATGATAGTATTGATGGGGTACATGGTGGTATTGAAGGGGCACATGGTGGTATTGATGGGGTACATGGTGGTATTGATGGGGTACATGATGGCATTGATGGAGTACATGGTGGTATTGATGGGTCACATAATGGTATTGATGGGGCACATGGTGGTATTGATGGGGTACATGGTGTTTCTGATGGGGCAAATGGTGGTATTGATGGGGTACATGGTGTTTCTGATGGGGTACATGATGGTATTGATGGGGCACATGGTGGTATTGATGGGGTACATGGTGTTTCTGATGGGGCAAATGGTGGTATTGATGGGGTACATGGTGTTTCTGATGGGGTACATGATGGTATTGATGGGTCACATGATGGCATTGATGGGGTACGTGGTGGTATTGATGGGTCACATGATGGTATTGATGGGGCACATGGTGGTATTGATGAGGTACATGGTGTTTCTGATGGGGCACATGGTGGTATTGATGGGGCACATGGTGGTATTGATGGGGCACATGCTGGTATTGAGAGGGCACATGATGGTATTGATGGGTCACATCATGGCATTGATGGGGTACATGGTGGTATTGATGGGTCACATGATGGTATTGAAGGGGCACATGATGGTATTGATGGGGTACGTGATGGCATTGATGGGGTACATGATGGTATTGATGGGTCACATGATGGTATTGATGGGGCACATGGTGGTATTGATGGGGTACATGGTGTTTCTGATGGGGCACATGGTGGTATTGATGGGGTAAATGGTGGTATTGATGGGGTACATGATGGCATTGATTGAGTACATGGTGGTATTGATGGGTCACATGATGGTATTGATGGGGCACATGGTGGTATTGATGGGGTACATGGTGGTATTGATGGGGTACATGATGGTATTGATTGGTCACATGATGGTACTGAAAGGGCACATGGTGGTATTGATGGGGTACATGGTATTTCTGATGGGGCACATGGAGTCATTGATAGGGTACATGGTGGTATTGATGGGGCACATGCTGGCATTGAGAGGGCACATGATGGTATTGATGGGTCACATCATGGTATTGATGGGGCACATGGTGGTATTGATGGGGTACATGGTGGTATTGAAGGGGTACATGGTAGCATTGATGGGGCACATGGTGGCATTGATGGGGCACATGGTGGTATTGATGGGGTACATGGTGGTATTGATGGGGCACATGGTGGCATTGATGGGGCACATGATGGCATTGATGGGGCACATGGTGGTATTGATGGGGTACATAGTGGTATTGATGGGACACATGGTGGTATTGATGGGGTACATGGTGGTATTGATGGGGTACATGGTGGTATTGATGGGGCACATGATGGCATTGATGGGGCACATGGTGGTATTGATGGGGTACATGGTGGTATTGATGGGGTACATTGTGGTATTGATGGGTCACATGATGGTATTGATGGGGCACATGGTGGTATTCATGGGGTACATGGTGGTATTGAAGGGGTACATGGTAGCATTGATGGGGCACATGGTGGTATTGATGGGGTACATGGTGGCATTGATGGGGTACATGGTAGTATTGATGGGGCACATGGTGGCATTGATGGGGCACATGATAGCATTGATGTGGCACATTATAGTATTGATGTGGCACATGGTGGTATTGATGGGGCACATGGTGGTATTGAGAGGGCACATGATGGTATTGATGGGTCACATGATGGTATTGAAGGGGCACATGATGGTATTGATGGGGTACATGGTGGTATTGATGGGGCACATGGTGGCATTGATGGGGTACATGGTAGCATTGATGGGGCACATGATGGCATTGATGGGGCACATGATAGCATTGATGTGACACATTATAGTATTGATGGGGCACATGATGGTATGGACGGGACACATGATGGTATTGATATTGGTTGCAGACTGTCCTTGAGGTGTACTATGGTGGCGTTCCTCTCAGCATCCAAGAGGCGTACGTCCGACTCCTGGGAGTGGATATTTCTGTGGAGGAGTATCAGACATACGCCCACCTGCGCCGACTTGGATACGTCGTGCTGCGACACGTTGGAGGGTAGGTCACATGTAAACTTAATGTAAGCTGCAAAACATGACAGGCATTTTATGTATTTTATGTTGCCTAATTCTACGTTGGAAAAAATATTTAAGTAAGATTGTATTGAGGCATGAAATAACACTGGCTACAATGTTCTTCTGTAGTTCCCAAATCACGAAGTACGAGCGTCAGATTAAGTTGGACCAACATGTGAAGGAGTCGAGGAGGCGGCACCGAGATAGAAGCAGACAGGCGCAGGGGGTGTCTGCAGATGACATGGAGGTTAAGAAACCGAGACTTGACCCAGCGGAAGACGAGACGGATGAGACGTCAGGAGATCGGGAGGATGAGATGGATACAGGGTCCGGAAAAGACTCCGAGTTTAAAGAACCAGAAGACGATGTGAAGATGGAGATGGACAGGGAACAGATGGATGGCAGGGATGTTGATAGGCTACAAAATAATCAACCATCATTTGCGAAATTAGCAAATCCATGGAATCTACCCACGGAGAGTGAAGGGAAGTTATCAGTTCGACACACTGAGTGGGACTTTGAGACACTTGGCTTCCCAGATATAGGGGACAAGGAGACAGTGGTGTTGAATATTCCTCAGACTAAACATCTGCCTCCGAATGTAACTCTGGATGAGGAATATGAGGACCTGTGTTTGTTTGATGTGACTGAGTATCGACAACAACAGGCGTCTCAGCGCCCCCAGCGGAGACGGGAGGCTGACAATTACGTGTTTGACCTAAACTTTTCCTACTCTGCCTGGGCTCGCAGTCGGAAGAACATTGTGGCAGCTAACTGGACAGAATACAAACTAAAACTGAGGGAATCTCAGCATGATGGGGCAGCGCCCTCTCCAGTTGATCATCTCTGGCAGGGGGAGGTAACTCCACTAGTGAAACCACAAGACGCCACATCAACCAGTAAGATACTTAAGAAATTGTTACTGTCATTATTCTTGACATACAAAAGCAAACTTTGAAAAGCTTTAATTTGCGCAAGTTCCTATGAATGCATGATTTATTATATAGAAGATCGTGGGTCTAATATGTGGATTTTTTTATCTTGCCATGAGTGGTAGACCTCCAGTGTTACCCCATGAGTGTTACCCTGCCAGTGTTCCTCCATGAGTGGTAGACCGCCAGTGTTCCTCCATGAGTGGCAGACCGCCAGTGTTACCCCATGAGTGTTACCCTGCCAGTGTTCCTCCATGAGTGGTAGACCTCCAGTGTTCCTCCATGAGTGTTACCCTGCCAGTGTTCCTCCATGAGTGGTAGACCGTCAGTGTTACCCCATGAGTGTTACCCTGCCAGTGTTCCTCCATGAGTGGTAGACTGCCAGTGTTCCTCCATGAGTGGTAGACCTCCAGTGTTACCCCATGAGTGTTACCCTGCCAGTGTTCCTCCATGAGTGGTAGACCTCCAGTGTTCCTCCATGAGTGGTAGACCTCCAGTGTTACCCCATGAGTGTTACCCTGCCAGTGTTCCTCCATGAGTGGTAGACTGCCAGTGTTCCTCCATGAGTGGTAGACCTCCAGTGTTACCCCATGAGTGTTACCCTGCCAGTGTTCCTCCATGAGTGGTAGACTGCCAGTGTTCCTCCATGAGTGGTAGACCTCCAGTGTTACCCCATGAGTGTTACCCTGCCAGTGTTCCTCCATGAGTGGTAGACCTCCAGTGTTCCTCCATGAGTGGTAGACCGCCAGTGTTCCTCCATGAGTGTTACCCTGCCAGTGTTCCTCCATGAGTGGTAGACTGCCAGTGTTCCTCCATGAGTGGTAGACAGCCAGTGTTACCCCATGAGTGTTACCCTGCCAGTGTTCCTCCATGAGTGGTAGACTGCCAGTGTTCCTCCATGAGTGGTAGACAGCCAGTGTTACCCCATGAGTGTTACCCAGTCAGCATTGTCCACTCAGAGTTACCCCCTCAGTGTTTTCCCAATCAATGTTACCCTGTCAGCATGGCCCCATCAGCGTTACCCTGTCAGCATGGCCCCATCAGCGTTACCCCATCTGTGTTACCCTGTCAGTGTTACCCAGTCAGGGTTACCCCATCAGTGTTTTCCCAATCAATGTTACCCTGTCAGCATGGCCCCATCAGCGTTACCCTGTCAGTGTTACCCACTTAGCGTTACCCCATCAGCATTACCCTGTCAGCGTTACCCCATCAGTGTAACCCCGCCAGTTACCCCATTGGTGTTACCCCATCAGCATTACCCTGTCAGTGTTACCCAATTAGCATTACCCAATCAGTTACCCAAACAGTGTTACCCCATCAGTTACCCCATCAGTGTTACCCAAACAGAGGTACCTAATCAGTGTTACCCCATCAGCGTTACCCTGTCAGTGTTACCCCATCAGCGTTACCCTGTCAGTGTTACCCCATCAGCGTTACCCTGTCAGTGTTACCCTGTCAGTGTTTTACAGTTTGCTGTTGTTCCTGCAGGAGAACTGCTGAGTCGGCTACAAGTGATACAGAGTGTGGACCTGCCCAAACTAGTCAGGTAACCATGGCAACAGATTACTTAACTGGGAAGGAAGGATGACGCAGAATGGGTGTTGCATGCCTGGGGATATGATGGTGGTTCCCACAGAGCTCAGGAATGCATACTTTCCATAGTAAATAGCCTTGGAGCTCAGGTACTGACACATAATTATTTTTTAATAAACAGTGCTTGAAACACCACACAGTAAGAGGCTGCCATGGTTTCATTTGTACCCTCATTTAATTTGTATTAAAATGTATAAAAATGCCCTATCTGATCTGTTCCAGCAAAATTGAGAGACATTCTATGAAAATATCCTTTGATGTCCACCTTCCTAATGCCAAGTTCAAGAAAACTCGCCCTGGACTCCCCAATCACAGAGTCTGTGTTGTCAGGTAGGTCACCTTCGTCTCCATGGTTACTGTTCCTGCCACAGACTCCCCAGTTTGTGAGTCTGTGTAGAAATATCTGTTAGCCAGCTGTTCCTCGGCCTCTCAGTCTGTGTGATGGAGTAGCCTAGTGGTTAATGTGTTCGCTGTCCTGCCAAATGCCTGGGTTCATTTTTGGTGGCCCTTCCATGAAATTGCTGGAATATGGCTAAAACCTCCCTCCCTCAGTCACCTCTTCCCTCCCTCCCTCACTCACTCACTCGTTCACTCACCCACTCACTCACAAACTTGCCCTCATAATGACAGTCTCCACCAAATGTTGCTACAACTCTGATGAAGAAGTAGATTGTCCATCTTATCGTTAGTTTATTGATACTCCAACTGCTTCTGGAACTACTACTTTAGAACTACAACATTTCACTGGACATGCTGGATGTTAAAAAAGATAATGTTGTTTCACCAAAATATGTTGGCTTCTTCTTTCTGAGTACCAATGATATGTCTTGAAAAGCAATCTGGAAATATATTCTGTCCACCTTACCAGTATCATGTCCATGTTATGGGTTTCGTTTTGAGCTCAACACATATTAAGATGACATGGAATGATAACACTGAAATACTGGTCAGTGTTAAACCCAACTCACTCAGTGACTCACTCACTCACTCAGTGACTCACTCACTCACTCAGTGATTCCTCACTCACTCAGTGACTCCCTCACTCACTCAGTGACTTACTCACTCACTCAGTGACTCACTCACTCACTCAGTGACTCACTCACTCAGTGACTTGCTCACTCACTCAGTGACTCACTCACTCACTCAGTGACTCACTCACTCAGTGACTCACTCACTCAGTGACTTGCTCACTCACTCAGTGACTTGCTCACTCACTCAGTGACTCACTCACTCACTCAGTGACTAACTCACTCACTCACTCAGTGACTTGCTCACTCACTCACTCACTCAAATCCACCGCCCCTCAAAGTTTACCATGTACCTGTGTCCTGCAACAAAGTCCAAGCATTCGTAGTCTTACATAAATACATCTTTCTGTTTTCCAGAAGCTGTGACCCCTATCCTACAATGGCTGATATATCAGAGGCAGTGAACTGTTACCATGACAACGTGCCGGTCAACTGGGCAGTGGTTGACAGTGGTGATATTGCCTTCTACAACATGTCCAGTTTGTCACTCCCTGTCGATGTAATGATGGGATGAAATAAAGCTGGTTTACCTGCCCGTGGTCCTTGTCGCGCTGTTTTTAGGGAAGGGTGGGGTGGGATGGGTGTTGCAGTGTAAGCTCACCTACTCATAGCCAATGTTCATATGGCATGGAAGTGTCCCAGTGTTCATCTGTGGATCCAAGTACTTTCTACTACAAATGTTGATGTGAGATTTGCCAAATATATGTTCAGGGTGACATTAAAATTCTCTTGTACACAGTTGTCTCTTCTGCAAACAAAGCCAAAAAACCCTTTCCACATCCAATAGAAATCTCTGCAGAAAGCAGAGTCACTGGTACGATTCCGACTTTAGCATGTTCATGTGTTTATGAATCACTATCAAATAGTGATGACACCAGGTGTTCGCAAAAAGGTGAGTGTATCCTGCCCCTCAAGACATCCTCAGCTTGTCAGTGCTGTCTGCAACATCTGGGAGTGTGTATGGATTCAAGGCTTTCATTTGAAACCAATGTAAACAATGCACACCCAACAAGTATAGTTGGGATCATGGATTCACAAAATTTCATAGAAATATCCAAAACATATTCAAGATCCCTAACTACTTTAGTCAGTATATATGTAGAACATGCTACTACAATGTGAGGAACATCTCAAATGTGTGTCATCTCTTGACATCTGAGGCAACAGATCACTAAGAAAGGTTAATGGTGCTGTCCTGTCATGACTTCTGTGATATGCGGAAATGTGTGGAAATGGTCTTCAGCGACCCATGCTTGTAAAGAGGCCACTAACTAGGTCTGGAGGTCAGGCTCGCTGACTTGGCTGATTCATGTCATCGTATCCCAATTGCGTTGATGGATAATCATGATGTCATACTCGACTATTTACAAAATCGTCATGTATTTGTCATATTGCTGAGTGCAAAGCGTTCATTCGCCCCGACTGGTTTCCAGTATCAGCAAGCATCGACTATAAGATTCCAAGTATCACCTACTGATGTCTTAACGGGTCAGCTCCGTCATACCTATCACGCTTGGTGTGGGAATATGCACCATCAAGATGTCTCAGATCAGTCGGCAGCTCAAAGCTCATCATTCCAACTAGACTAGAACTATTAGGCCACAGACGTTTTTCCTTCACATCATCTTTCAACATTAAACAGCTTTTAGTCTAGACTAAAAACATTCCTGTTCCAGAAAAAACCCTAACTGACCACTGACTACTCCGTGACGACATCCACAGCGACATCCACAGCGCCAGGGTGGACGCCAACAACAGACAGGACAAACACAAGCAGCAGATTTGTGAAAGGGTTTATTACACAATTCTCAACGACCCGTTGTTTCACACAACCTTTCATGAACACATTCTCTTTGATAATATCCTTTCTTTCTGTAAAAAACATACAAAGTGACATTGTTACAAAATAAAAACAAACAAATAAGTAAATTGAAAAAAAATAAATTCAGGAAATGTAACAAAAGCGGAAATTGTATTGAACGAGCGCCGCCTGTGCTGGCGAGGTTTGTCAGACGATGTTGTTTGCGTCTGTGGAGGTTGTCATGCCTCAGTCCGGCAGTTAATGCGCTTACTCCGGTCCCTTCCTGCAGGCATGTCCTCTTTATCTGCGTCAGTCACAGATCCATCTCGTTGGCGAAAATTAAACGAAAACGATTGCACATGTTTAGTGTAAATTATAAAAGGCCATGTATGGTTGACAAATTCGGCTTATCCACAATCAGGTACACTGTAGTTTAAGAGGAAAATTTAATTTAATAAACATTTCTAAACATAATTTTGAAGAGGCTACAACTGCTTGTACTGGCACATGACACCATTGTGTGATTGTTGACGGTGTTGCTGCGAGGCAACGTACGTGCTTTGGTGACCTTGACCGTGGATGAGCCGACTACGTTATACGGTGTATCATGGGTTAGACCTACAACAAGGGTGCTACGACAATATGGAATCATTTACGACACGTTGTTTTAGGATTGCTTACTCTGTCTCAACCTCATGCTTTTCACTTCTTGTTTGTAACGTTGCTTGTCAAAATCGTAGCTGTAATTTCGGGCGGAGACAAAGTAACCAATCAGTTGGAAGGCATTTGCTTTCAGAGTCCCATGCGCACTTTATTCGCGCGTCTTGCAAGGTCATTGGGTATATTTGAAGGACCAATCAGACTCTTGCTGTTCGTCGTACATGATAGCTTATCTCTACCCTCGGAAGCCAGTGTCTAGATACCTCGATCTGTTCACTCTTTCTCGAATGTTTGGTTGTCGTGACCCGTCACTTCAGCTTTTGTGTCAATGGTTACTGCGGTTTTGTTCTCGCTGTCTGCAGGGGCTTCGTTGCTGACGTCGACCTTGGCTGGCGCCGCGGGCTGGTCCCCAGTCACTGCGGGACTTGGGGCTGCTGCTGCGGGGACGCCGAGAGCGGCACTCTGGGTGATGGAGTAGATGTCAGGAAGCTGGGGTGCAGGTGCGCCTGCTACTGGGGCAGGGGCTGGAGCTGCGGCTGGGGCTGGGGCCCCTCCCTCCTGGTTTACACCGTATTGATAGTACTGCGGGGCCATGTAGGCGAGAGGTACCTGGGGACGACTTCCTGGTCCACTGACTGCGACGAAGGCTTGAAGGATGTCACGGATGAGGGCGCCATTCGCCTCCTGGCCTGCTAGGACGGTCTCCTGGATGTCGCGGTCCCTGATTCGTTTGCTGTTTCCACGCTGGCTCATTTCGATGGCAGAGTCGCTGATATTGCTTACGCAGCTGGACATGTCGCTGACGCTGCCACCGTAGGCGTTGCTGTTGGTGCTTCCGGTCGCACCGGTGTGTTTCCTGTTAGCCATGCTCTGGGCAAGTTCCTTCTCCGTCTGTTGGCAACAGCACATCATCCAAGGGAACAGCTTGTTCAGCGCATTCCGGAACTTGGGATGGCTCAAGGCGTAGATGATTGGGTTGTGCATAGCAGATGCCTTGGCGAACATGACGGGGATCTCCGACACATACGGAGTAACCAGCATCGGGTTGCCGAACTGTGCGATCAGGCCCACGGTTGCATATGGCGTCCAAGACAGCATGAACATGCAGAAGATCATCAGACTGACCTTGGCGATCTTCATCTCGGCGCTGGTCTCGTTATCACTCTGTGAGTTGCGGGGGTCGTTAGCGCCCAGGTTCTTGCCCATCTTGACCATCTCTTTGCTGTGGTTGGAAACTGCACGGATGATGAACGTGTAGCAGAAAAGAATGATGAGGACTGGCACGCAGAAGCCGCAGACGTAGAGGCAGATGAAGTAGGAGGTGAAGTGGTCGCCCCTAGTGAGGTAGTCGAAAGTGCAGGATGTCTGGAAGCCCTCTGGGATGTATGCGCCCCAGCCGAAGATTGGTGGGACAGCCCAGATTATCGACCAGATCCACACGCCTACGATCATGAGGAAGGCGCGACGTTGCGTCATGTTCCTCATGGCGGAGAAGGGACGAGTGATGACGAAATACCGGTCAATGGAGATCATTGCCAACGTGTTGATGGACATCAAGCCGAATATGCCACCCGTGAGACCGTAGAGTTCACAGGCTGAGGAGAGAAGAAGTGAAGATGAGTCTGGATACAAGCACGGTTGGTGATAAATGGGTTGGCGACAACAGGAATACAATTTACACATTATATACATTTGGGGACTCGTACTGACTCGAACGCTTTATCTACTGGGCGACCCCACCACACGAGCCGCCCTACAGTACAATCACGTTTGGCACACGGTGGCCGTGCAGCATCAAGTTTTATATGTAACATCACTTATTCTTCCCGCCGTGATATTACTGGAATAGTGCTAAAACGGCGTAAAACCATACTCACTCACTCACTTTTTTTAAAAATCCATAATCGCGAAAGACGCTGGCCCTGGTACAAGAGTAAACGGTTCATTAAAATAGGCCTGGATAAGGTGCAATTCTATTATATTATGTAAATTATCCATCTGATACAGTTAAAGTCAAATTAACCCGAAAGGGTTCACAGACGCCATTACCTGAAGATGTCCGACCCTACGGCCACAAAGTCAAGGATTCAGACGACTATGCTTGTCGTAAGAGGCGACTAACGGGATCGGGTGGTCATGGTCGCTGACTTGGTTGATGCATGTCATCGTATTCCAATTGCGTGGATCGATGCTCATAATGTCAATGACTGGATTGTCTGGTCCAGACTCGATTATTTACAAACCGCCATCATATAGCTGGAATATTGCTGAGTGCGGCGTTAAACACAAAGAAAGAAAGAAAACTTCGGAAACAGAAGCCATGGCGAGGCGGTGTGAGTCGACTTCAGGGTGAGAACGTGCCTACCTATCTTTCCGAACATCCATCTCTTGTTGAAGGCGGAGATAGAGAGGAGGGGGAATCCGTTGACTGCCGAGAAGATGAGGTCAGATAACGCCAGGTTGACGACGAACATGTTGGACGGGGTCCTCAGGCCCTTGGTCCTGGAGATAATGAGACGTGATAAGTACTTACATCAGTATCGATGGAGAGCAGCTAGGGATCACAACGATGGAGGGCTGACATAATGCAGCTTATTTCCTTGCAGGCTAAAATGCTAAACTTGAAAATAGTTAATAGACGTCATGGATGGAGGATTCGAACCCAGGTCGAAAAAGGGAGGTCATAACCTTTGTAAATATAAACATTAACTGCACTGTTACAAGACAGATAACTTGTTAAGCATGGTTTAATTTGGGTTCCAACGGCTTGAATGAAATTTGGGTTTGCAGACAGCGTGGGTTATAATGACATGATTCCAACTGGCTGGGGCTGCCAATCGGCCCGAGTCCAGGCCGCCTTTAATTTGTTGTGCCTAACGATTTCGTTGCGTTATCGTCTAACTGGAGGACAGTCGTGACAAACAAATTACAAATTACAAGATACTTACTTGCTGAAGATGTAGATGACAATGAGGTTACCGATGACGCCGGTGATGCCGACAGCGGTGATGTAGACGCCGATGGTGTAGTGCCACACATCAGGGATTGGGGGGAAGCTCTTCCAGTGAGGGTGGATGAATAAATCCTCCCACGAATCGTACAGGTGGGTTACGTTGTCATGGAAACTTGTCGTTCCCTCCACCGCCGTGACTTCAGTTGTCATCGCAGCCATGATGCTCTCCTGAAACATTTCACTCTGTGATAAGCGCCACAACATCACCCGAGTCAGTTTGATGTAACCCCGTTTGAACAGTATTTCCATTATACGACGGTCTGTCGGCATAATGCCACCAAAAGCCCTTTAGGTCTTACCACCTTAGTGACACCCACGAGCGTGTGTAAGGTGCTGACGAACCAAGGATCATAATTCGAGCAATCTAGATGTGGAACCAAACATCAGTGTATCCTGACACGCCTAATGGAGGTAACTCTGCATTGACTTGCTTCACCCTAGATGAGGCTACAAGGAGCACATGTTGCCCTTGAGTAATGATGGAAAGGTAAAATATTTGACAGGTGTAACCTGGACCATGTACATCCTCATCCGCCCCAACTACGAGCTAAGCCCAATCGCTCCTCAGTCCTATACTATCACTCGTGCAACAGTGCAGATTAAAGACTTTACCCACTGTCAGTCATTTGCATTTCGGTGGTAATATACCGGAACTCACACTAATAGAATAAACTCATGACTCATATGACGACTTGCATACACACACGCGCGTGTGCAAGGGAAGGCCCACTGCGATATCATGCCACAGTTTAACATAACTACCACACTCAGACACAGTATACTGGCTCCGAGCCGAACAGTCCTTGTTTTAGCCCCTTAATGCCTAGCGCCAGACAGGGAACCAACAAGTACCATATTTTCTTTTGTAAGACGGGGCCAGGGATCGAACCCCTGACCTTCCGCTCCCTGGGTGGACGTTCTACCACTAAACCACTGAGGCGGTCCGAATAGAATGAAATCACGCGAATACAATGAACTCACATGAATAGAATGATGACCTCACATGAATAGAATGAACTTACACGAATAGAATGAACTCACACGAGATAGAAGGTGTGAATGATCATACACACTGCAGATGCGCGACCCAGCATCTGACACTGCGACACTGTTGGGGCCTAGTGTTTATCATCAGCATCTATTCCTGTAGTGACATCGCAATGATATCAACATGCACGCAATGTCATTGGCTTTTCCTACCTGCCACAGGTGATCAGTGCCAGAATAATCCTCTTACTGCAACTTAATAGTGACCGTCACGTCACGTCATGTCACATCCACAGGTCAGGGACACACACGTTACAAAACACAGCTAACACTCGCCAAGTCGAACTGGATGACTCGAATACTACATATTTCCACGCACACTCTCTTTGTCGAAGTCGTTATCGTCCCCTTTTCCCACTTAATTTTACTTGGCGTCCAATTTCAGAACTCTTGAGTTATTTATGAGTGGTTCAGTAAATTAAACTCGGTCTTTCACATAGAATGCATGACCGTGCGCGCGCATAAGGTTAGGGCTCAATATTTATTGATTTGTCACTCATTGCCAAAATGAAAGATGAAACACATATTCAAATGTTGGCATCCGCGTACCACATACATATTTCTAGACATGCCACGTTCTGCACTGTGGCATTCGGAATACGGAATACGGAATACGGAATACGGAAAGGGCAAACATATATTGCAATTTTGTTGCGACTGTCAATTTTCCAAGATACATTTAGTCAATTCCCGAGAGAGAAAAAAATCATAATATTTGTTTTGAAATGAAGTGAAAGTGCTAAAATCTCACGCTCCGCAATCGGATTCCAAACAAACCTATTTAGGGCCGTGTCCAAAAGCTACCGGCGCAGCCGTGCAGCGAAGTGTGGCAAACATTTTCCATGGGTGATAACGTTTATCCATCGTGTGATTCTTAGCCGTTATACATACACTGTTTCTGCTATATCTGTTAAAAATAACAACATTTTATACCTTGTTGAAGGTGTGAAACGATCTTGGATCTTGACATTGAGAATAATTAAAACAACAATCAATCTCATTAAAATAAGATCTAAGTTCTCGCTACGGCTTAACAAAGATCTGAGGACATCCCATTACGGGTCACGTCAGACCGACCTTGCGCGAACTTTGACCGACCAATGGAATGACCAATCAGAAGGCAGCTTTCTCGTGCTTTACGGCACTAATTTCAAATTGGCGACTACGCTTCGAACAATATTTTGACAAATTCCCGATTACAAATTTGAAACCTGAACAAAAGAACATTCTGGAATGGCTAATGGATGATCTAGATTGTATTGACTCAGTGGTTAAACCCGTAAATATCGTTCGAAGTTAAAGTTTTCGAGGTTGCATGATTAGAAATCACATTCCGACTGTCACTTTCACAATCTGGTAAGCGATGCTCTGATTGGTCGGATGAAAGGTCGTTCTGACGTGACCTCTACTGGGATGTCCTCAGATCTTTGTTAAGCGGTAGCGAGAACTGAGGTCTGATTGAAATTAGATTGAATAACAATTAACAGTCGGTAACTTGTTTTTTATTACTAACATTCTGTTTGGGAAATAAACCACCAACTGTCCTCAGTTCCTACTCCAGACAATAAATGCTTGTCAGGTATTAATCCCCAGAATAAACCACTAAAGTAATATCCAGTGTTAATAATAAGACATACTGTGGGGTAAGTTGTGGACACTGTAATCAAATGGATGAGCAGACAGAAAAAAAATATAAAAAAAAAAAATATTCGAGGCGGAAACAGGCAGACTGGACGTCAGCCAGATCGTTATGTTTAACCCAGAAAGGGGAATCCCCTCAGTGGCTGATTTTTTCGTTTGGGGTACGATTTCTCCTGTCGTTTTTATCGTCTGTTTTACGCAATTTCCGTTTTTCAATTTAATTTTCGTCAAGCATTTGTGATTCTGTATGCACTAGATTATTAAAATCTGCAAAGTTGATAAGTTGACTTTCCTTGTCCTTTAACAGGGCTCGTCATCCGCCATACCAAACGGTTGACACCCTCCTAAATGGCGACTATGCACCTAGTTTGTATTGGGCTTATGTTGTCGTTAGCGTCGTCATAATTGTTGTCTTTAGCGTTGTCATTACAGCTGACGTTATCGTCGACATAACTGTTGTAGTTAGCGTTGTCATTAGCGTTCTGTACGATGCAGTCTCATTATAGAGTACGAGCATTAAACCTTTAGACATACTAATCAACGAGCGTTAAACCTTTAGACATACTAATCAACGGACTGGCGGGCAAAGTTGCGTTTACCTGAATCATGCTATCTAGAGCTTCCAGTTGGTTCTAACCTAGCCTCACGGTTACGTCCAGGCGACGGGAGACCACACCATTGTTATAACCGGATGTCATAGTCCATATAGAGTCTTCATCAGTTTACATGCCGGGAGTTAGTAGCTTTTGATAACATGAATGTTTTCTGTTTGAACCCGTCGTGTTTAACTTGTTCTTTCCAAAATTTTGGTGATTAGACTCAGCATTTGCTTTTTGTCGTCGACAAGATTATGTCATTAATTGAAGCCCAAATACGATTGTCATTAGATATATTTAAACATGTTTGTTTTTTCATAATTTACAAGCAACTCGACCCGTTAACAAGCAAACTGTTCCTATTTTAAAACCTCCCCAGGACAATACAATACTTATAACATGCAGATATATTCACACTCATTATGCAACAATACTGCTAAGCTAAAGGATGCACTACCGAGTCAGTTGTCGATGTCGGAATGTCGGCATGGATAAATGGTTAATGAGTCTGTCTGGAGTTTATATTTCTTTTCATCGGCGAATCTGCCCCAGGACGAGTTTAACATCACTATGACTCCTCATTTGGTTATATAGTTTTAACAATATCACACGATTACTGAACGTCATTAGCCAAATTGAGAAATGCATGTGTCCTTTCCTATGAAGTATGATATAACCTGCAGATGTGAAGGGTGGTACATACGATGTATCTCACATACCCTTGAACCAGCGCTGGACCTGCGGCTTGAAGGTTGAGTCAAGAGTCAGATTTGAAACAAGTAATAAAAACTGTTATTACTCATCATTATTATCTGGTATGTTTACCTCGAACTGGCGACCTTTAGCACAAGACGCAGGGGGTGATTGTTACCATCTACACCAAGACGGGGATGTAGAACATTAAGAGAAACTGCTCCATGAGATAAAAACCTTGTAACGTTCATGTTTAATGTTCTGACTTAAACCTCTGTGTTATACACGGTGAGGGCTGGCTTGCCACCCGACCCAGCTTTCTCTATGGTTATTCAAGTTTGGTTTCTGAATCTTCAAGATGGTCATATAGACCTGGTATTGAGTGAATGTTGTTTAACACCACGATCAGTATAATCAACTTTGCTTACCTATCTGGCGAGATCTCCCTTCTCCCGTCTGTGCTTGTGGTCTGAGCAAATGCCGACAGTGTTGTTGCGTCTCCTCTTGTCTTATATACCTTTAGCTGAAGAAAGTATTGTTCAATGGACTTAATTAGGCGGGATCCCCAGTCCCGAGTCCAGCTCGCGTGTCGGAGCCACGTTACCCTCGCCTCGCCTCCGCCCTCATAAGAGGATTGCCTCGATTCAACTGATCAACACAAATTAATGTCGCAGCCCTCTTCGGCCGCAGGATTCATGCCATGTATGAGGCTCGACAACTCATGATCTTTATTGAAATGGATGTTAATAATACTCATATTTTACAGGTGATAAATGGAAAGGTTATCACGTTTTTTTTTATTGTTATAATGTCATATATGCTTCAATTACCGACCACGTTTCGGTGAGAGTCATGATTACTGAATTGAATTAGGTATGTTTTTGCAGGATGTTTGTTTAGCGCATGCGTGGAGACCCTCACTGAGGTGAATGTTTACAAACATCCGTGATTAAGGTCAGAGGTTTATTAGGGTGGAACTGTATATTATTAAGTGTCCCAACACACGTGCTAGTAACACACCTGGACCTATCCTCAAAGACTGTGAGAATGTTTTAGATAAAGTCCAACCTTGTTAATCTCATCTGTATCGTTCTTATAATTGGCCCAGTTTAACGTGGTTCCGGATTAAAGAACACGGTGTAATGGCCATTTGTACTTCCATGAACATTCCAAAAGTAATCATCATGATAGCGGGGTGTCCGTATTAACGGGGGCCTTGACTAATGGTTTCCACTGACTTATGTGACCTATACGACCTCAGCCAAGATGTGAATCGCTTGTTCCACAAGATGCTGTTTGTTTGTTTCTTTGTTGTTTAACGCCGCACTCTGCAATATTCCAGCTATATGACGGTGGTCTGAAATAATCGGACCAGACAATCCAGTCAATGACAGCATGAGCATCGATCCACATAGTTGGAATACGATGACGTGCATCAACCAAGTCACCGAGCCTGATCACCCGACACCGTTAGTCGCCTCTTACGACAAGCGTAGTCGCCTTATAAGGCGGGCATGAATTGCTGAAGACCTATTCTATCCCGGATCTTCACGGGTCCCACACGATGTGCTGCTGTTCGTAGCCTCACGTAGACACAGGCGTGGGACATTATGATATACACAGCGGATGACTAAAATGTCTCAACGAAATCAATTCTGGGTATATTCTCTCTTTACAATCGTTCACTGTTTGAACTGGGTAGTACAATGCATCTAGCTACTTATGCACGTGCATGATGTGTCGTGTTTGTTAAGTGCCTGCTGTCATCTCTGTCGCCTCTCTTTTGAAATTAGGCGATCGGGTAGCCTAGTGGTTAAAGCGTTCACTCGTCACGCCGAAGACCTGGGTTCGATTCCTGACATGGGTACACTGTGAGAAGCCCATTTCTGGTGTCCTCCGCCGTGATATTGCTGGAATATTGCTAAAAGAGGCATAAAACCATACTCACTCACTCTCTCACTCTTTTGAATTAGTTTTGGTTTACAGATTTCTGTCTCAAAACCTTTGGTTGGTGGTCGAAATTAAATTAATTTGGACTATTGAATTTTTGTGTGTGTGTTTATATGAATAGGTGGGAAAAACAAAATTTGAATGATCCATTTTTGTGTGAAATGTTATCGGTAATGTATAAGTGAGTGAGTTATCTTTTAGCAATATTCCAGCAATATCACGGCGGGGAACACCAGCAATGTGCTTTACACATTGTAGCCACGTGGGGAGTCGAACCCGGACCACTAGGCCACCACTAGGATCAGGTATGAAGGACAGCGGACACATGGAAATCCCCACACAGTACTTATTACATTGGGAAGAAGTTGAACACTGTAGCAAATCAAAAGAAACGTTGTAATTTAGCAATACAACAGAAATATTTAAACTTTGTAAACTCTCACCGAAATATTTCCATCAATGTTGTCTTTTAGTTCAAGAGAGATTCTGCTACAGGTTCTGGTGTCCATGGTGCCTCGTGCCAGACATTGTAACTGATGTCACGTGTGAAACTTTGACACTGTCACTGTTTAATTAAGGCAGTCGTTAACTGTAAATTGATATGATAATACATCGCGAACCAACAGAGAGACGAAGTGGTCTAAAGGGATTTCAGTCTTATTTCAGGGACTGTCTGAGCATGAGCCCAATTCACCCTTTCATGGCCCCATCATCATCCACGATAATAACATATACCGGCGGGTAAAAGAAAGTACACACCCATTTTTGATGGTGGCTAACAATGAAACAAACAAGAAATAGTTAATCGATGATGATGTATTTGATACGGGTTGACGAGTTTTTTGGACCTTGCGTTTTCAAGTGTTTATGCGACTGTCTTCATCCTAGTACCCGCCGTGATATTGCTGGGATATTGCTAAAAGCGGCGTAAAACCATACTCACTCACTCACTCATCCTAGTAACATTTTGATAACGTTTGTAATTGTATGGTCAAATCCCAAATGTATTCTTTCTTTTGCTCGACAGTTTAGTTTACAATTCCATGTGGATGACAATATCATAATATTTGATATAAATAGGTTTGTTAAAGAGGAACATGAATGTGGTGATCTTAGGTTCAATATTTTCATTACGAAGTGTATGCGAAGTTTAGAAACTATTAACTACAGTTTTACATACGTATGTGTAATGAGATTCGTTTTGTTGTCGTTGATATACTTTTGAAGCAGCCTAAAGTGCCATATTTACATATAACAGTCAAACAGTGAGTCAGTGAGTCTGTTAACTGAGTTTAACAGTGCTTTGAACAGTATTTCAGTTTCTCACATTGAGCTGGGGGGAAAGTCCAAAGGGATACATGTCTTAGACCTTTGTCACCTTTGTGACACTCCACCACCCACCCCCACCCCCACACCCCCCACCCCCCACCCCCCCACCCCCACCCCCAGGATTTGTATGGTGCGGCTACATCTGGAAACGTTAATCTGGAACCACGATCATAGATATCTTGAACGCAACTCTACGGCGCCTTAGACAACTGTGTCACCCGTGCCTCTCACATCCGCATGACACCTTCCTAAACAGACCGCTTCTTGCTGTGCTTGTTTGTTGTTTACGGTACACAGTGTACTAGGTACATCAGTCAAGTATATCGGGACGACCTCAACATAATGGAGGCCAACCAGAGACTGATGGCATAAAGACCCGTGTAGCCTTCATATGGCGGAGACTTGCTGTAGTATTTGTATGGGAGATGGGCAATGATAAGTTTGTGTCTGGGTACGGTGGAGACTTGCTGTAGTATTTGTATGGGAGATGGGCAATGAGAAGTTTGTGTCTGGGTACGGCGGAGTCTTGCTGTAGTATTTGTATGGGAGATGGGCAATGAGAAGTTTGTGTCTGGGTACGGCGGAGTCTTGCTGTAGTATTTGTATGGGAGATGGGCAATGAGAAGTTTGTGTCTGGGTACGGCGGAGTCTTGCTGTAGTATTTGTATGGGAGATGGGCAATGAGAAGTTAGTGTCTGGGTACGGTGGAGACTTGCTGTAGTATTTGGATGGGAGATGGGCAATGAGAAGTTTGTGTCTGGTACGGCGGAGACTTGCTGTAGTATTTGTATGGGAGATGGGCAATGAGAAGTTTGTGTCTGGGTACGGCGGAGTCTTGCTGTAGTATTTGTATGGGAGATGGGCAATGATAAGTTTGTGTCTGGGTACGGCGGAGACTTGCTGTAGTATTTGTATGGGAGATGGGCAATGAGAAGTTTGTGTCTGGTACGGCGGAGTCTTTCTGTAGTATTTGTATGGGAGATGGGCAATGAGAAGTTTGTGTCTGGGTACGGCGGAGACTTGCTGTAGTATTTGTATGGGAGATGGGCAATGAGAACTTTGTGTCTGGGTACGGCGGAGACTTGCTGTAGTATTTGTATGGGAGATGGGCAATGATAAGTTAGTGTCTGGTACGGCGGAGACTTGCTGTAGTATTTGTATGGGAGATGGGCAATGAGAAGTTTGTGTCTGGGTACGGCGGAGTCTTGCTGTAGTATTTGTATGGGAGATGGGCAATGAGAAGTTAGTGTCTGGTACGGCGGAGACTTGCTGTAGTATTTGTATGGGAGATGGGCAATGAGAAGTTATGAGATTGCAAAATGTTATCTGTCTTGCAAACAGTTAATGAATCTGAATTTTCAGTTCCAAATTCAATAAACGATAGAAGTAGAAATAACAACTCTTGTGCATAAGAATGTTTCAATTTGTTAAATAACTCGCGAAAAGCTATGGCTTCAAGTCATTATTTTCTATGTGATGTGTTCCATGCAGGAAGTGTGTTAACCCAGGCTGCACTTCTGTTTCTACATCATTACTAAGTTCCAATACATCGCAAAAATGTAAAAAAACACACAAAAGCTCCTCCAAAACCCCCCTCAAAAAGAAAAGAAATAAACTTAACCATGCCGCAAAACTAAACAAATCACAAATCAAATAAACAACCTCTCGAACTCAGCAGTCAGTCCAACTCATACATATGTTTTCCAGGTTTTCCAGTACCGTGGGGCGGGATGACACACCAACAAACCACGTACCACGGAGTAACCAGACCTCATGTTAGTCCGTTCATACGGCGGTCAGGAGGCAGCTCACTGGGGACTAACTCCCTGGGTATGTGTGTGTGTGTGTGTGTGTGTGTGTGTGTGTGTAAGTTACAAGTCGTTACCATTTAAGAACATTCTTCATTTGAGTATCTCATTTACTACTTCACAAACCACACACCACCGCCTTGTTTCCCTATACAACATGTCCTATATCTCACATTGTTGGTTCTAGAGCTGGGACAAGTCCAAATTTACTACCCAGGTACCCAACCCCCTATTGCCCTACCCTACCCGGGTATCTGTTGCAGGTCTCAAGAGACTGGTACAAATATCCGATTAGGAATAGTTTGACCGTTGCCCTGGAATTTTTTTATTCAGATACACGTTTAAAATGATATTTTCATGAATACACTGAAGTTGAATGAAGTTTTATCTTTATTTAAACATATAAAAGTCAGAAGGCATGCGTACATAGTCAGAAAGAAATGCGAACATTAGTGACTTGTAGTGTAACCATGGAGTTCTAAATATTTTTGTCATTCAACAATATATCACATGACTATCCACGGTTCCGGGTAGTCCGGTGGGTACCCGGATCCTACTCAATACCCACCCGATCCGAGTACCCGAGTTACCCGTCCCAGCCCTAGTGGGTATCACCTGGCTCTGTGTGTATCCGCCATTACAGAATGCATGGTTTAACGCCATGTGCATGTTCACAAGCACCGAAGTGTGCGCGAATAACATTGCAGTCCCACGGGCATGTGATGCGGAGCCTTTTATCAATTCAGTGTCAAGTGATATTGCTTTCTGATAGTTTAGGCCATAAACCGGATGAATAGCAGTTTATTTGATTGGTTTTTAAAATAACATTTATTGACATTTACTTAATATAATCTTAAGCAACATAAACTTGTCTCACATAAAAGCATTGTTTGGGTCGAAGACCTAATTCTGAAGGAAGAGCCTGTTACTGCCATCTCTTGTCACGTGACACCACCGGTCTGTCACCGCCAGGTGTGGATGCAATGACTCAGGTGAATAGGCTTTTGTTTGTTGTTTGTTTGTTTGTTTGTTTAACGCCACACTCAGCAATATTCAAGCTATATGACGCCCGTCTGTAAATAATCCAGTATGGACCAGACAATCCAACGTTTGACATCATGAGCATCAATCTACGCAATCTGGATACGATGACATGCATCAACCAAGTCAGCGAGTCTGACATCCCGATCCCGTTAGTCGACTTTTACGACAAGCATAGTCGCAAGCATGGGTTGCCGAAGACCCATTCTACCCCGGAGGTGAATATTCTATCAGCTTAGATACGTGACGACGTTATCGTAACCTGTTGATGAACCCGCCACGGGAGCCAGCAGACACATACACACGGCAGCGGGTACACGATGTAGTTTTAGTTGCAGGGGAATGTTCTCAGCTACCTCATGCTGTTTTCAAAACTTGGTTTGCGGATCCGCTGACCCCCCAAAATAAAAGGTGGATAAATATATAATCCGCAAACTTCCATGTTTACCATAAAATTATAGGTACACATAACACATGCACCCACATTATATATTTATAACCATTCACACATGCACATACTACACACTCACACATACAAACTCACACACATGCACACCCACACAACCCAAGCACCCACATTATATATAAATAACCATTCACACATGCACATACTACACACTCACACATACATACTCACACACATGCACCCACATAACACATGCATACACATACACACACCACATACACACACATAAACATATATACACACATTCACATGTAAGCACACATATATACTACACACATACATACATATACACACCACATACACACGCAAACACACACAGATACACACACACACATCTTCACGCACAAACACACGCACAAACACACACGCACTAACACATGCCACAAATTATCCGTTGAAGTCGTAAACCATGGGATTAGATGTCAGGCCTAACATACCCAAAAGGTATAAACTTGTGTACAGTTGTTGTGGCCGCTTGATAGGGTGTTAATGTTGGTGTGTAGGGTGCGCCGTTACATAACACTACTCACCCCCCAAAAAACATTACACATACGTCACAAGCGACACACATCACCACCCACCCACGTATCCCCCATACAGACATAGTTGGAGGTAGGTCTACTTTGCTATGTTTTAACATCGGTGTCAGTCTGCAATCACCAAGGCCTTCAAACACTCTCATCAAAAAAGAATTTATCCATCGTTCAGTCCCAGTGTAACATGACCGTAGACGTACAGACTGTGTCTAAACCCGGGAGAGGAGCACTGCAGGCGCAGATACTAGCACACTCTCAGTTTCACGTGCAACATGCATCCCGCTGCTCTGATTGTCACCTTGACCGTCCTCGTGGGCGGTGTGCGGCCTCAGAAGGGCGAAGGTAGGTGATGTTCAAGATGCTGACGCCAACTGACGTCCATGTCCCTTCCTTCCAACATTAACCATTATGTATTTATGTAATATGTAAACCCAGTTGGTATACAAGACGGGCGCTCGGGTAGCCTAGTGGTTAAAGCGTTCGCTCGTCACGCCAAAGACCCGGGTTCGATTCCCGACGTGGGGACAATGTGTGAAGCCCATTTCCGGTGTCCCCCGCCGTGATGTTGCTGGAATTCTGCTAAAAGCGGCGTAAAACCATACTCACTCACTCACTGGTATACAAGACAAACACGAGTACACTACTAATAGAGAATATTTCCTCTATGGAAATATGCTCTTATTACGGAAATCGACCAGGGTATTAACTTGATTTTTGTGTGACACGTACACTGACGTGTGTATTAGCAAGGCGTTTACATGCAAGTGAGAGGTCAGCTGGCCATCACTACTTACTAACCAAGCTCAACCATGTGATGACGAACATCTTTGTCTTATACAGGTAAGTACAAGACGGCACCACGCCTAGCTGGTCAGGTCACTCAGGGCCCTTGACCAGTATCTAAGCTGGCTCCACGGCCATGTACATATATCCTGGGTCAGGGTTTCCTTATGACAAGATCTAGTCTTCTTGTTATGCACACACCCAACACAATTTGTAATCGGATTTATGGGACGAGTATATACATGTGGAGATGTATATGTGACACAGAGACACGCAAGATTTATTTGCATTTATGACAATCATATAATAAACTGTGTCGCTTCCATCTTGGAGATATTTTGGACATCTATACCTGAAATATTTTGGACACCTACACCTGAAATATTTTAGACACTTACACCTGAGATATTTTGGTCATGTCCATGTACATCTGTGTGATAGTTTTGAGACACACATAAATGTGTTATATTTGTTTTATTTTTGAAATTGCTGACATACGTATCTCTGAGACATATTTGACATTAACATCGGTAAGATATATCTGACCCAAACATGAGTGAGATATATTTGACTCAAACATGACTGAGATATATTTGACTCAAACATGAGTGAGGTCTGATACAGACATATTTGACAGATTATTTGACAATGGCATATCTGGCGGTAAATGAGGCAGTGGCATATGCATCTTACCGAGGCATGGACATTTACTGACTTTAAAAGTCCAGCTTCCACCCTTGCCGAACTACGCTGGAATTTCAAGGTTCGATCGTAGCGCCACCAGTGGCTATTACGAGTAACGTCACCTCTGTATCCCTCCTATTGACCAATCAGATTCCATCTCACCATATCACTTGCATTTGCTTCAAACAAAATGACGGCGCCCGGTCAAGACGATCTGATGGATAATCAAGATCTATATTGTAATGAAACGGGTCTGACCCTGCGAAGTGCATCAAACCACTTGAACACCTTAATTAAAATCATGAAACGATTTGCAAAAAAACTGTTAACGGCCAGTTGACATTTTACATATTTTGCACATCCTGCAGTCGACCGACACATGCACGTTGAAATCCATGTTGTTCTCGAACAGGATGTCTAGTTCGCTACGCGGTGTTGAATGGACTCATTGGTCCAGCCAAAATGTAACTCCGGTATTCCATCGTAGTTCGGCAAGGGAGGAAACTGAACTTTTAAAGTCTTAACTCCCTTGTCTTGGAAAGATGTATCGTATGACACCCAGCATCACTCCACGAAGTTTACTGTATCCCACAATGCCTTTGTTCCAACTAGACTGGCATGACATCCGGTTGGTGGGGGCGCGAAGTCCGTACAAGGGGCGTATCGAGGTCAAGGTGAACGGCAGTTGGGGTAGCATCTGTGACGACGACTGGTCCATCTATGATGCCGTGGTGGCGTGTCGTCAGCTGGGCTTCACCGGTAACGCAGAGGCACAACCTGGGGTATGTCAAACACTCTGTTCAATCTGGTAGGGTGTTTGCGTGCAAGGAAACGGAAACAATGTAGTCTTTGTAATCATATAATTGTTTAATTACTCGTTCCATGTTATGCATGATAGAGCCTTTTGGCTTTTATTAATCTGACCAAACATAATTTCTGAAAAACATTTTAATGTCGCGCCAGCTTAAAAACAGGACCAAACCACATTTGCTAAAAACGACCATGTGTAATGGCAGCAGGTGAAGACGGTTCAAATTGAACTTTCAGAGCGTCTAAAAACTCTAACTTTTCAGATGTTAAATACTGTAAGTGTCCGTTCATCTAAACTAAGCGGCAAAAGAAAGTATAGGTTGGCAATTTGTAATTTTCCTAAAAACAGCGATAACTAGTGGAAAGTGGGTATTGGGAATATGACTGCCCAGGAACAGGTACCAAAAAACACCTCACCCGAACGCACCACCTTTGACGGCGCTCGTGCGGTGACAAAAAAATGTTGAAACAGGTTTCCCGCATGTTAGCTGCACAAATGCGTTCGTCTGCAGGGTAAAACCACACGTGATGAAAGCACAAAAAAGAAATGCCACCACTGTCACAGGAGCAGAGAGAGAGAGAGAGCCATCGGTATGGCCGAAATGGGGGCAACACAAGTCCAAATTGCCAGAAGGTTTGGTTTTACACCATTGACAGGAGCCAGACAGGGAGAACACAGGACAGGCCTAGAACCGGACGACCCCGCGTGACAACACCACTGGAAGACGGTCAGATACGGCTCATTCACCTGAGAAACAGATTCGTAACGGCGACAGCGACGGCAGCAACAGCGCTGGGACATCCCTTTAGCCAACGTACAGTACTACGACGACTTCGTGCTGCTGGAATCTGAGCGTATCGTCCTTTCCGAGGAATGGTACTGACTGCTCAACATCGACGCCTGAGACTGCGATAGGCGAGGCAGGTTCGACGCTGGCAAGTGAGACATTGGCCGGGGACATTGTTTCAACACGACAATGCCAGGCCCCATACTGCAAGACTGACTCGGAACGTTCTAAACCAGCAGAACGTTGACGGTTTTGCCCTGGCCTGCCCACTCACCCGATATGAATCCTTTTGAACATCTGTGGGACCATCTTGACAGACAGATTAGGGAACGCCATCAGCCTCCCGTCAACAGACAAGAATTGCAGCATGCCCTGAGAGACGAGTGGCAACGGATTCCAGTCAACGTCATCAGAAGACTGACGTCATCGATGAGGCGGCGTATCACAGCATGCATTGAGGCAGCTGGAGGTCATACACGCTATTGAAGGCAACTGTGTCGACAATGGACTTGTAGTGTGTCTGACAATTTTTTGGTGTCATTTCAGACAACTTTTGAAAATGAAACTTCTTACCCCATCATTATTTACCTTGTAATATTGTAATTCACAACAAAACCTCTTCTTGTTATTTTTTTTATCGATCATGCAACTCGACCTATACTTTCTTTTGCTGCCCAGTTTACATTCCAAACATTGAAAGTCTCCATACTCTGGTAGTTTAAATGTTCAATATATTGTACTTCAGGTTCTCGTCCAGGCATTAGTTACCGTTATACGGATGTATAGCAACAATTTACCGATTTACCTTTCTCACCATCCTCGCTTGTTATTTGTTTACTACACCGTAATTACAAGTATGTAAGTCCCTCATAGGGTACGTACGGCGAGGGGACCGGTCCAGTCTTCCACAGCAACCTCAAATGTACGGGCGTCGAGTCCAGCTTGTCCGACTGTCCAGGGCAGCATGGTATGGCATTACTGATTTTATCAGATTAGATATTTAGTACGATACATGTCAGTGAACTAACATTACGATAAGCAATATAACCGTCATATCACTGCAGCCTGCACAGCAATCAGGGCTGTTGTCAGCAATAAAACAGTTATATCATGGCAGACTGCACAGCAATCAGGGCTGTTGTCAGCAATATAACTGTTATATCATGGCAGCCTGCACAGCAATCAGGGCTGTAGTTTGAAATATTACAGTTATATCACGGCAGCATGCACAGCAATCAGGGTTGTAGTCAGAAATATAACAGTTATTTCACGGCATCCTGCACAGCAATCAGGGCTGTTGTCTGCAATATAACAGTTATATCATGGCAGACTGCACAGCAATCAGGGCTGTTGTCAGCAATATAACTGTTATATCATGGCAGCCTGCACAGCAATCAGGGCTGTAGTCAGAAATATAACAGTTTTATCATGGCAGCCTGCACAGCAATCAGGGCAGACGTCAGCAATATTACAGTTATATCATGACAGCCTGCACAGCAATCAGTGCTGTAGTCAGCAATATAACAGTTATATCATGGCAGCCTTCACAGCAATCAGGGCTGTAGTCAGCAATGTAACAGTTATATCATGGTAGCCTGCACAGCAATCAGGACTGTAGTCAGCAATATAACTGTTACATCATGGCAGCCTGCACATCAATCAGGGCAGAAGTCAGCAGTGTATCAGTTATATCCCGGGAGCGTGCACAGCAATTAGTGCAGAAGTCAGCAGTGTAACAGTTATATCCCGGGAACCGTCTGTTATTGTTCAAAGGTGTTTGCGGGTATATGGTATACAGATGTGTGGGAGTGTTAAGTATATTTTTCCTCAGATCCTGCGGCCATCGACTGTTCTCACCAAGAAGACGCTGGTCTCACCTGCACTGCCCCTCAACCCATGTTCACAGGTAGATAGATTACGTCATGTTCACAGGTAGATAGACTACGTCATATTCACAGGTAGATAGATTACGTCATGTTCACAGGTAGATAGATTACATCATGTTCACAGGTAGATAGACTACGTCATGTTCACAGGTAGATAGACTACGTCGTGTTCACAGGTAGATAGATTGCATCATATTCACAGGTAGATAGACTACGTCATGTTCACAGGTTGGTAGATTACATCATGTTTACAGTTAGATTGAACACATCGTGTTCACAGGTAGATAGACTACGTCATGTTAACAGGTAGGTAGATTACGTCATGTTCACAGTTAGATAGACTACGTCGTGTTCACAGGTAGATAGATTGCATCATATTCACAGGTAGATAGACTACGTCATGTTCACAGGTTGTTAGATTACATCATGTTCACAGGTAGATAGATTGCATCATATTCACAGGTAGATAGACTACGTCATGTTCACAGGTAGATAGATTACATCATGTTCACAGGTAGGTAGATTACATCATGTTCAAAGGTAGATAGATTCATCATGTTCACAGTTAGATAGACTACGTCGTGTTCACAGGTAGGTAGATTACATCATGTTCACAGTTAGATTGAACACATCGTGTTCACAGGTAGATAGACTACGTCATGTTAACAGGTAGGTAGATTACGTCATGTTCACGGTTAGACAGACTACGTCGTGTTCACAGGTAGATAGATTGCATCATATTCACAGGTAGATAGACTACGTCATGTTCACTGGTTGGTAGATTACATCATGTTCACAGTTAGATAGAATACATCATGTTCACAGATAGATAGACTACGTCATGTTCACAGGTAGATAGATCACGTCATGTTCACAGGTAGGTAGATTACATCATGTTCACAGTTAGATTGAACACATCGTGTTCACAGGTAGATAGACTACATCATGTTAACAGGTAGGTATATTACGTCATGTTCATAGGTAGGTAGATTACATCATGTTCACAGGTTGGTAGATTACATCATGTTCACAGTTAGATAGACTACGTCATGTTAACAGGTAGGTAGATTACGTCATGTTCACAGTTAGATAGACTACGTCGTGTTCACAGGTAGATAGATTGCATCATGTTCACAGGTAGATAGACTACGTCATGTTCACAGGTTGGTAGATTACATCATGTTCATAGTTAGATAGAATACATCATGTTCACAGGTAGATAGACTACGTCATGTTCACAGGTAGATAGATTACGTCATGTTCACAGGTAGGTAGATTACATCATGTTCACAGTTAGATTGAACACATCGTGTTCACAGGTAGATAGACTACGTCATGTTAACAGGTAGGTAGATTACGTCATGTTCATAGGTAGGTAGATTACATCATGTTCACAGGTTGGTAGATTACATCATGTTCACAGTTAGATAGACTACGTCATGTTAACAGGTAGGTAGATTACGTCATGTTCACAGTTAGATAGACTACATCATATTCACGGGTAGGTAGATTACATCATGTTCACAGGTAGATAGACTCCGTCATTTTCACAGTTCGAAAGACTTAAATTACGTCATACCCACAGGTATATAGATTAAAAAAAAGAGTAGGTCATGTTTAGAGTGGACATTTGGTCAAATGTATACTGATCTTCAAGTGAGTTCAGCGAATGTATTGAATTGTCCTAGCTCGACACAGCATGATTTCAATCACTGCCATCTGTCGGCCATGTCAGTGGCACCTTTACTGGGATCGCCAAACCTCTCTGTATTGTCGTGCTGATTTTGATCTCTCTCCATACTCCATCTCAGCCAGCAACTGCAGCGCTAACCAGTTCCTGTGTCGGCGGAAGAATACATGCGTGCCGCGGAGGTGGATGTGTGATGGGGACAATGACTGTGGCGACCACACGGATGAGTCCGATGTCATCTGCGCATGTCAGTGGTTGTCTTTCTTTTTATTCTTCATGTATATGTCCTATTTTGTCATCCTACATTGAAAGAGCTTCTACAAATGACCTTGTTAGGGTGTTAATGTATATTCTGTGTGCTAACTCTAGACAATTGTTGCTACTGTTCAAGAATGTCCGATAATATACATCGGTCGTAGTGTCTAAGTGTCTAAGGTTTCGAACCCCGGATCTCCAAATGCACACCTTGTACACAAAACAAATTTGACGTCATTCAACAGATCATATTCTCGTCGTGTCGCCGGCGGCATAACGGGACTGGCCTGTTCAATATGCATGGCGAATATGGCCGACTGACTCCATGCTCTGCGTACCACGATATACACCGTCCCCATTGTTCCTGTCCTCAGCTCCGACCGACCTGCTGCTCAGCGTCCACAGTGTACGTCTGGCCGATGGAAACACGCCCTCTAGCGGGCGAGTGGAACTCTTCTACTCTGGACTTTGGGGTACCGTCTGTGACGACAACTTCGACTTGAAAGCTGCGACTGTTGTGTGCAGGCAGCTGGGCTACAGGTACAAGTGAGTGAGTGAGTTGGGGTTAACGCCGCTTTTAACAATATTGCAGTTATATCGCGGCGTGTCAGCTTTATGTGGGAGGAAAGCCCGAAGTGATGCAGGTCATAGACGTTTACCACTTCGGTGAAACCCACGAGCGTGGGTATGGTGCTGACAAACCTAGAAACATAATCGGGGCGAACCGGGATTCGAACCCACAATCATAGATTTCTGGCGTGCCCAAGGGACGTAACTCTGAACAGCGAATCGCGGCGCCATAGACGACTGGGCCACCCGTGTCCCCTACAAGATGGCAGCTACAAGGGGCAGTCGTCAACAGGACGTGACTGTTCGTTGTTTACCGTAGTGGGATTAATCTCGAACATATACTGAATCAAATGATACAGCGGTAAGGATATATTTACACGGATGACGTACGTGTATATTGAGCAAAAATGTAAGGTATCATGAACATTTTGGGGGATATTTTTAGTAGTGAAAACTGATGACACAATTTCATAAAAATATCCCCCGAAATGTTGATGATCCCTTAGTTGATTTCTCCAGTACATGTGCCCCGAAGATATCCGGAAGTTGTCCGACATGACATGACGTCAGCTACTGTAATTTTACCCTCGTTGCCTTAATGTCTTGTATTTAAATTGAACGCAACAGTACAACTCGTCCGCTACGTCACGTTATTTTATTCTGTCAGTATACGTATGAAGACCACATTTAACTGTACTGAGTGTGCAGATAGTTAGACCTGACACTATGGAGGTTCGTGTCTATGTCTCCTGTTGGGTGTGTCCCCTACTAAGGTCCTTCATCTCCACACAGGGGTGCCGAGTCGTACAACACACGAAGCCCGGGCCGCGGCCCGATATGGTTAGACCAGGTCATGTGTCGAGGTACAGAGACGTCCGTCGTCAGCTGCTCCAGGAACCCGTATGTTCATAGTTTTCATATCAACGGCTGCATTGACAACGTAGGGATGTGGGGTAGGCTAGTGGCTTAAAGGTACTAATGCCCGGGTTCGATTCCCCACATGGGTACAATGTTTGAATCCCATTTCTGGGATGCCACTACCGTGATATTGCTGAATTATTGCCCAAAGCGGCGTAAATCTCTACTTAGGTGATGCTGAAATATTGACCCTCCTTTGTTGGTGTGATTGCTGTCACGATGATGTTTGTCTATCTAAGATTTGGGTCACACGACTGCAGCCACAACGAAGACGTGAGCGTCGTCTGTGAAGACAACAGCACTTCCCCCCTGGCCAGTACACCTGTACTCACACCGACCAGGTCGGCTAAAGGTAACGTAAAAGAAATATACTCGAGCCCCCCTTTAAAACAATATGAGTATTAAAATATCTTCATGCGTGGACATACAAAAACTATGGTGGCTGCTAAAGGCCATTGCCACATCGCCCTGAGATAGCTACACGATATCGCGACAAAGCGAAGTGCGACACAACATTGCGATATCGCGACACAATATAGCGATGTTGCGATACAGCCAAAAACGAAATAGCGATAACACGCAACGCCATGGCGATAGTACGACACGATATTGTGATACGGCGAAATGGCGATATAGCGATATTGCGATATTGCGATATTGCTCAGTTGATAGTTGTAAAATATAGTAAAGCCCTTACGTAGGTTCATACCCACTCATGAGTAGTCCAGTCAAAATAACAAGGCACCCACCACAAATTGCAACAAAAATGATTTCAACTTATTTACACTCGGAATTTATCCCTTTATAACATATAAAAAGTCTACCAAAATCTGAGTGGTGGAACACGGTCAAATTTGACCCCAAAGGTCAGGGGAGTGAATGCCACTCTGAAGCATTAAGTGAGATTATGATTTTTTTCGTTTTTTTGTTTCAATTGTGTCATGATGCATGTCAAATGAAAGCTCTCTTCATAAGCTTTTTCAGAAATATATACTTTGTCATTGTGAGATATATACATCTTGAGAAATAAAGAAAATTGTCTGACAAGTAGTACAGGAAGTGCCATTGCAGACGACATAGAAACCAAAACAAGGTCATACCTATGACCTAATTGTGATGTTTTATCACACATATCATGGATTAAAGGTGTGTAAACTTGGATTATGAAGAGATATAATGTCTGTGTATTAAAAGACATAACACTTCCTTTGTATATATGTATAAAATGAATAATTTAGAATGAAAGCACAAGTCTTTGATCGCGCAGCCAGGACAAATTGTTCACATCAAATGCCGGAAGAGACATTCTTGCCGGCCCCCCAAAAAACCCTGAAGGCGGAAAACAGATAATTGCGTTAACAAGAAAAAGGATTTTCATTTAGAACTGACTGCATCTTTTGTAACCATTCTGAGAAGTTTGTTCAGTACTCGCCTGCTAATGTAGACCACAATGTAAGAACATTAGATGGATCTAACACCTTTCATGGAATCGGTATTATTGCCACTGTTACACCGACAAGCAGAATATTCCGACCATTTCCAAGAAATGATGTAACAGCAGATGCTATTGCTGCCATAGGAAGGATCAAGATCCACTTTTACCAACCTCCAACCTCAGGATTTCGACATCTGAAGTACCATCCTGTCATCAACATAGCTGCAGAGGATCCAACATCAAGCATTGACAAACTATGGAAGAGTGTTTGGCTTCTCAAACCTACCAGGCCTTCCTGGTCAGGCATGATGCAAGCTATTCATCATGGAAGTCATCCAGGACAAGCATCAGTAGTATATCTACCCATGATTGACATGAACCCTAGTGATCTATGGGTTTCCCTCGGTCAGATACCATAGAAAGTCCACTCGTTTCGTAAAAATGGTATCTCACGAGAATGAGTGTAGTATTTTATTTATTACCCACGTTAAATATGTATTTAAGTGCAAATACATGACAACGTTCATTCATCAACAGACCAAACTGAAACCGGTTGCAAATCTGGTTGCTCATGAATATTGATATATGCCCAAATATGGACATTGTTTACATATTTAGGCATACGAAAAGACAATATGTCCCTGCTATTGCGTGTGCAAACAAGACATCATCTATACTTAAGATTCTTTTTAAAATAATTTCTTCAATTAATGGTTATTTAAGCGCATTGTTGTTTGTATGCAGGACAACTGTAAGAACACTTTAAAAGTCAATTAGCTCTGCGCTTGAGTCTCGGACCAACACTCGGTCACTTCCACCGAAGGGGTCCCGACTGTGCAGTCAAAATGGTTCGGTTTGCTTGATCTATCAGGTGATTTTATATCATGTCCGTACCATGTTTGAAGAGGGAAAGCAGAGTGCTCGCCAAAGACGTTTTTGGTAACTGTACGACCCTATGAATAAGACGTGGAAATCAGCCAACTCAAGTCTGCTTGTATGTCAATGACAGCTTCGAACGAATGGCAAGGTGACCATCGGAATAAGAAAAGACAACCGTGATGTACTCACAGCGTTTCATGCTGGATCAATATGTAATGTTATTGTGGAATGGGATGTTTTGGCCACAATAACAGAAGTCAGGCACACTTCTACGGAGTTTTCGAATGATTTGTATCGGAACTGTTCACGTTGAGCGATCTGGTCGTGCAGTCGTGTAAGTTCATTCATGAACAAACATCTTCAATGTCACAAAGTACGCTTCGAAGGGGACACTGATGGCACAACCGGAGAATACAACTTAAGTCTAGATATTTGTCCAGATAGTTTAAACTGACTTCATTTCACCACACTTCACCTTTTACGTTAAATCAAATTAAAAGTCGCGAAACTGGTCGGGTACGTCAAGCTCATAGGGACCCTCGTTCTATCAGTAGTCGCACATAGCTCGATTATATAATGTTTGTAGCCGCTCTATGCATAACTAATATAGAATGCGAGCACACTTTCTGATCGATACAGCCCTTAATGCAATGATGGTCTCAAGAACCTTTGGAGTAACTCTTGAGATGTGTTTATGTCTTGCTCTCTTCATGCGAGCTCTCTTCCTGACACAGATGATGAGGGTATACAAAGGGCAACAGTTCTATATGATGAACTCATGGGCGAGTCTTTGTCTGTCAGTGAGGTCTCTTCATCTGCTTCTCTGCAGAGTATACAACAAAGGGTAGATATCGAGAAGAATGCCATGAGAGACATCAGGACTGCACAGTTGTGGATCCAGTACATGAACATGGTTGATGATTTACGCAGTTTCATTAGAGCTGAACAAACAGGAAATTGGCAACTACATCTTAAGTCAATGTCCAACATGTTGCCATTCTTTGCGGCAGCTGGTCACAACCTACATCTACACCAAGTCTGTGAGAATCTATCTTCAAATGATGACATCTCTGCAAGAAAAACATCCAAAGACATTCGAGTTATTTCATTCTGGGCACCATGTACGAAGCACCGATTGCTGCTGGGGAGGCCTTTCCACAGATCTTGTCATTGAGCAAGTTCTAAAAAGGACTGTCACGACAAGCGATGGACAGACTAGAGGAACAGGAATGGCTGAAACTCAAAGGCTGGTGTGGCTCATGCCAATGCCTTCATGCACAGAGATCAGTAATGCCATGGGAGAATTAACTAATGATGGAAACAAAAATTCTGATCTTCATTAGGACATGTCAAGTGCCAGACAAGAACGAGACAAAAATGATGCATGTAAACTCCTCAGCTTCCTTCAAGACAGAGACCCCTTTCAGCCAGATCCTGACCTCAGACATATTGCAAATATAGTCACAGCAAGTAAATCTGTAAATGCAGATGATGCATATAATGTTGGCGTACACATACTGGACTCTATGACCGACAGGAACACTGCAGAGCACACGTTCAGAAAGAAGTCGTGACAATGAATGCAAAGCACTTTGACAACCAAGAGGAGATCAGTTATGTGGACCCAGTGCTATTATTCCAGGGGATTTTGAGAGCAGCTGGACGTTCAAAAGAACTTGGAATATTGCTGAAGTTTGAACTTTGCAGTTATCCACCTGCTCTCTTTGATTCAGCTATGTTCTTAAAAGAAGCCAACAAACCTGCATTAGCTGCATTCATCTGCACTTTGTTGGATGCTGATACCCCTGGACCTCCATTTAACGTTTGGTATGTACTTGGTGGAGGAGCGTTGCTTCACTGTTTGCCTTGGCCTCGTGTAGTCACATATTCTCCTTTGTGTAACATGTATTGCAAATATGTCTCAGCCCATTATGGACAGGCCACTGTTGTGTTTGATGGATACTCAAGCAGCACATCCACCAAACATGTTACACATCTAAGAATAACAGATCGACGTGTTGGAGCTCCAGTGAAAGTTGACAGTGGCATGATCTTGCAGTCAAAAAAAGAATCCTTCCTTTCAAATGTTGAAAACATAGAAGAATTCATCAAGATGCCGAGTGAATGCCTACAGAAAGATGGATGCAAGACAATCCATGCAACGGGAGATGCTGACGGCTCAATAGTCCAGACAGCTGTCTCAATGGCATCACAGTCACCTATAGTTGACATAGGCGATGATACCGATCTCCTTGTATTACTCTGTCATCATGCCAATATGGAGTCAAAAGATATCTTCCTACATTCAATGTTCATGAAGAGTTCTACCAAAGCAATGAAGTTCTGGAACATCAGTGAAACAAAGAAGAAGCTTGGCAACATTCTATGTCAGAATTTGTTGTTCCTCCACGCAGTTTGTGGATGTGACACAACATCGAGGGTGCATGGAGTTGGAAAAGCTGTTTCCTTGAAGAAGTTTCGAGGAAATGAATCATTCAGAGAGATAGTGGTAGTATTTGATAATCCAGTTGAGGAAATAACAACAGAGCAAATCATTGAAGTGGAGAGAAAGCAATCGTGTGTCTGTTAAACAGTCAACCCGGTGACAGACTTGATATTTTAAGACATCGGCGTTTTTGTGAGAAGGTTGCCTCAAGCCATGTCTACGTCAATCCCCAGAGTCTACCACCAACATCAGCTGCAATCAAGTATCATTCTGCGGGTTTACTTCCAAGTCCTAGAATGGAAAGGCAAAACAGCTGGACTTGATAGTATAGACTGGGGTTGGAAGGCATTGGCAACAAAATAATACCCATACAGACAGAGATGCCACCAGCACCAGAAGAATTGATTAACATCATCAAATGCAACTGGTAATCTAACATGTGCAACTCCCAGCGATGTAGCTGTAAGACTTCTTCCAGCACAGAGACAATTCAGAATGACTTTTGTACAAGTTTAAGTGAAACTTAATAATGTGAATTTTATTCTGATTTAGTGTGCAAGATGGAAACACTTGATTCGCCCCCCGGTAATGACAGGTAGAATGGAAAGTAAACTGGAGTTATTCACTTCAACTTTTTTTGGTCATTTTTGATAATGTGGCACTTATAATTACACGATACTAAATTGGATGTTGTATTTCGTAAAGGTACAGAATATTTAGATTTAAACATGAGAGATAAACTTAATGTGACCTTTTTAAAGACTATAACACAAAAACATTCCTTCTGAATGTTATAGCAAACTTTTACAATAATTAATTATTGTAATTATTTTTGTTAGACTAATCGTGGTCTTGTTTTTGTATTTCTCAAGATGTATGTATCTCGCATTGATAAAGTATTTATATTCTGAAAAGCCTATGAAGAGAGCTTTCATTTGGTATGCATAATGACACAACTGAAACAAAAACGAAAAAAATCATAATATCACATAAGTGCTTCAGAGTGGCCTTGACACCCCCCCCCCCCAGCCATTATTGGCAAGACGACTGATCCACCGAACAAATCGGAAACGTGTAATTATCACCAAATCCTTCAAATTAGGCTGATAGAGCGAGCGGTTATGTTCCAGAAGCGTTTCATATTCGAGATGAACTAAAATATGTCAATTATCAGAAAATAATTGATTGATTCACGCCGTCAGCGCGTGGCGGGTCATGGTAATACTCTGTTAAAGAAAACCGATTCATTCATCTGACTGTGGTTAATCAGGCTTGGCTGAGTGTATTGCAAAACACAGTCTTATAATTGTGGGTGTTCTGAAACTTGTTTGGAGTAGTATATGATGTTACAGTGTGAATGCCATACTACTGTTGTCCGTACATATTCTTTTTTGCATTTGATTTATGATCAACTTATATTGTGTCTCTTGTCTTGTACAAATCAACATGTATGTGTACTTGCATATAGTAATTTGATAAACATCGCTATGAGTGAGTGAGAATGGTTTACAACGCTTTAAGCAATATTCCAGCAACATCACGGAAGGGACACCGGAAATGGGCTTTCCATATTGTAGCCATGTTGGGAATCGAACCTGGGTCTTCAGGAGCGAACGACTTAACCATGAGACTACCTCACCTCCCCCATCGGTGTGACAGCGGTGTTATCACAGTTGATGTGTGTACTTGGGTAAACCACACCTACAGAGAGACATCCTTATTAGTGTGGCCGCACAGTTGGCGTTGATAACAATATGAAGTGAATTATTATAATTATCCATAGCTTATGTTAAATCAGCTGTCATTCCAATATTAAATGAGTATTTTAATTATAGTTTTATCAAATGTATGTACGTGGTTCGGTCTTTCTGGCTCCCTCTGTCAAGCTGTCATGTATGTGTGCGTGTTTGTATGTAGGTACGTACGCACGTACGTGTGTATGCATGCATGCATGCATGTGTGTATACTATGTAAGTATGTATGGTGTGTATTTGTCCGTCTGTCTGTATTTCTGTCCGATTCACTATGGTTGCAGTGTGCGGAACGTCAGTATTTGCCACGACGCTGTTTGACGTACCAGCTGGTCACGTGACTAGGAAGGGGGCGTGGCCATGGCAAGCGTCACTGCGCGAGGAAACAGACTACGGCCAAACACATCACGCATGTAGCGGTGCCCTCATCTCTCCGCAGTGGGTCCTCACCGCCGCACAGTGCTTGAGCAGGTGACCGACAGGTTTGAGTAGGCGTCACAGTGCTTGAGCAGGTGACCGACAGGTTTGAGTAGACGTCACAGTGCTTGAGCAGGTGACCGACAGGTTTGAGTAGGCGTCACAGTGCTTCAGCAGGTGACCGACAGGTTTGAGTAGACGTCACAGTGCTTGAGCAGGTGACCGACTTGTTTGAGTAGACGTCACGTGCTTCAGCAGGGGACCGACAGGTTTGAGAAGGCATCACGTGCTTCAGGTTTGAGTAGACGTCACGTGCTTCAGCAGGTGACCGACAGGTTTGAGTAGACGTCACAGTGCTTCAGCAGGTGACCAACAGGTTTGAGAAGACATCACATGCTTCAGCAGGTGACCGACTTGTTTGAGTAGACGTCACAAATGCACATTGACGTAGGGTTGATTCTTTAAGGTGATGGTAAGGAATCTGATAAAAAGGTCTACATCGATTTATCATGACAGCCACCTGAGAAGTAAATTTCAGATCTGCAATGTAACCGATACCTTTACAAACTCCATGAAACTGGAGTAGTTTCTCGGATGTCTAAATGGCAGGTACAATCAGTAGTTCTTTTTTTAATCTTGATGACGGTCAAACGTCTAGCAAACGTTTGTTGCATTACTACTGCCATAATACACGTCGTTCTTCATCACCCCTCATTCTCAACACTTATGGCAGCCATGAACATCCGGGGTAGAATAGGTCTTCAGAAACCCATGCTTGTCGTAAAAGGCGACTATTTTTATCGTAAGAGGCGACTAACGGGATCTGGTTGCCAGGTTGCTGACTTGGTTGATGCATGTAATCGTATCCCAGTTGCGTAGGTCTGGTCTATTTACAAACCGACGTCATATAGCTGGATTATTGCTGCAATAGCTTTTCGAATCGTGTGTACTTGTATTGTGATGTCACATCGTTTGTCGGTATACCTTCACTATCAATACCATATACAGTCAAGTTTCGTTAATCCGAAAATCGACTTTATCCGACATTAACGAAGGGAACCGATTGAATCAGTGCAAGTTAGACCCGTTAATCCGACACTCGTTAATCCGACAATAAATGCTGGTTAGACCTGTTAATTCGACAGTTTCACACTCTGACTCCGTGACACCGATTTTGCAACATATTGCTGAAATCCCTCATTAACAGTCCCCTCAATCCGATGTATATGTGTATGTCTTTCACTGAGCGTTATATACACCCGCCTCTATATATACAGTCTATATATACACCCGCCTCTATATATACAGTCTATACACTACCGCCCCTATATATTCAGTCTATATACACCCGCCTCTATATATTCAGTCTATATACACCGCCTCTATATATTCAGTCTATATACACCCACCGCTTTATATTCAGTCTATATACACCCGCCGCTTTATATTCAGTCTATATACACCCGCCTCTTTATATACAGTCTATATACACCCGCCTCTTTATATACAGTCTATGTATACACCCGCCTCTATATATACAGTCTATATACACCGCCTCTATATATACAGTCTATATATACACCCGCCTCTATATATACAGTCTATACACTACCGCCCCTATATATTCAGTCTATATACACCCGCCTCTATATATTCAGTCTATATACACCGCCTCTATATATTCAGTCTATATACACCCGCCTCTATATATTCAGTCTATACACACCCGCCCCTATATATACAGTCTATATACACCCGCCCCTATATATTCAGTCTATATACACCCGCCTCTTTATATACAGTCTATATACACCCGTCTCCATATATACAGTCTATATATACACCCGCCTCTATATATACAGTCTATATACACCCGCCTCTTTATATACAGTCTATATACACCCGTCTCCATATATACAGTCTATATACACCCGCCTCTTTATATACAGTCTATATACACCCGTCTCCATGTATACAGTCTATATACACCCGCCTCTATATAAACAGTCTATACACACCCGCCCCTATATATTCAGTCTATATACACCCGCCTCTATATATACAGTCTTTATACACCCGCCTCTTTATATTCAGTCTTTATACACCCGCCTCTCTATACACACCCGCCTCTCTATACACAACCGCCCCTATATACATGCCCCATGCTGCAGGAATCCCACCCCGGCGTCTTGGCGTGTCCGGCTCGGGGAGTATGACATCAATGTGTGGGAACGCAGGGAACAGGATCTGTCCGTCTCCAGGGTGTATATTCATAGCGACACCAACAGTCAACGTCATGGGAGCGACCTTGCTCTTGTCAAACTGCAACATCCCGTCAGCCTGAACAGCGACTACATCAACACCATCTGTCTCCCTGACGACGATGATGAAGAAGTCGACCCTAAGGACCGATGTGTCTCCACAGGTTGGGGGAAACGAGGTGAGCATTTAAGGTGTGAGTGAGTATGTCAGTGGGTACGTGAGTATGTCAGTGGGTGCGTGAGTATGTCAGTGGGTGCGTGAGTATGTCAGTGGGTGCGTCAGTGTGCCGGTGAGAGAGTGGCAGTGGGTGCGTGAGTATGTCAGTGGGTACGTGAGTATGTCAGTGGGTACGTGAGTATGTCAGTGGGTGCGTGAGTATGTCAGTGGGTGCGTGAGTATGTCAGTGGGTGCGTGAGTATGTCAGTGGGTGCGTGAGTATCTCAGTGGGTGCGTGAGTATGTCAGTGGGTGCGTGAGTATGTCAGTGGGTGCGTGAGTGTGCCGGTGAGAGAGTGGCAGTGGGTTAAAGTTGGGAAAAAATGGTGAGTGAGTTGGACAGTGAATGAAGGAGTGAGTGAGTGAGTGAGTGGAGGTATGCGTAGGTGAATGGGACGGTGTGTGAGTGAGCCTTTTGAGTGAATGAGTGAACATGTGTACAGGTGGGTAATGAGTAGGGCAGCGACTGACTGACTGAGTGAGAGAGACAATGAGTGGCCGAGTGAGTGGGACAATGAGTGACTGACTGAGTGAGAGAGACAATGAGTGGCCGAGTGAGTGAGAGAGACAATGAGTGGCCGAGTGAGTGGGACAATGAGTGACTGACTGAGTGGCCGAGTGAGTGGGACAATGAGTGACTGACTGAGTGGCCGAGTGAGTGGGACAATGAGTGGCCGAGTGAGTGGGACAATGAGTGACTGACTGAGTGACCGAGTGAGTGGGACAATGAGTGACTGACTGAGTGAGTGGGACAATGATTGGCCGAGTGAGTGGGACAATGAGTGACTGACTGAGTGGCCGAGTGAGTGGGACAATGAGTGACTGACTGAGTGACCGAGTGAGTGGGACAATGAGTGACTGACTGAGTGGCCGAGTGAGTGGGACAATGAGTGGCCGAGTGAGTGGGACAATGAGTGACTGACTGAGTGACCGAGTGAGTGGGACAATGAGTGACTGACTGAGTGAGTGGGACAATGATTGGCCGAGTGAGTGGGACAATGAGTGACTGACTGAGTGGCCGAGTGAGTGGGACAATGAGTGGCCGAGTGAGTGGGACAATGAGTGACTGACTGAGTGACCGAGTGAGTGGGACAATGAGTGACTGACTGAGTGAGTGGGACAATGATTGGCCGAGTGAGTGGGACAATGAGTGACTGACTGAGTGGCCGAGTGAGTGGGACAATGAGTGACTGACTGAGTGACCGAGTGAGTGGGACAATGAGTGACTGACTGAGTGGCCGAGTGAGTGGGACAATGAGTGGCCGAGTGAGTGGGACAATGAGTGACTGACTGAGTGACCGAGTGAGTGGGACAATGAGTGACTGACTGAGTGAGTGGGACAATGATTGGCCGAGTGAGTGGGACAATGAGTGACTGACTGAGTGGCCGAGTGAGTGGGACAATGAGTGACTGACTGAGTGACCGAGTGAGTGGGACAATGAGTGACTGACTGAGTGAGTGGGACAATGATTGGCCGAGTGAGTGGGACAATGAGTGACTGACTGAGTGGCCGAGTGAGTGGGACAATGAGTGGCCGAGTGAGTGGGACAATGAGTGACTGACTGAGTGAGTGGGACAATGATTGGCCGAGTGAGTGGGACAATGAGTGACTGACTGAGTGGCCGAGTGAGTGGGACAATGAGTGACTGACTGAGTGACCGAGTGAGTGGGACAATGAGTGACTGACTGAGTGGCCGAGTGAGTGGGACAATGAGTGGCCGAGTGAGTGGGACAATGAGTGACTGACTGAGTGACCGAGTGAGTGGGACAATGAGTGACTGACTGAGTGAGTGGGACAATGATTGGCCGAGTGAGTGGGACAATGAGTGACTGACTGAGTGGCCGAGTGAGTGGGACAATGAGTGACTGACTGAGTGACCGAGTGAGTGGGACAATGAGTGACTGACTGAGTGAGTGGGACAATGATTGGCCGAGTGAGTGGGACAATGAGTGACTGACTGAGTGGCCGAGTGAGTGGGACAATGAGTGGCCGAGTGAGTGGGACAATGAGTGACTGACTGAGTGACCGAGTGAGTGGGACAATGAGTGACTGACTGAGTGAGTGGGACAATGATTGGCCGAGTGAGTGGGACAATGAGTGACTGACTGAGTGTCCGAGTGAGTGGGACAATGAGTGACTGACTGAGTGACCGAGTGAGTGGGACAATGAGTGACTGACTGAGTGGCCGAGTGAGTGGGACAATGAGTGACTGACTGAGTGGCCGAGTGAGTGGGACAATGAGTGGCCGAGTGAGTGGGACAATGAGTGACTGACTGAGTGACCGAGTGAGTGGGACAATGAGTGACTGACTGAGTGAGTGGGACAATGATTGGCCGAGTGAGTGGGACAATGAGTGACTGACTGAGTGGCCGAGTGAGTGGGACAATGAGTGACTGACTGAGTGACCGAGTGAGTGGGACAATGAGTGACTGACTGAGTGAGTGGGACAATGATTGGCCGAGTGAGTGGGACAATGAGTGACTGACTGAGTGGCCGAGTGAGTGGGACAATGAGTGGCCGAGTGAGTGGGACAGTAGAGTAGATGAGTAAATCATGACGTTGTGGTTCAATGACCGACTGGGTGACTGAATGAATGAGTACAGGTGCCCTAAGTTCCTATCCGTTCCGGCTACTTGTGTACGTCGGATATATTTAGATTTACTTGCATCACATCTCCGTGTGGAGTCTTGGTTAAAATAGATCCCTAGCAACATGCTTGTCGGACGAGGTGACCCAGTGGCAAGAAGCATTGCTCGTAGTATCAATCACTGGTTTGTCAGGTCTAGACTCGATTATTGTTCGCTGTTTTATCTTCCACTCCCGCCAGGTGGGCGAGGTCACGTGGTCCTCCAGGAGGAACAGACGCAAGTAGAAAGCAGCTTGATATGCCAGGGTTGGTTCCATGAGAATGTTGGCCCGGGGCTCATGTGCGCTGCCTCTAAAACTGGAGACAAGAGGAGCGAGTGTCAGGTGAGCTATATACTGTAGGGGGCGGGGCTAATGCCAGGAAATAGTGGCCTGGGGCTCATGTGTGCTGTCTCTAACACTGGAGACAAGAGGAGCACGTGTCAGGTGAGCTATATACTGTAGGGGGCGGGGCTAATGGCGGGAGAATAGTGGCCCGGGGCTCATGTGTGCTGCCTCTAAAACTGGAGACAAGAGGAGCACGTGTCAGGTGAGCTATATACTGTAGGGGGCGGGGCTAATGGCAGGAGAATAGTGGCCCGGGGCTCATGTGTGCTGTCTCTAACACTGGAGACAAGAGGAGCACGTGTCAGGTGAGCTACATACTGTAGGGGACAGATAGATATAAGGTTTTGAAAAAGCCAGTCTATCGGTGAAATGAAAACAATAGTTGCCGTTATTTTTAAGACATTGTTGTTTAAAATACTTGTCATAACATTTTGTATTTTGATTTTTCACACTACTGAATCCATAGGAAAGAACATGGTTTACTGTCTTGGTACAGGCCGACTCCGGCGCACCGTTCGTATGTTTCCGGGCCGGTAGATGGCGACTGTTTGGACTGGCTTCGTGGGGGACCGGATGTGAGCAGCCTGACGAGCCCCGCCTGTACACTCGCGTCAAGTCCTACCTGGCGTGGATCGCGCGTGTGATTGAAACAGACACAAGGGGAAGGAGCGATAAAATACCATAAAAATAATTTTGAAGTTAAAATTACTTGATAAAACACCACACTGGCGGATCTAGAGTGGGATGCAGTGACTGTGCACCTCTCATTTTTTTTCAGTTAACAATGCACCCTATTTTTTCAAACTCCTGGATACGCCTGTGATGTATACATACATAGATACAACAATAATAATAAACTGGTTGCATTTAATTTGAATGTTCTTGAATTAACACCGATCGCCTCCGTGGTCTAGTTGTAGAGCGTCTGACGGAGAGCGGAAGGTCGGGGGTTCGATCCCCAGCCGCTTCATACCAAAATACGTTAAAAGATGGTACTTGCTGTTACCCTTCCTTGCGCATTAAGGGGCTAAAACAAGGGCTGGTCAGGTCGGTCAGTAAACTATGTTTGGGTGGGGGTATAGATGTTAGAGACGTTTGTCGCAAGAGCGGACTAAAATGAGGGTCATTATATTGACATGCTGATTGATTGCGTGCCATCGTTCCCCAAAGGTGTGACGAGTTGCTCCAGCTATCAGCCATTGGTTTACAGGCCGCCTCGACTATGGAAGAACCGTGGGTCGTAAAACAATAATTCACTTTCTCATTTCATTGTAGTTATCTTGTTTTTAAGTTAAGTTTCGAAACAGTAAATACTTGTCATGTTTGTATTTAACTGATGTTACGTTCTTGTGTTTGAATCACACATGGCGTTTGCATGAAGGGAGAGTGAAGGGAGATGGAGAAAGTCTAGATGCACAATTAGTCCTTGTGTGGACTATGAAATGATATGTTTCCATGACAAGGAGCTACTTTGACATTCATTGGGAGCAGGGTGTTAAAAAGGAAATCATTAGGTGAGGCTCGCCGAGTAGGTCACATACATGGGAGGTTTCCATAGGCCATGTGGTCATCGTCTGTAACCGTCAGTTCTACCCTTGGTTTGGTGAGTCAGTCAGGGGTTGATTCCTTTATTGGTGAGTCAGTCAGAGGGTGATTCATTCATGGTTGAGTCTGTCAGAGGGTGATTCATTTATGGTTGAGTCAATCAGAGGGTGATTCATTCATGGTTGAGTCAATCAGCGGGTGATTCATTCATGGTTGAGTCAATCAGAGGGTGATTCATTCATGGTTGAGTCAATCAGAGGGTGATTCATTCGTGGTTGAGTCAATCAGAGATTGATTCCTTTATGGGTGAGTCAATCAGAGGGTGATTCATTCGTGGTTGAGTCAATCAGAGATTGATTCCTTTATGGGTGAGTCAGTCAGAGGGTGATTCATTCACGGGTGAGTCAATCAGAGGTTGATCTTACATGGGTGAGTCAGTCAGAGGTTGATTCCTTCATTGGTGAGTCAGTCAGAGGTTGATTCTTTCATGGGTAAGTCAGTCAGAGGGTGATTCATTCATGGGTGAGTCAGTCAGAGGTTGATTCTTTCATGGGTGAGTCAGTCAGAGGGTGATTCTTTCATAGGCAAGTCAATCAGAGGTTGATTCATTCGTGGTTGAGTCAATCAGAGGTTGATTCTTTCACGGGTGAGTCAGTCAGAGGGTGATTCATTCATGGGTAAATCAGTCAGAGGTTGATTCCTTCATTGGTGAGTCAGTCAGAGGTTGATTCCTTCATGGGTGAGTCAGTCAGAGGTTGATTCCTTCATGGGTGAGTCAGTCAGAGGTTGATTCTTTCGTGGGTGAGTCAGCCAGAGGTTGATTCCTTCATTGGTGAGTCAGTCAGAGGTTGATTCTTTCATGGGTGAGTCAGTCAGAGGTTGATTCTTTCATGGTTGAGTCAGTCAGAGGTTGATTCTTTCATGGGTGAGTCAGGCAGAGGTTGATTCCTTCATGGTTGAGTCAGTCAGAGGTTGATTCTTTCATGGGTGAGTCAATCAGAGGGTGATTCATTCATGGGTGAGTCAGTCAGAGGTTGATTCCTTCATGGGTGAGTCAGTCAGAGGTTGATTCTTTCATGGGTGAGTCAGTCAGAGGGTGATTCTTTCATAGGCAAGTCAATCAGAGGTTGATTCATTCGTGGTTGAGTCAATCAGAGGTTGATTCTTTCACGGGTGAGTCAGTCAGAGGGTGATTCATTCATGGGTAAATCAGTCAGAGGTTGATTCCTTCATTGGTGAGTCAGTCAGAGGTTGATTCCTTCATGGGTGAGTCAGTCAGAGGTTGATTCCTTCATGGGTGAGTCAGTCAGAGGTTGATTCTTTCGTGGGTGAGTCAGCCAGAGGTTGATTCCTTCATTGGTGAGTCAGTCAGAGGTTGATTCTTTCATGGGTGAGTCAGTCAGAGGTTGATTCTTTCATGGTTGAGTCAGTCAGAGGTTGATTCTTTCATGGGTGAGTCAGGCAGAGGTTGATTCCTTCATGGTTGAGTCAGTCAGAGGTTGATTCTTTCATGGGTGAGTCAATCAGAGGGTGATTCATTCATGGGTGAGTCAGTCAGAGGTTGATTCCTTCATGGGTGAGTCAATCAGAGATTGATTCCTTTATGGGTGAGTCAGTCAGAGGGTGATTCATTCACGGGTGAGTCATTTAGAGGTTGATCTTACATGGGTGAGTCAGTCAGAGGTTGATTCCTTCATGGGTGAGTCAGTCAGAGGTTGATTCTTTCATGGGTGAGTCAGTCAGAGGTTGATTCTTTCATGGGTGAGTCAGTCAGAGGTTGATTCTTTCATGGGTGAGTCAGTCAGAGGGTGGTTCATTCATTGGTGAGTCAATAAGAGGGTGATTCTTTCATGGGTGAGTCAGTCAGAGGTTGATTCATTATGGGTGAGTCAATCAGAGGGTGATTCATTCATGGTTGAGTCAGTTAGAGGTTGATTCTTTCATGGGTGATTCAGTCAGAGGTTGATCCTTTCATGGGTGAGTCAGTCGGAGGGTTATTCCTTCATGGGTGAGTCAATCAGAGATTGATTCCTTTATGGGTGAGTCAGTCAGAGGGTGATTCATTCACGGGTGAGTCAATCAGAGGTTGATCTTACATGGGTGAGTCAGTCAGAGGTTGATTCTTTCATGGGTGAGTCAGTCAGAGGGTGATTCATTCATGGGTGAGTCAATAAGAGGGTGATTCATTCACGGGTGAGTCAATCAGAGGTTGATCTTACATGGGTGAGTCAGTCAGAGGTTGATTCTTTCATGGGTGAGTCAGTCAGAGGGTGAATCATTCATGGGTGAGTCAATAAGAGGGTGATTCATTCACGGGTGAGTCAGTCAAAGGGTGATTCTTTCATGGGTGAGTCAATCAGTGAGTAATTCTTTTTGACCCATGAATCCACACATCATGAACATGCATTCACATATTGAGCATCAAGTGTCGGACAGATGTACACATCGACATATTGAGCTTAAAGTGTCGGACAGATTTAAAGATCGACATATTGAGCATAAAGTGTCGGACAGATCACAGGTCGACATACTGAGCATAAAGTGTCGGACAGATTACAGTTCGACATACTGAGCATAAAATGTCGGACAGATTACAGTTCGACATACTGAGCATAAAGTGTCGGACAGATCACAGGTCGACATACTGAGCATAACGTGTCGGACAGTTTACAGTTCGACATACTGAGCATAACGTGTCGGACAGATGTACAGGTCGACATACTGATCATAACGTGTCGGACAGTTTACAGGTCGACGTACTGAGCATAAAGTGTCGGACAGATTACAGGTCGACATACTGAGCATAACGTGTCGGACAGATTACAGGTCGACATACTGAGCATAACGTGTCGGACAGTTTACAGGTCGACATACTGAGCATAACGTGTCGGACAGATGTATTGTAGATAATAACTTGTTGACTGGACATGCTGTATGTACTAATTAATAATCCTGAATATCACATGGTGAATCCCTAAATATGGACAGATGTCCGTTCTCGTTGAAATTACTGATCCTTCAAGATGAACCAAAATCAACCATACTTCCGGAATCCTGGTCACAGCTATATACGTCTGCTGATAAGAACGCCACTCCCGACATGTTGGTGGGAAGAATATCTCCCTATCTCTTATCATGGCGTTCCTCGTCGCCAGCATATGACCGCGAAAGTCTACTGGAGTCGACGCTGATGGACATATTAACTCTACTACTGCTGGCCCAACTGACCACGTCGTCAACAGGCTTCTTGCTGGGTGCGTATTTGCGTATGACACTCACTTAGAATCATCAACATGCTTCCGTCCATATAGTTCATCTCACTAAACACTGTCGGCTTGTGTCACAGTGGGACACCGTCAGTTTTATCATGGGCGATTGTGTGAGCCTACAGGTGGTGGTACATACATAACGATGACGTTGGAGCTGTAGAACTAACTCGTTGACAGAGGTACTGAGATATTTCATAACATTCGCGTATACTGAGTGTACTTAATTAGTTTGATATATCATGACATCATAACTGGCCACAGCATACTACATTTAGTCTTCAAAGAGGGAGGGAGAGGGGAGGGGGGGGGGGGGGGGGAGGGAGGGCTGACCACCCTCCCCTATGCTGGATCCGCCTATGTAGACATATTGGAATGTGTAAAGGACGGTGCATGGTGTAAAATATCCACACCGTTTGAAGAGTTGACCACTGTACTGACCAGTTGTGCATGTTTCAGAATGTCCAGGCAACGAGGTAAAGTGTGGACAGTCGGGGCGATGTGTGCCCGGCGTCAACGTCTGTGATGGCAAAAAAGACTGTGCAGACGGCGAGGATGAGCATAGTTGTCCCGTGACGGGTGGGCATTAATACTAGATGACCGGTAGACAAATCTTTAAGCTAACAGCGTTTATATTATGGGGGTGGGTGTGGGTTGAGGATAAGGACCGTTGGCACACTGGCAATGTTTAGATATAAAGATGAGGAAAACGTTGTGATAATTGTATGAAAAGTATCAGATATGTTCACATTGTCCACCACTCACCATTTTTGTATTATATTGAAGTACACAAGAATGGCTAAATATGCGAAACTGTTTCGAACTTCAAGCGAATATCTGCGTGTGAGCAAGTCTCTGGCCCAACTTGAACGTTCTGCCATAAAGTTGTACTTTATTTATCTCATCTTCTAAAACAACCATTAAGCAGACGCTTCATAAAAAAAACTCAAAATAAGAGCGACAAAATCCTTTCCATATTCATAGGAAATGTCTGTTAAAAGCAGAGTCGATTGCTATTTCATGAGCATATGTTTATGATTCACTATCAAATAGTGATGATACCAGGTGTTCGCAAAAAGGTGAGAATATCGCACTGGTGCATCCGTTACAAACACATGCAAAAGCAAGTCAACTATTCACCTAAAAAAAAAACCACACACGGAAACATGTGGTACAAGTCAAAATAGGGAATTTCATCGGACATCATTCTTGTCACTGATGCGTCAAACTTGGAAATGTCCCCCACATGTCTACCACAAAACGTGTTGCAAGTTTTACTTTAAAGCAGCTTCTGTGTGCCCTCACGTATACATTAAATAGAGGATTCATCACGAGTGTTTTTTAATATGGGAAATATCAACCGAGTCTTAGTTAATCGGTATTTGCCGAGCCTTTGGCGAGGCAAATACCGATAAACGGGACGAGGTTGATATTTCCCATATTAAAAAACACGAGTGATGAATTCTATTTATCATTTTCACATTTTTGCTTCCAAATTAAGGAATAATTGCATTAAACATTAACATCAGCAACTTGTCGAAATCTTACGTATAGATCGTGCGTAGTGATACATGTTTTCCATAGCCATGTAAACCAAAATAAACAATTCGCTGAGAAAAAAAGTTCCTCGGATTATTTTAAACAAAATACTTGAACAGACTTTTGCAGAATAATTGAAACTTTAATAACCGTAACAACAACGATTCTGTGTAATCTGATTATATCTCTGGTGTAACTTCACTTATAATATATAGTTTCAAATCAAACCGCTCGCTCTTCCGGTTATCTAATTTGCATATCTAATTTGCATACTTATGTCATTGGGGTATGACATACATGTTTTTATGTCATAAGCTTATGTCATGGATAAATGCTTAAGTTAAATGATAAGTGTTGTTATGAGTACAATACACAACCTTAAATTGTTTGATTGGCATATCGTAGACGTTGACGGATAACAAAGACGACACAAAGTATGGAAAACAACCGTTACGTTATTTTACTGTAAAAGCTGTAACAGTAAAATATAGAAGTCGTGTTCTGTACCTTGTGTCTGCTTTGTCACAAAAGTGTATTAAAGCTTTTTTCTTAAGTTCTGCGGATCCTTTAGGCTGTGATTTACCTTGTCCTCTTCTCATAAACGTAATATTTACCCTGCAGTAGGTGCTCTGTTTTAAATAGTATCAGACCGTGCAGTGAGGAATGCACTGCTAAATGTGTAGACACTGAGCGTTTAAAGAGTTCGCGGTTTGTTTGATATTTGTATAACCTAGGTGCGGAGTGTGTTGTCTCTGTATATATGTAATTTGAAGATCATTATAGAATCTATCTGAAAGAAACACCCGTGTGTGGCCCGCTGAAGTTTGTTACATTGGAGTCTTGAAGGTGTGGACGATGTGTTTAATGGCTGCCTTGATTCGTCAGTTGTGTCGGGTTGCGGCGACCCGGGCATATACTCCACCCCTCGCGGCGTCCTGCACAGCATCAGCTACCCGGCTGATTACAACAACAACGCCGACTGCACGTGGGACCTGTACTCTCCGATTGGCTCCGTGAGTTATACATAATCCAGCCAGCGCTCCTACATCATTGCTCGCGTCGTCAGGGTGTTAGTGTCTGTTCTAAGTTGTAGCAGAGTAGATGGAAGGACGGATGTTCTTAACTGTTAATTTTTGTTAATATTTGTAACATCAGCGGTCGGTCATAAACCAAATAGAACATCTCGTTTGACCAATGTTATACGCGTGTTAGTGTGTAAGAGCAGATATTTGACCAATGTTATACACGTGTTAGTGTGTAAGAGCAGATATTTGACCAATGTTATACACGTGTTAGTGTGTAAGAGCAGATATTTAATTAAATAATGTACATGTATATGCAAGTTTGTGTGTGACGGGGAAACGTTTGACTAACGTTGTACACGTGAATGTGCTTGAAGGGTGTAAGAGACACATATTAGACTAATGTTGTACACGTGAATGTGCTTGATGGGTGTAAGAGACACATATTAGACTAATGTTGTACACGTGTATGTGCTTGATGGGTGTAAGAGACACATATTAGACTACTGTTGTACATGTGTTTGTGCTTGATGGGTGTAAGAGACACATATTAGGCTAATGTTGTACATGTGTATGTGCTTGAAGAGCGTAAGAGACACATATTAGACTAATGTTGTACATGTGTATGTGCTTGAAGGGCGTAAGAGACACATATTAGACTAATGTTGTACATGTGTATGTGCTTGAAGGGTGTAAGAGACACATATTAGACTAATGCTGTACATGTGTATGTGCTTGAAGGGCGTAAGAGACACATATTATACTAATGTTGTACATGTGTATGTGCTTGAAGGGTGTAAGAGACACATATTAGACTAATGTTGTACATGTGTATGTGCTTGAAGGGTGTAAGAGACACATACTAGACTAATGTTGTACATGTGTATGTGCTTGAAGAGCGTAAGAGAAACATATTAGACTAATGTTGTACATGTGTATGTGCTTGAAGAGCGTAAGAGACACATATTAGACTAATGTTGTACATGTGTATGTGCTTGAAGGGTGTAAGAGACACATACTAGACTAATGCTGTACACGTGTATGTGCTTGAAGGGCGTAAGAGACACATATTAGGCTAATGTTGTACATGTGTATGTGCTTGAAGAGCGTAAGAGACACATATTAGACTAATGTTGTACATGTGTATGTGCTTGAAGGGCGTAAGAGACACATATTAGACTAATGTTGTACATGTGTATGTGCTTGAAGGGTGTAAGAGACACATATTAGACTAATGTTGTACACGTGTATGTGCTTGAAGGGTGTGAGAGACACATATTAGACTGACGTTGTACATGTGTATGTGCTTGAAGGGTCTAAGAGACACATATTAGACTAATGTTGTACATGTGTATGTGCTTGAAGGGTGTAAGAGACACATACTAGACTAATGTTGTACATGTGTATGTGCTTGAAGAGCGTAAGAGAAACATATTAGACTAATGTTGTACATGTGTATGTGCTTGAAGAGCGTAAGAGACACATATTGGACTAATGTTGTACATGTGTATGTGCTTGAAGGGTGTAAGAGACACATATTAGACTACTGTTGTACATGTGTATCTGCTTGAAGGGTGTAAGAGACACATACTAGACTAATGCTGTACACGTGTATGTGCTTGAAGGGCGTAAGAGACACATATTAGACTAATGCTGTACACGTGTATGTGCTTGAAGGGTGTAAGAGACACATATTGGACTAATGTTGTACATGTGTTTGTCCCTGAAGGGTGTAAGGCACATATTAGACTAATGCTGTACACGTGTATGTGCTTGAAGGGTGTGAGAGACACATATTAGACTGACGTTGTACATGTGTATGTGCTTGAAGGGTCTAAGAGACACATATTAGACTAATGTTGTACATGTGTATGTGCTTGAAGGGCGTAAGAGACACATATTAGACTTATGTTGTACATGTGTATGTGCTTGAAGGGTGTAAGAGACACTTATTAGACTGACGTTGTACACATGTATGTGCTTGAAGGGCGTAAGAGACACATATTTTACTAATGTTGTACACATGTATGTGCTTGATGGGTGTAAGCAACACATATTAGACTAATGTTGTACACGTGTATGTGCTTGAAGAGTGTAAGAGACACATATTAGACTGACGATGTACACGTGTATGTGATTGAAGGGTGTAAGAGACACATATTAGGCTAATGTTGTACACGTGTATGTGCTTGATGGGTGTAAGAGACACATACTAGACTAATGTTGTACAAGTGTATGTGCTTGAAGGGTGTGAGAGACACATATTAGACTAATGTTGTACACGTGTATGTGCTTGAAGGGTGTGAGAGACACATATTAGACTGACGATGTACACGTGTATGTGCTTGAAGGGTGTGAGAGACACATATTAGACTGACGTTGTGCATGTGTATGTGCTTGATGGGTGTAAGAGACACATACTAGACTAATGTTGTACATGTGTATGTGCTTGAAGTGCGTAAGAGACACATATTAGACTAATTAGACTAAAGAACACGTGACTGTTTGATTGGCATTCTAAAAGTTAGCCAATAAGTAAGAAAAACGGATTACCGTTGTTGTCAAGGTTAACCTGCTGCTTATCACAATACGTCATGCATATGTATCTATCATCACTTGGTTGTTGTCACTCCAGCTTGACAACGGTGTAATAATCTACATCGAAACGTCGCCATATGCAGTCAACCAGAATTTGTTATCCATAATGTTGTACGTTTTTCTTAGTTGTACACGTGTATATGATTGATGGGTTGGAGGGGAACACGTTTGACAAATGTTGTATATGTGGTCATGCTTGATTTCCTTTCTCTAAGCATCTGGAGTTTTTCTTCACCGGCGTCTTCAGCCTTGAACCTGATCCCCATGGATACTGTCGCTATGACTACGTGACGATACGCGACGTCACAAACAGTAAACCCATAGGTAATATTGTCAATGTCACTGATGCAATTGTCTGAAGCGCCAGTCAATCTCACCATCTGGGGTTTAAACCAGATTCGGTATCACCACGTTTTTTCCCATTTAATATGCAAAAAGTAAGAAATATGTTCAATACCACTCAATATACTTATTTTTTTCCAAGAATACTACATATGATATGTGTGCCTGTGCTATATGTGTGTATATATCTCTGTATGTATTTGTTTATCTCCTACAAAGAGTATCCTAGTACATGTGTATATACAGTGAACTAGGGTTATAACGAACTCAAAGGGGTCACTAATTTTTGTTCGTTATAACCGTAGTCGTTATAAGCATAAGTACAGCATATGTATAAAAACTGGTCGGGGCCAAACAATACGTTCGTTATACCCGTCAGTTCTTTATATATATAAAAAGCCGATTGGTATAACGAACGTATATATATATATGTGTATCGCAGCGCTAAGAAATGTAACTTCTTTATGTCTGTATTTTGGGCCATGTGCCTCCATATTAAATACATGGTCTAATTATCATGCATGGAATGAATCTCCATCAAGCGAACAGAACACATAATAGCTACTTGGAAATGAAGACTTTATCATCTTGTCAGCAATAATTCAATTTGAACATCCCAGGTCAGTACTGCGGCAACACCCGACCCCGCAACATCACCGTGGACGGAACGCACGTGCGAGTGGAGTTCCACAGCGACAACTCCCATACCTTCAAAGGTTTCCAGCTCACGTGGCAACGTGTTCAGTCAGGTCAGATCTCATTCACATCTTGTCCCCGGAGAGCGGAAGGTCCGGGATTCGATCCCCGACCGGGTCATACCAAAAGACGTTAAAAGATGGTACTTGTTGCTACTGGCGCTGTTGGTTTAAGTGAAGGCCTCGTGCCTCTGAAAAATGTAACTATTTAATGCGATTTCACACTGCACAAAGAATAAAAGGGAAATTTAAAAAGACCGATACATTTGACCAATGTTTGTGTTACAAATGCTGATGTCAATTTTAAAGTAACTGCCACGTGTACTTATCTCCCCCTGACAACTTGTGTAGGTGCAACAACTACCCCGACGGTGGATATATTACTACCCCCAGGGCATGGCAACACATCGTCATGCGCTCACGACGTCGTCCTCACCTCACACTCTGGTTACATCCTCTCCCCCGACTTCAGCCTCAACCACAACTACCCGGCGCAGCTACACTGTGCCTGGACCATCTCAGCAGAACACGGAGCAATCATTGTTCTGGACTTCATGTACTTTGAGGTGGAGTTCACTTCTCTTTGCAGCGCCGATGCTGTGACTGTGTACGACGGCGTGGACGACAATAGCACCGTCATCAGTGTGCTGTGCGGGAAGACGCTGCCGGGAGAGCTACTCTCCTCATCGAATCACCTTCACGTGACCTTTAACACGGACAAGGGCGTTGAAGGTCACGGATTCAAGATCAAATACACTGTCATCGGCAAGGGTGAGCAATGTTTTCGCTTAGTGTCTTCACTTTCATTTCATAATGAGCGAAAACAGTGGTGACATGTTGAAGGTTTTGTGATTATGAATGAAAACTTAACATTACAAACACAAAATGTTGGTGTACCCCGCCGCGATATTGCTGGAATATTGCTAAAAGCGGCGTAAAACCAAACTCACTCACTCACTCACTCACATACTCAAAAGCAAAAAAATATTGTGACAAGGATTTTTTCACTTATAAACGTTTACATGACTTTTGTATTTGAGCCTGGGTAAATGTTTGTGAACCTTGGTATATGTTTGTGAACCTGGAGACATGTTTGTGAAAATTCTCGAAGAAACGCAACCAATCAAAGGTCGCGTGTGAATAACATTCACGTACACACTACCTCAGAAATACAATGGGTTTAATCAATGTGTGTTATCCACTGTTGTACATTCAGATACGACGACGTCTCCCGTACCTACGACGCCACCACCCGGATGTAGGGGCACGACGTTGTTAGTGACAGGCAGTCAGGGCGGGGTTCTCACATCCCCCTGGTTTGATGGCGCCGAGTCCTATGTCCCCCATCTCGACTGCCGCTGGGTGATACAAGCACCCCCAGGGCAGGCGGTTACAATACACTTCAACAAGTTCGAGGTGGAACTCTCAGCCAACTGCAGTTACGACGCCCTTGTCATATACGACGGAGAAAACACAACCTCGAGCATCTTGGGTAATTTGTGCGGGATCCGTAAACCGCATGATCTGACGTCTAGCGGAAGTGACGTATTGCTGACCTTCACCTCTGATGATGCAGTTGGAGGGATTGGATTCAACCTTACTTATACTGTCCATGATCCTATACGTAAGTTAAGAATAGCTTTCAGCTACGATAATACCGAAGCGCAATTCTGAATTTTGAAGCAACATTTAGACTTTAGACAACCTTCTTCCATGGGGCAAGGAAGGTAACTGAGGTAAAAGAGTCAGTAAGCCATCTTGCCTCGGGAAGATGCAAGACAACGGGACTTGGAGATATCAGACTAAACAGAAGCAGGAGAGACTACCTGATGGGATATAATGTGAGAAGACCATGCTTTCTATAACTCGACTGCTTTCCTACTGTATTTCGAAACGTAAAGTTGGAACAATATCAGATAATCGCGAACTGTGTTGTAAGTACGAACTAACATGCCGTACATGATGATAGCAGTCGCTCATACTTTAATATTGATTTACAATCACAACAATCGCTATGTGGAAGGCCATACTTGAGTTTCGATCTGACGCTTGTGTCGTCTCCCCTCGCCACCAGCAACGTGTTCCCCGACCGACTTTACCTGCTCCGACGGCTCCTGCGTACCCAACACCGTGGTCTGTGATGGCAAGCCGGACTGCAACGACGGGAGCGAGGAACTCGTGTGTGGTGAGTGTCAGAGTACAAAACACACAGCATAGGATTGTTTTATTATTTTTTTTGTTTGGTGTTTAACGCCGCATTCAACAATGTTCTAGCTATGTGTAAATAATCGAGTCTGGACCAGACATTCCAGTGACTGACATCATGAGCATCGATCCAAGCAATTGTGATGCAATGACATGCATCAACCGAGTCAACGAGCCTGACCACCCGATCCCGTTGGTCGTCTCTTACGACAAGCATAGTCGCCTTTTACGGCAAGCATGGGTTTCCGAAGAACTATTTTTACGGGTCAACACAGGATTATACACATCTGAAGCACAGGATTATATACATCTGAACGAATATGTGAGTTCATCAGAAGGGCGATGACAAAGAGATGTATAATATCCAATGTGGACAATGGTCACTCTTACTCCGACAACCTGGCATATCGTGGTTATCACTGTGTACCTTTAATATACCCGGCTGTGAAGGGTTAAAGGGAGACCACTCCACTTCAGGGGTACGCTGCACGTTGTAATGTGTATATTGCGTGATAATGAGACATTGTAAAACTCTTACAGCGAACAGTCCCACCTGTGGCCTACCAGTTATCTCCCCTGATTTGGATTCCCATCGTATCGTCGGCGGAAAGGCGGCAGTTGCGGGAAGTTGGCCGTGGCAGACGTCGGTGCAGGAGAAGAGCGTTCATCAGTGTGGCGGGAGCATTATCCACCCTCTGTGGGTCCTCACGGCGGCCCATTGTTTTGAAAGGTACGAATCTGACCCCTGGTGATCAAACTTTGGCCATGTCACTGGTGGCTCAGTTGTCTAAAGCGCCGCAATACACTGTGCAGAGTTGCGTCCCTTTGTGGTGTGAGAATCCTATGATCGTGGGGATGAAATCCCAGAATCGCCCTGATTATGTTTCATCAAAGTTGAATATAACTAAGACCTGCATAATTTGTATTTCCTTCCAAATTTATGTGACCCGCTGTGATATACCTTTCACGGTGGCGTTAAACCTCTGCTGGGCCACTCACCCAATGTCAATACGAGCAAGTTATATGTCACTCTATTTTGCATTCAGATATGTATCAACGCTGGTCTGTGTTGTAGTACGGATGACGCAAGTGAATGGACCGTGGTTGCCGGGCGACAGCGTCTACAAGGTAACGAGTCAACAGAACAGATACGTCAAGCGGATGGTATTTACGTCAACTTCGACTACGACATCATCACCTCAGCCTCTGACATCGCCCTCATCAAACTGGACGCACCATTCAACATGACTTCCCACGTGCAGCCCGTGTGTCTTCCACTCCAAGCAGCACGTGCTGGGACCATGTGCTACGTCACCGGTTGGGGAGAAACACGGAGTAAGTTGCCATGGTAATTTCACTTACTCATTCACCCATTGAGTAAATGTCAGGCGCGGTGACTTGGTTAACGGTTGGACGTTGCTAATATCTATCCCAAAGTAATACACCTGGTTCAGTGTGGATTATTTACATATAGACGTCATATAGCTGGAGTGCGGTGTTAACCAACCAAACAAACATAAACATTGTTGTGATGGTTGTTGTGTCGAACAAAATGCCCCCCAGCGTCAGGGCGTGGCTTGGACTGCAGGGGTCACAGTGACTGAACTGAACTTTATTTACACTCACCTTTCGCATTGTCTTCCTTGACTGACAGTGTCCTCTCACGTTAAGTTACACGCCGCTATATTAAACTGTTTAAAGCGTGCGTAATGGTCAGTTCACGCTATTACTAAAGCACAACACTATTACTAAAGTACAACAGACCCTACTAAACTGTGTTCGTTCCGGGTGAAAACGAGCATGAGGCAGAAGCAGGTGCGTGGCAGCATGGCCCCTGTCTGTGTACGGCCAGCATGTGGGTTCATCCATCACTTGTATGTTCTCCTCCAGACACATGCTGTGAGACGGAGTTGAAACAGGCTGCTGTCCCTGTGTTACCGACGTCCACGTGCAACAAACCTGACTGGTACCACAACGAGATCTTGGACGACATGTTATGCGCCGGCTACGCAAATGGCGGCATCGACGGCTGCAAGGTAAGACCCCCGCTATCGTTCATTGTTCACGGTCATTATTCATGGTCATTGTTCACGTTCATTGCTTAAGTCCATTGTTCACGTTCGGTGTTCTCGTTCATTATTCACAGTCATTGTTCACCTTCATTGGTCACGTTCATTGCTTAAGTCCATTGTTCACGTTCATTGCTTAATTCCAGTGTTCACGTTCGGTGTTCTCGTTCATTATTCCCTTTCATTGTTCACCTTCATTGGTCACGTTCATTGCTTAAGTCCATTGTTCACGTTCGGTGTTCTCGTTCATTATTCACGGCCATTGTTCGTCATCATTGTTTACGTTCATTGCTTAAGTCTATTGTTCACGTTCGATGTTCTCGTTCATTATTCACGGTCAGTATTCACGTTCATTGTTCACCTTCATTGGTCACGTTCATTGTTCACGTTCATCATTCGTTGTTTACGTTGCTCGGTAGAGCAATCCACTCTTTGATTTAAGACATTCTGTCTTAGTTCTATAGCTTAGTGTGTTTTAAAGAAGTTTACACAAAAGTTTCTTTCCACACATTGAGTGAATGAGTGAGGGTGAAGACGATTGAGGTTTCACACCTATTTTGAAAAGCAATCCCGCCAAATAGTATTGGAGGACACTAATGCAGGATGTTAACATATTAAACAAATGCTGGGAATCAAGCAAGAGAACTTTGCTTGACGAGAGAGCGCTTTACCACTAGGCTACAGCGACAGCGTGGATCGTGCTCACTATATCAATCACTGGATATACGAACCGCCGTCATATTGCTGGGTGTGGCAACATGCACTCAAACTAATATTCAAAGACAAGTAAGTTCATGTTCTTATAGAATTCACATGTAACCAACATGCAACAGGCTTGTACTGTACGTTGTGATGTTTATCAGGGGGATTCTGGCGGACCTCTAGTGTGCTACCAGGCCGGCAGGTGGCAGCAGCAGGGGATCACGTCGTGGGGGGTCGGCTGTGCAGGTAAGTCTACTTATATTACCAATGTCAGCAAAAGTAATGATTCTTTACCCCCGTTTCACCTCTACATGTTGGGAGTGATATAGTAGTGTTACGCCCTCGTGCATTTATTGCAATCACAAAAATAAATATACTACTAAAAGTTTGCTTATGATCACCACTTTACAAATAAATACGTCAAAGTCCGTTGTGGTGTGACACACAATGTCAGCAAACAACATGTGACCAGTAATCAGTCCGACTCCCCTCCACATGAAAGTATCCGACCAACAGTGAAACGTTAAAAAATCACGAATCATATTCGTTGTCCAACAATAACAACACCTCTCAGTAGCGCGTATGTGACCCACGTGATGCTAATACAGTTGGTCACCGTCGTCTCACACTCCCAATAAGTGCCTGGCCATGGATGATTGCCAAGGGCATATTGTTCTGTAGAGTTGAGGGCATCGCGAGAGGGCTATCTTCAGCTCGTTCCTGATATGCTCGAAAGGTTTGAGGTCAGGTAAACGAGCAAGCCATTCCATGCCCACAATTGTCGTCATCAACGACTCTTGCACGATGATGTCATGTGTTCTCGTCCATGAGGATGAAGTCCGGTACGATTGCACCAGCATACAGACTCGCGTACACATCCAGAATGTCATCCCTGTAGCGCCCACATGTCATCGTGCCCCGCTGTAGGACATGGGGATTTGTTTTCCATTTCCACTGATCTCATCCCAAATCATAATTGAGCTCCCTCCATTGCGGTCATGTTCAGAGCGAAATCCTGAAATTTGTCTCCTTGTCTACGCCACACACGACGGTCTGTGCACAAGTCTTGACAATATCTTGATTCACCGATTAAAAGGATCTTCAGCCCAATCCAAACGTGTCTGTCTGTGATGTCGGGTGAGTGGGATGCGAATGCATATACTCCGTGATAGGAGACCAGCCTCACGGAGACGATTACGCAGTGTGTGAATAGATTTTAACGTCCCTAGCGTTCCGCAGGTGATTTCTGAGTGTGGAGGCAGTCACGAAGTGTTGACGTCTTGCTACAATCAGCTAAAACTGTCTTCACACTGTGTGGTGGGTTGTTGGTCCTAACGTCTGGTATCGATTCCATGCCCTGATGGTCACTCTTTGTCTGAAACCAAGACGTTTGCAACGTGACGTTGTGTTGACTCAGTTTCAGGCATGTCTGTGCATCTGCCTAATTCTTCAGTCATCAACGATGTCTTTGACGCCGAGGAGGCAAATCTTTATCCTTGTCTACGCCACACTTTGCATTCAGTCGCAAAAGTTGTTGTGCTCTTTGATAATGATATGCAACGGTTCTGTCACGATACATGCAAACACAAGTTTTCAAGCACATCGTTCACTGCATGCCTCTGTCCTGTCATCGTGAAATTTAGGATCTGTAGGGGTTACCCATTCACTGTGTATCGGGATATGTCAATCTTTATTTGTTGGATAATTTTTCATATAATCAAAACTTGTTCCTTATCAAAGTTTGAGTAGTATATTTTAATACATTGATCTGTTGCAGATGCCAAGAGCCCGGGTGTGTATGCCCGTGTCTATAACTACATGAGGTGGATTCAGGAGACAATAGCCTCTCATGTCTCCAGCTGATCTCTAGCTGATGTCCAGCCTCGTTCTGAAAGGCGATCTTAGCACTCCGACTGTTTGACCATATTTCAGCCTAGACTTACAGCAGTCATTGTGCAAACGTCCCTAATTAAAGGCAAGGGTGAACATGTTCGTGTTTGTGACATCGCAACTTTTACAAGAGTATAAATCAAACCTGCTCTCCTTTCCTCAAGAATGGATCTTTCCAAAGGTATTAAAGCTTTCAAAATAAACTAACAAATCGAAATATTGCCTGTCATTTCTGTTTATAGAACACGTTATGGTGAGAGGACTGGCTGTCTTAATTCGGCAATAGAGATGTACTGCGGTTTGGCGGGGTGAAGAATTATTATTACTATACTCAACAACAAAGGTTCCTGTGACACCAATATTTTAGTGTATTTTTCGAACAAGTAAAGTTTGGTTTTCAATACTGTAGTACATGTATGGAATCACGTCACAAAAACGCAACTGCTGCGGAAAAGCATGCATTCCATGCAAAAGTTGACTTTAATGCAAGCCCCATGCCTTTCACTACTCAAGAATGGGTATAAAAACATGTGCGTTAACGGGATTCCATATGCATTGTTTAGCATCGTGCTGACAACAACCACTCAGAAACACAACAAAATTACGCAACTATTCGACATTACGAAATGCCACGCCTGTCCGAAAATGAGCGTCTGCGAGCCATTGGTATGCTTGAAGCAGGATCGAGTCAACGTGATGTTGCAAGATAAATTAACGTCCACAGAAACACCATTTGGTGTTTATGGCAACGCTGGCAAGAGACGAATGCAGTCAGAGACCATCCTCGGAGTGGCAGGCCACGCGTAACCAATAATCGACATGACAACTGGATTCGAACAACACACCTACGAAATCGATTCCAGCCAGCAACAGTGACTGCAAGAAGCATCCCTGGCCTTCGACGAATATCTTCACAAACCGTAAGTCGCCGCCTCAGATGTGCAGGGATTGTCGCCAGAAGACCCGCCAGACGTCCCATTTTGACAGGAAACCACCGTCAAGCACGTCTACTGCAGTCAGCTGGACGGCCATGCAGTAGGGACAAGTTCCATTCACTGACGAGTCTCGTTTTCACCTCAGCCACAGCGATGGACGGATTCGAGTGTACCAACGTCGAGGTGAACGTTACGTCAATCATTGTGTCATGGAAGAAGATCGGTTCGGGGGCGGCAGCAAACCCAGGTACTCTCCCAATGTCAGTCAACAAACTGTGAGGTGTCAAACCTAAGACAACGAGGACAATGGGGAGTCGGATAACTTTGTATGTGGGATGCAAACGTGATATTGTGTAAGCGGGGTACGCATATATGTCATGTTTTTATCTGAAACTGAAATCACACTGGTGTGAAAAAGGACATAGAATTCAATGATATAAATGATTTCATTGGATTTATCCAGAATCACAAGGTAAGGGTTTATTGGCCTGGATACGTTTGAGGCTGTATACGCGCCAATACCAAAGTTATTCACGAGAAGAACAATTGACAATGTGAAAAACACCTTAAAAGTGGTTTGGTAAAACAACAGTAGAAGCAAGAATGTTTTGATTATTACGAGAGTTACCACTCCCAGGGACAAATATAGGACTATGTGTAAAACACATTAATAAGTGGTTTGGTAAAACATTAGTCGAAGTTGGAATGAATGATTATTATTGGGGTTAACACTCCGAGGAACAAATATGTGTTTTTGTCCTTGGCTACGAGCAGAGCGATATTTGCTTTCCTGAAGGCGTTTACAGGAGCGGAAAATACACTCGACGTTTCCTTGCCCAATAATCATTAGCTATATTATAAAAAGGCGCGTAGCTCAGTTAGAATCTTCATCTTCCTTTTGGAATAAGACAATTCAGTGTAAGACAGATACCATCGTCAGGGAGGTAGGTATTGAAAAGATGGTCGTATTATTGCCCTGTGCCCGTATCCACCGCATAACCTGTCATGAAGTCTCAGATTGGCATTAGCTTGACGTTCATTTCGACGTCGCCAGCCATGACCACGTCTATCAAGGAAGTGCAAAGTGAACCGGGACTCATCTTAAAACATGACACGTGACCAGCGACGATTATCACTGTTTCGATGTTGTGTACATTGTAGCGTATTGCAAGAGAAGTTAGTATCAGCTAGCTCGCGCTATGACGTAGTTGATGACGTCATGACTGACCACATGTAATCCCGCCATGTGGAAGAATAAGCCTGTTATAAACCCGATATCTTAGTGGTTATAGATCTATACGGAGATAGTGTGAGAACTACCTGGAGATACGTCACATACACACTGGATGCATGTCAGTTGGCAACGATTTGTAACGAGCGGAACAAGACATGGCCGTGGAGCATGGAAATGAGCTGCATGTAGATGACTTCTAATCTTATGTCCTCCAATAGCCTGATAAAAACTTGCAAGGTGAATTTGATTCACCGTTTCGTAGAGCCTGGTTTCGGATTAGTCGATCCTGTACTCTTGTCGTTGACCTGGAACGCCCTCAACTGGGTCAATCGTCAACATTTTGGGGTATAGGTATCTGTTTCATAGTCTCTTAATCCCAGACTGTGACACACTGAACGTACTGCCCACTGCTGACCTCTGCCAGCATGCCAACAGTGGATGCATCGCTAGGTCATACACAGACAAGGAATGTAATCAGGTAAATCACAACTGTATGATAAGCAGAATCAATAAAATTAATTAAATAATACATGGCATTTACATTAATATTTCATGATCCCCTACTTTTTTTAAAGAGTATATTACCACGGAACAACATAGCACTATCTCATTCCTAATCAATTATTGTGAATCGAAATGCAGTTGTTCTTCATGTGCTATCAAAGGAGTGAAATACTTCTGAGTTTTTTTTTAAAGATATCACTGACGCGGAACCAAGTAATCGATGGGATAGATCTGTCATCGATCCCTTTCTGGACAAAGCACAATTACTTCTAACATTTCAAACAGTGGTTCGGCGAGTGGCAGGAATTTCAAGCTAATTACAGACCTAGACATAGACAACAGGGACAGTCATTTCTCCCGTCGTGAAGACCACACAGCACCAGTGCGCTACTACACACTTATCATGATACAGCTATTGAACTGATAAACTTTGGTGAGTGGACCCTGTAAAAATGATCCGACACGACAGGATAGATTTGGTTGTTATATTGCTGGCAGTCACCGGGGTCAGTGACTGTGTTGATGACTACAGCCTTCAGCAGAAACTCTACAGTGACATCATCGAGTCTAACAACCCGAACATCCGCCCTGTTCGTAACAAAACACATGTGACCCGAGTCTCCATCACCTTTAACCTTGTGGCTATTACAGAGTTTGATGAAGTCTCAGAGGCTCTAGCTTCCACCGGTTACATGGAGGTCACATGGGATGATGAAATCCTGACATGGAACCCAACTCTATATGGCGGTGTGACGGACATGAGGCCAGCGTTTGATCAGGTATGGAAGCCTAGGGTAGCGGTGCAGAACACGGTGGACAAGATGAAGCCTTTGGGCCTGGATTTTGGCATCTTGGTTCTCTTCTTCACTGGAAGCCTGACCTGGTATCCTGGAGACACATTCAAGACAAGTTGTAAAATGGATGTAACCAAGTTCCCCTTCGACGTTCAGACATGTTCCTTTAATGTTTTTGTTTGGGCTGACACCATCAACACCGTTGATCTCTTCCCAGTTGACAACTCCATTGGTCTCGACATTTACAATGTGAACAGCGAGTGGGACATCACCAACACCTCGGCCACTCGACACACAAAATATGCATCTTTCTCCGAGATCGCCCACATCACCTACCATCTCCAGCTGACGAGGAAACCGTCCATGAAGATCCTGACTGTCGTGATGCCTGTCCTGCTTCTTTCCTTCCTCAACGTCGTCGTGTTCCTCATCCCAGTGCAGTCGGGGGAGAAGCTGTCCTTCTCCATCACAGTGCTGCTGTCATTTGCTGTTTTCATGTCCTTCATCACCAACATGCTGCCCCAAAGTGCTGACAGCCTGTCAGTATTCACCCTTCTCATGGCTGGGCTGTTCCTCTTGAGCTCTCTCTATGTGCTGCTTACTATCTGGGTCATCAAGGTATTCCATAGAGACTCTAGCAAGCGGGCCGTTCCACTCTGGGTGTGTAGACTGCTGTGCGGTCAGAAGGGATGTTGTGGCAGCATCAGGATACACACAACCGGGAGTCAGGATGTGTCGGACATATCTCCTAGTGGGGACATTGACATGTCAACGCGAGGAAGTGAAAGGCTGCCCGGAAGTGAGGTGCAATGGATAAGAGTGAGTGAAGCCATGGACAAATTCTTTTTCTGGTTATTCCTCCTGCTTGTCGTGTCACTGATGGCTGTCACTGTGTTCAAGATATGTCTGTAATGAAATTAGACCATCACCTGGAGAATATGATCAATGATGGATCAGGTTTCACATGGAAGTTATATGGACATCTTTATACTGAAACAAGAAAGGTGAATAATGCAAGTGTGAAGTACCTACAAACAGTGACAACAGTAATGATACTATTGTGTTAAATCTAGGGGTTTCTAATATCGCTAAAAATCAGAATATATGTAATAAAGCAGAGCTTATCATTTGAATTGTTCTTGTGGGTCAACCTTAGCTTTGGGTTGTGACGCTGGAAGAGGTGTAGGAGTAGGCACTGAGTTGTTTCGGGATGAAGGTATGTCCCAAGATCGAGAAGTGGGTCGCCGATGTCCCCTTCTTTACTTGAGAGTGAAGCGCACCTGGTGCACTCTTACCGTGCCATTCCGAACCAGATGTTAGGGGTCCTCTTCAAACAGAGAATTTAAATATATTCATTGTGTTCCAGCCTCAAGTTATAAAACCATTGATTAAGAACAGAACTTGGTATCAAACTATGCCCCGTGTAAGGCTAGTAACTTATTAGGGACAACTTTTCCCAAACCATGCATCGGTACTATCGACTTTGGGCTTGACTCTAAAACCTGGCGACAGGTCGTAGTGGATTCCAATGCTAGAAACAAGCGAAGGACCATTTCTGTTTTTAGGAGATGTTATTGTTACAAACGTAGCAATGGAGTTTCATTTGTTCACTTGTTCAGCCTCGATGACATGAAACAGCATGTTTATGCATCAGTTAGGCAACACAAGAAGATACTGTCAGTGTTGTTTTTTCGAATTCAGGCATAGCATTTGTCAAACCCCAAACAGTGACAAGTTCGTCCATTCTTCTGTTGTACTGGATTCCAAAGTACTGTTTCATCAATTAACCATGATAATTAATACATTCAATTAATGTGTTTCTGTATACTCACGGGAAATATTTGAGTAAAAAGGAAGGATGTGCCTGAATGTTTGTAATCTCAGAAAAGATAAGAAGTTCAAATGTGTCAAAACATTTGACTGTTTTCTTTGCTGTACGCCACTGCCCCTGAGGACGAGTTGTCAAAACTGAAAGCAAATATCTTCTACATTTACTGAGAAAACAATACATGAAATGATGGACTTCCTCGTTGATAACATCCATGTGACATTTGGGGAATAGTACATGCAGGCAAAAAGTAGACATCCCCAAGGGAAGCAATTTTGCGCCCTTTTTTGCTTATATGTTTCGTTTTCAGATAGTTTTTTGCACGGATTGGCAACATAAAAAATGTGTTTTATATTAAGATCTACGCATAAAGATTCAGAGTGACGAAAAAAACAATACTGTATAACATTCCAATTGACAACTTGCCCTTTAAGTCGATCAATATTCCTGCAGCTACTGACCTTTGTGTTTACACTTCACAACTTTTGAGGTGCCATCAAGCTTGCTCCTTCTTCGAAGATTTCGAAGCTCATCATAAGACTCTTGTCCAAGATAATTGATCAGGGTGACAACAATCAAGGTATTTACTTTGGTTATGTCATATGGCAGTGTATTTTATTGTTTAACAATGATTGTAACGGTGTTACGTTGTTTCTGTTGAGATTCGGTAGATGCTCATTGCAAAGTATTTAGGCAATGTAAGCAGTCGTCAGTAAATTACTATTTTAAGATGCTAGTGTGCAAGCTCCTTACAGCGATAGCGTGTTTGCAGAGAGTGTAACCAATGTGTCACGCGCTGGGAAGAAACTTGGCTAGTGGGGTGTGGAAACATCCGGTCCGTAAACTGCAGACGGTGAGAGTATGTTATAGAAACATATGAAAATTTCTCTTTGCGGGACATACACGCATTTCCATCATGTCAAGAGCAGCCTTCGTGTGAGGATCGCTCATCATCCCTGATTCCCCTTCTAACCAAACTCGGAAGGTTGACCACAGTCACCCCTGGGTGAATATGCATTATCATCACTGACTATCGCTATCACCACCATATTTTGGTATCTGACACTGACCCCTGCCATCATAGTATTCATTGCCATTGAATATTGTACTACCACTCTATTGTTTACTGCCATTATGAATGCTGTGCAGTAATTTGTGCTAATTTGTAAACTTAGTGAATTTTGTAATGCATTTGTTGATTGTGTACCGCTTGTTGGTGATGTGTTGGTTTCACGCACAGTGCTTTTGTGTACAGATTTCTAGATTGACATATTGTTTCAATTTGGGAATCGACAGTTGTAACTTTGTAATATTGCTTGGTAACTTCTGAAAATCAGAATGTCAGCGTTTGATATACGTTATGATTAAGTATTTACTTTGGTTTTAACTTCGGAAAATCCGATCATTGCTTACATTTCCTACTGCAGCTAAGTTTGTTTTAAAAACAGTAAAGTCCAGCTTTTGGTACTAAAATCAATCGATGCCTGACAAAAATATTCAGTTGTGGCCTTAACCATTTGATCAGACATTATTTCAAAATCAGTCTGGTGATCAACTTACCAGTTAACTTCTGGTGCAGCCTGTCAAACTTTGTTATTGTCACGTCACGCCGCGCAACGCTAACACAAAGCCACACGAAAGCCGAGCGAAACCAAACCTGTAATCAAATATTAACAACTCAATTTACTCACTGCACATCAAGGCGTTACGTCATTAACTATTAACTCATGGAACAATGTGGGAATATTGATCAGCGACTTGCAGTCCATCAGAACCCTACGAGGAAATTGGTCTCATGGGCGCATTCACGCATGGGTTCAACACTATACTATGGATTTTGGTGTTTGTCATGGCTATTGTCATTGAACAGATATAACATAAAGCAATTGGCATAGAAACACAAATTGTAACACAAAAAGATCATGCCATTATCCAAACTGCATTGAAAGTTTGCATCAACACATCAACATTAATGGGAACCACTGTATAAACACAGCTCCTGTTTATCATTCGTCACTTGTATCAATGTCATCCAGACTTGCACATCATGAAACATGTGGCGTTTACGTGTACGCTGTGTGCAGCTCGGATGTACAAGAAAAAAGAAGGATTTCCCCTGAATTTGAAACTTCATGGGTTGTGTTTGCTGTTCTTACTGTTGAATGCCAATGGTCAAGATGACCATCATATACTTCGACTACACGATGACATCATGAAAAAAACAACCCAAAAGTCAGACCTGTCAAGAACAGCAGTGACACCATCACAGTCTCATTACAACTTTATCTTCTCAGCATGTCTGATTTTGATGGAGTGACTCAGACAGTGACAGCTAATGGGTTTTTCGTTGTGACCTGGAAAGATGAGTTCCTAACTTGGAACGCCAGCGAGTATGGAGGAGTCAGTGAAATAAGTCCTGACTATGGGATGATGTGGAGATCTAACATAACTGTTCGTAATATGGAAGACGGTGTTGAACCTTTGGGACTCGACTTCGGGATCTTTAAAGTGACAGCAGTTTGAATTGTGATTCTCCTCAATGGTAGCTGAATGAAGCCTGTTTCAAGATGCCCCTTATATAATACATGTCACAATTAATAATATGTGGAAAACATTGCAATAAAGATATGAACATTATCAAATGTGATAAAATGGTCAAATCTATCCGTGACCCAAGTCCTCTGCAGTCAATATCTTAACCGTTTCTATCGATATCACATAGAATCAGATTGGATCACATCTTAAAATAAGCTTCCTTAAAATTTCTAAAATCTGCCTTTGCGATTTTAACTCAATGTATACATGTACATGTATCAATGTAGTGTTATAAGTCCAAAATACTCATGTGTTGAAATAAGCAAACACTACTTCTCAATCACGTGAATATATCTGATAACTGTCATCACAATTTCGAAACTTTTGATGTAACCCCATATTGTCTGGTAGTTTACTAAACACTTAATGGTTATTCTCATTCCACAGTAGAGATGCACAACAGTTCGCGATCGCGAGGGTGACAGCAATAGAGGTGTATGCTTTTAGTGCTTTTTTCCTGAGAAGAAAACTCCATCGGAATGTTCATTTTCAAAATCCACCATGTGCAAAACACATTAATAAGTGGCTCGGTAAAACGACAGTCGGAGTAGGAATGAATTGATTATCATTAGTGTTAACACTCCCAGGAGCAAATATGGCAGTGGTTTGCTTGGCTACAAGGGGAGAGATATTTGCTTTCATGAAGACATTAACAGCAGGGGAAAATACATTCGTCCTATACTGATCCAATAATCATTAGCCATGTTATATATAATCGAAGTACAGTTGGCACATAGCTCAAATAAATTGCTTACCTTCTTTTGTGGAAGAAACGTTTAATGCTTGGATAGATATTAACATCAGGGAGATACCATTGTATGGGTGTTGGACGGATTTGTAAAGGTTGTATTACGGTCTTGTGTTCCTACGGAGCAAGTACTGTTGGTATGTTTTCAAATTATTGAAAACATAGAGATCTGTCATGTGATCCTATTCTGAAACCCCTCAGTTACTCTTTTTGCAAGTATGTAACCAGGGAGTCGCAGAGTGATATCTCAGCTCCTGATCAATTATTGGTAATCGAAATTCATTTGTTCTCTTTGCACACAGCATTACCACAGAAGTAAAACAAGTCCAAACATCGAACGAATAATCGCTGAGAATGTTTTAAAGGCTAAAAATGTCATTGTCATTGTGTCGAGATGGAAGCAGCTCTTTACTATCAACTTATTGAATGTATAGATCTGTCATCAATCGTTTTCTGGAAAAGGAAGATTTACTTCTTATATTAAACAGTGGAAATGGGAGTGGCAGGATTCTTCAGTTGATCGTTATAACCATAAACAGACACGCATGGTCAATGATTTCACAGTGCTACCATCGAGAAGTCTACAGAGGACCCATGAACTATAGCTGAAATTATCACAACACACATTATGACACAGCTATAGATATATCACGCATGTGTTTGCGATTCATCCGTTTCAAAATTATGCGAGAAGACATTTGGATACATTTGGTTGCTACACTGCTGGCAATAACTGGGGTCGGTGACTGTGTTGATGACTACATCCTTCAGCAGAAACTCTACAGTGACATCATCGAGTCTAACAACCCGAACATCCGCCCTGTTCGTAACAAAACACATGTGACCCGAGTCTCCATCACCTTTAACCTTGTGGCTATTACAGAGTTTGATGAAGTCTCAGAGGCTCTAGCTTCCACCGGTTACATGGAGGTCACATGGGATGATGAAATCCTGACATGGAACCCAACTCTATATGGCGGTGTGAAGGACATCAGGCCAGCGTTTGATCAGGTATGGAAGCCTAGGGTAGCGGTGCAGAACACGGTGGACAAGATGAAGCCTTTGGGCCTGGATTTTGGCATCTTGGTTCTCTTCTTCACTGGAAGCCTGACCTGGTATCCTGGAGACTCATTCAAGACAAGTTGTAAAATGGATGTAACCAAGTTCCCCTTCGACGTTCAGACATGTTCCTTTAATGTTTTTGTTTGGGCTGACACCATCAACACCGTTGATCTCTTCCCAGTTGACAACTTCATTGGTCTCGACATTTACAATGTGAACAGCGAGTGGGACATCACCAACACCTCGGCCACTCGACACACACAATTTGTGTCATTCTTTGAGATCGCCCATATCACCTACCAACTTCAGCTGACGAGGAAACCGTCCATGAAGATCCTGACTGTCGTGATGCCTGTCCTGCTTCTTTCTTTCCTCAACATTTTAGTGTTCCTCATCCCAGTGCAGTCGGGGGAGAAGCTGTCCTTCTCCATCACAGTGCTGCTGTCATTTGCTGTTTTCATGTCCTTCATCACCAACATGCTGCCCCAAAGTGCTGACAGCCTGTCAGTATTCACCCTTCTCATGGCTGGGCTGTTCCTCTTGAGCTCTCTCTATGTGCTGCTTACTATCTGGGTCATCAAGGTATTCCATAGAGACTCTAGCAAGCGGGCCGTTCCACTCTGGGTGCATAGACTTATGGGCGGTCAGAAGGGATGTTGTGGCAGCATCAGGATACACACGGCCGGGGGTCAGGATGTGTCGGACATATCTCCTAGTGGTTACATTGAAAAGTCAACGCGAGGAAGTGAAAGGCTTCCCAGACGTGAAGTGCAATGGAAAAGAGTGAGTGAAGCCATGGACAAATTCTTTTTCTGGTTATTCCTCCTCCTCGTCGTGTCACTGATGGCTGTCACTGTGTTTAAGATATATAAGTAATGAAATTAAACTGTCATCAGGAGAATATGTTCATTAATGTATCAGGTACATAGGGAAGGCATATGGTCATCATCAATAGTGAAAACAGTAATTGTGTACAGAGGTGAAACATGACTGTTGCCTGCATGTACAGTGATGTAAAAGTGGTTAAACAGGATTGTGGTGTGAGGTTTGAGGTTTTGAAATACAACAGCATGGCACTTCTGAAAGGGTGTATGTGATCCTTCTTTGGTTTTGACAGGTGAAGAGTTACAATAGCTATCTGGGGACTTATAGGTTCTATTTTCTGGCAAGTTTTCAATATTTCATTATGGATTCGTTAGTGTCATGGTAGGATTTTGATAACGTGGTTGTGACTAGACCTTTTCTTTTTGATTACCTGAACTTCTAATTTCATTTATAATTGAAGTTGTACTTATTTTACCAACATTCTTGTTCCAAAGTATGTTAATTGATGACTGATTTTACTCCTAGTCGGATTTGTTTAGATTGTCTTTAAGCGTTCTCCCTGGTATTCCCTGTTAACAATGGCGTATTAATTCGTTGGAATATCATATACAAAATCCGAAAAGCTCACCAGATCTATTTAAACAGCCGAGGGGATGAGACGAGGTCAGTGCAACCACAGAGAGAGCATCCCAATGGTGGGGATGCGAGGGATTGAGGGTATGTCAGCTTCCAGCAAGGGTGAAGTGGGTACAAGACTGAAGTGTTACTACCAGGACTGAACAGCAAGGATGAAGTGGGTACAAGACTGAAGTGTTACTACCAGGACTGAACAGCAAGGGTGAAGTGGGTACAAGACTGAAGTGTTACTACCAGGACTGAACAGCAAGGGTGAAGTGGGTACAAGACTGAAGTGTTACTACCAGGACTGAACAGCAAGGGTAAAGTGGGTACAAGACTGCAGTGTTACTACCAGGACTGAACAGCAAGGGTGAAGTGGGTACAAGACTGAAGTGTTACTACCAGGACTGAACAGCAAGGGTGAAGTGGGTACAAGACTGAAGTGTTACTACCAGGACTGAACAGCAAGGGTGAAGTGGGTACAAGACTGAAGTGTTACTACCAGGACTGAACAGCAAGGGTAAAGTGGGTACAAGACTGAAGTGTTACTACCAGGACTGAACAGCAAGGGTGAAGTGGGTACAAGACTGAAGTGTTACTACCAGGACTGAACAGCAAGGGTGAAGTGGGTACAAGACTGAAGTGTTACTACCAGGACTGAACAGACAAGGGTGAAGTGGGTACAAGACTGAAGTGTTACTACCAGGACTGAACAGCAAGGGTGAAGTGGGTACAAGACTGAAGTGTTACTACCAGGACTGAACAGCAAGGGTAAAGTGGGTACAAGACTGCAGTGTTACTACCAGGACTGAACAGACAAGGGTGAAGTGGGTACAAGACTGCAGTGTTACTACCAGGACTGAACAGCAAGGGTGAAGTGGGTACAAGACTGAAGTGTTACTACCAGGACTGAACAGCAAGGGTGAAGTGGGTAAAAGACTGAAGTGTTACTACCAGGACTGAACAGCAAGGGTGATGTGGGTACAAGACTGAAGTGTTACTACCAGGACTGAACAGCAAGGGTAAAGTGGGTACAAGACTGAAGTGTTACTACCAGGACTGAACAGCAAGGGTGAAGTGGGTACAAGACTGAAGTGTTACTACCAGGACTGAACAGCAAGGGTGAAGTGGGTACAAGACTGAAGTGTTACTACCAGGACTGAACAGCAAGGGTGATGTGGGTACAAGACTGAAGTGTTACTACCAGGACTGAACAGCAAGGGTAAAGTGGGTACAAGACTGAAGTGTTACTACCAGGACTGAACAGCAAGGGTGATGTGGGTACAAGACTGAAGTGTTACTACCAGGACTGAACAGCAAGGGTAAAGTGGGTACAAGACTGAAGTGTTACTACCAGGACTGAACAGCAAGGGTGATGTGGGTACAAGACTGAAGTGTTACTACCAGGACTGAACAGCAAGGGTAAAGTGGGTACAAGACTGAAGTGTTACTACCAGGACTGAACAGCAAGGGTAAAGTGGGTACAAGACTGAAGTGTTACTACCAGGACTGAACAGCAAGGGTGAAGTGGGTACAAGACTGAAGTGTTACTACCAGGACTGAACAGCAAGGGTAAAGTGGGTACAAGACTGAAGTGTTACTACCAGGACTGAACAGCAAGGGTGAAGTGGGTACAAGACTGAAGTGTTACTACGGGAACTGAACAGAAAGCAGCAGCAGACATCCACAGACCTTGGGACAAATGGTTGACATTTAAATGATTATTAAAGGTTTGTTCATTGGATAGAGTGCCTGTTCCTTCTATCTTGACATTAACACATGTCACCAGATTGTAGTTGATTTAAGGTGATTTGATCATGGGTGTGATGTAGACATTTTAAGCCCAGTTGTCATTTAGGGGATTTATTTCAAACTCATTGTTAAACAGTGTTTGTATCGGTATTACATCGTTTCTGTTGAGATTCGGTAGAAGTTCAGTGCATTGTATTTGGACAATGATTAGTTGTCATGAATGAAGCACTATTTAATGTACGCGGTGGTGAGGAAGTTATTATATTTGGATTCCCCAAGTATTTGTAAACTTCCAGAATAGCATGAATGGATGTTAAGCATAATAGCAACATGTGGAATATTCCGTGATGTTCTTGTGACACTGGACTGGTTAAGCACTGTGTTGAAAGTGCTGGAAGCTTGATCACTGTTGCAGCGAAGTGATTATTATTCTTGTAATTTCCACTACTCTCACATTTTATACTGCCATTGAATATCGTACTGCCACTCTATTGTGTACTGCCATTATAATTGCTGCGAAGTAATTTGCATTGATTTGTAAACCTGGTTGATTTTGTAACACATTTGCTGTTTGTTTGTTGGTTTCACACTAAATTCTTTTACGTACAGATTTCTGAGTTCTGAGTCGATTCACAACAATATCCAGTTAACTAATACAGCACTAAGCCAGCAGGAAAATGTAACAGCAAAGTAAATACTCTATCATGCATTGCACATGATGACATGTAATCGTTTGGGTTTACCACCACACTTGTTTCGCATAAAATCGATGCTTGGCTCAAACAATATAAATACTCAAACAAAATTATGAGTTGGTGAAGACATCTTTTTCTAAGCAGATCTACATGGGTCATGTACGAATTTTAAGGAAACTTTTTATGTTTATTTGTTTTCTCACATAGTTACATCAATACTTATGGCCAGATACGTAATTTGCCAGCCGTTGACATGGAGATGATAAGGCAGTTCCCAAGACTAGATGAGCTTTGACAACGGCATCATAGGATTTGTCATCTAACTCTTTATTCATCATTACAGTAAATAAATATTTGAAAAATGAATGAACGGATAGTAAACACAAGGTCAGAAAAGGAACTAAGTTGTTGATTTGAATAGAATGTGACTTCCATAACTTCTGTTGACACAACCTACTTGTTTATATAGATCATTTCAGAGTTCACATGCAATTACCCTATGTTAACACTGATGTAAAACGGTTGCAGCAACTGGACGTGTTTGGCTTGATCAATGGGCCGCGTCACGATGTTAGGTGCATGTATAAAAATGCATTTGCTTTCTTGACTGTGTCTACTGATGCGTCTGACAACTGCCACTGTCCAGGATGACCATCATATACGTCGACTCCACAACGACATCATCAAATACAACAATCCCTTGATCCGCCCTGTCAGAATCAGCAGTGACACCACAACTGTCTGGATAGACAATCACTTGACTAGTATCTCTGATTTTGTTGCTGTTACTCAGACAGTGATAGCCAATGGCTTCTTTGCTGTGTCATGGAAAGATGAGTTCCTAACCTGGAACGCAAGCGATTATTGAGGAGCCCGTGAAATAAGTCCTTACTCTGGGAAGGTGTGCCGACCTCAGATCACGCAATGATGTGGATAAGGCTACACCTGTCGGACTGAACTTTGCTATAATTACTATAATTATAATTTGCTATGTTCAGGCAAACGGTTTGGTGACTTGGCAACCATCAGATATTTTCAAGACTCTCTGTCAAATGTATGTTACCAACTTTCCATGAGATGAACACAACTGTTTTTACAAATTGTCTGTTTGGGGACTCCCCATACATGAACAAAATTTTAAACATGTGAGTAACTTTATTGGACTACAATTCCGTATCACAAACAGTCAATGGGTTGTTTTTAACACATCGTCTGCAAGAGTTGTCTTTCATCATATGGGATCTTTTTCATTTGTATACTTCAATATGACCTTGAAGTGAGAGCCGTCCCTGCCTGTCCTGATACTGAGATTAGTCAATGTGCTGGTGTTCCTCATTCCTGTGGAGTTTGAGGAGAAGCTTCCTTTGCCATCACAGTTCTTTCATGGTATATCTGATCTTTATCACTGGACTGCTGCCTCAGAACGCTGACAGTATACCCGTATTTACTATCTTCCTTCATGGCCTGTTTGTAATGAGCTCCATCTACGTGTTTCTGACCATCTGGATCATGTAAGTGTTCAATCGAGACGCTGTAAAAGACATGTTATCTTATCTAGGTTTTTCTGAGCAGATTCTTTTCTCATTAACACCCCCTCACGAACGAAGAAGTATTCACTCTGGCTATCAGTCTGTTTTTCATTCACCACATTCGCCCAACCTTTCTTAAATGTGCAATCACTTCTGTTCCTGTCTCTTCTTATTCCAGCTTACTTGAGAACTGATTGCGTCATTAGGCTCAGAGACTCCAGTTTTTCCCATGGACTGAGGTACCTGTCTCAGACCCTGCAAACGCCCAAGACAGACAAATATCAACCTTAGTTACCTTAGGCTTAGCCTTCCTAGCCAGGGACCTGGTCATTACACAGGGCAGAAAGATGTAAGTTTTAATCTCAACCTTTTCTCCCTGGAACAACCTGAAACGTCTTGGGACTGGTTAGACCAATGCTGACAGCTACGGCCAGTCAAGTGGTTACCAAACAAGATC